AGTCAGGTAGTCAGGGCAGTTAGAAGAAATAATACGACGTGCCCCCATCTATAGCCCCATACATATAAGCCACTGGTCCTAGGTTATCGGGCTATCGGGCTATCGGGATAGAATAGAAGCGTACATAGTACTACCGCAAGACTTGCTGATATGTTGTCGTTATCAGGTTTTAATTCTTGTCAGACCACATGGAACCATCGGCACACCAGTTATCGGCCCTTGAGAGGTTTTTTATCGGGTATGGACAAGCGCATACGATGAGTTCAGTTCAGTTCGACTAAACAAATGACTGTAGGTTCTTGCCACAATATATCAAACCTATATTCCAAGAAGATTCTAGGTGGCCGAGCCCTGGAACCGGGGAGCCGCCTGTGTGGGATACTCTGTCATCCTGCAGTTTACAGTAACACTCAATGGGTCCCATAACAAGCCGTTAGCTTGCCGTGTTCAGAACCGATAATCAATTGTCCCGCGGGCTGGATCTTATGCAACCAACCTTGAGTCCACTTAAGGAACTAATAATAATATCAGACCCGCCTAATGGGCACTTAGGTTACTGCAAGTCATGGGAATTTTTTTCACCGATGTGCAGATCACATCCTATAACAATGTCCTGCCCGCATGCCGCGTGCCATCTCTACTTATGGCCTCAGGCAGTTTAGTCTCGTCATATTTCGAAGGGACATTGGACGTAAAAACGGTAAGGGTCACATCGCAGCTCTACGAAATGCATCGAGAGTAACATTTTCTATAACAGCATGTCGTCATACTTTACCAATTAGCGATTACTGCACTCATATACTGTAGAACTAAATGCCCGAACCAAAGTTGACTCACATCCAACTTGTTGGTGGATCCTTACCAGCTATAGAATACAGAGTAGTCAACTTATTAGTCTTACTTGTTTTAAGTAATTCTAACAGTTCAAGCCCAACGACAGTATGTCTACCATTACACATGGGACTAGCCGTGGCTAAGCGTTTGATAGTAGACGAATACGAACTCAATATTATTACAATAGTGGAATCTACTCGCCACTTGACATACAACTTACCAGCCTACCAACCTACCAACCTACGTCTTACGTATATACAGCTTTGTCACTTTCACACCTTTCGCGCTTCAAAGCAAGGGCCCGTCTAATGCGGGAACACAATTGTATCACCAAACTGTATTTCTACTTACTCGGCCTACACACCATCAACGCCGTGGACAACGTGGCATACCCGAATCCGTAGATGAAACGTGCATTAGCCACACAGTCGAATCCCGTTCATAAGTCTCATTGTCTCGCAACTCATTATAATAAATAATTCACTCGCCAAGCCTCTATATCCGCTTCAACCCATCCCCGTCTCGAAGAAAGTCGGAACCAAAACCCGGCAAACCATCTCGAGCTAATCGCAAAAGGATCTATTAGTCGAGGAACCAATCGCCTGATACCATTATTAACTAAGACAACGCACTTCCCTGAGCCGACGACCCTGAATTTTAGATCGACAACGCACTTAGATCCACCTCCCTCGCCGCTCTCCTTCTCCGGCTACGCACATCTAGCATGGGATCTCGGCTTCGCACCCAGATACCCACACGCTAACTAGCGTTTCCTCGATAATCATCACGGCGACGGAAAAGGCATGTGGTTGGCCATGCTTGCGCCATCCCACAACATGCCTGTGTAACAGCTGACAACATCTTAGTCCAAATCGAGCAGTTCCGCCCTATCACATTTTCTATCAATTCAGGTCGAAATTCGTTACACGTACACTCTCATACTTGATAGGATAAAGTGACCAGTCAACAGAAATAATCATTGTACGAGTCCAAGTCCAAGTCCAGCAAATATAAAAACCTATATCTCGTATAAGTATCCGGCTCATATATAACATTTCATCGATATTAAGCTATTAGGAATAATTGTAGTGGTTCATTGACCCCTATCATTAGACCCTCTTGTCTCTATTACAGTCGTAGATCGCCCCTCCAGTTACCCGGCTAAGACTACGCAAGCTGCTCGGCCCGCATCGGGGCGAGCTATTCCAAACGAGAAAGTCCATACGACTCCAGTTTAAGAGGACTGGTCAATCACTAGTGAGACGGCGTCGTAACCCGGCGCATGACCGGGAGGAATTGGCTATCAACATCGCCTCAACGCCATTGATCGCTATTTTCAGCCGCTGTACGCAAGGAAATATTCTAGAAGGTCTGCTTATCATATAGTCGATCTAGGGCTATATGATCATCTTCGTAAAAATGAAGCACAATAATCGTCAATAATAGCCGGCTAGTATCCATTGCCATGGTCTCGCTGCTAACTCGTCTCTGATTCCCACAACCCTACCGAGCTCTGTAGGTAATTCCGAGAAAGGCTCGGTCGGGAGGTTCTTCCAGTGGCTTAGGTGGGCTTAGAATATTATTACCGACATGACGACGCCTGCCGGCGTGCTGTAACTCCGATTATGTCTTAGTCGAAGAACGTGGCGAGTACAGGATTACCGAGTAAGACAAATCTGATACCTTGAGAAAACTCGCCGGTCATCAGGTCTACATATGAGGGTGATCTTCATCATGACACACAGCGCAGAAACAGTTGCTCAAAACCTAAGCGCGGTGAATACCTTAATGCTCGGCAACCTATAGGGTGGTTTCCATCTACGTAGGGCTGTCCCCGAGTGGCTGAAACCCGCACACCGGTGTACTTCAGACCCGTCCTATCTCATTTCGTGTGGATACTAATATACTAACCGGTAAGAGGGCCTTCGGAAACGTTGTCGTGTAATCGGAGCCGTAGTCTCTCAATAAATACTTTGACTATCAATGGAATTGCCGCGTATGAACTTGCCGTGATGATCTACAATTTAGAGTATTAGCTACCTCATATACAAGCACGTTGAAGATCAATAATATAATGCATTCGATAATATTATCTTGGCATTCATAGTATCAGCGTCGAGGAGCTCATGCTTGGTATCTCTACGTGACTACGGAAGGTTTATTCCGCACATCTACTAGGTTATCACGAGAACAAACAGCAGACTCTTAATAGAGTCACGAATAAGAACGTCGTTTGAGACGAAGCCAATCTGGTGCACGGTCTTGAGAATGACCCACACTTCCCCTGAATCAACTTGACAGGATTGTCTATACTAGACTCTGGAGGGTGGGCTACGGCTATAAGATACTAAGTCAAAATGTATTCATGTATACAGGGCGGTGTTTTTAATATTGCCATAAAAAGGAAATCAAGAGCTTCTAATTGCTTTTCAGACCAAGTCTTACGTGTGATAGATAGTCGAAGGAATCATATTTACTTAAATTTCTTCTTTGCTATAACAACAGAAAGCAACCCTTACATCTTAACTTCGACTAGTTAAACAGTTACAAGTCAATAATTTTCATAGAGTCGAAAGAACGTATAAAAATACTAAGACGTTGTTGCTAGTCTTCCGACATTGTTGCATGGGAACAGGGCTTGTTTGACCATACTTTCTTTCTTCTGGAGACAACCACATTGTAGATATTATACAAACTTGGAATATAGGCATTGTGGGTTAACACTACGGAAAACCCACTTTGTTGCTAGTGAATTTGTTACTTTTGTAGTTTAACATGCTATGTTCTAAGATTGTAGGCCATGCCTATATAATATGAGTATAGCCACGGAGTACTTTACGTTTTTATCATCATCATTCTCATTCTTATCATCCTCATTCTTATCATCCTCATTCTGACTCTCATCATAATCATCACTTCAATTAATCAACGTACTCACGCTCACCGATTTCACAATGTCTGACAACAACAAGTCCACCCCACCCCCTACTAAAGTTGAGAGTGTCAACCAGACACCCGCCCAATCGGTACATAGTGGGTCGGAAAATGAATGCCCTATGTGCCTTCGTCCCTTATGGCTATGCATATGCTACGTGATAAGGTCTGAGAAGGACAGAGATGCCTCCAAGAAACCGGAGAAGGAATCTGGAAAGAAGGGGGAAGACTCCGATGTTAAGGATGAAGTTCCTGACAACAACAAGTCCACCTCACCCCCCACTAAAGTCGAGAGTGTCAACCAGACACCCGCCCAATCGGCAGATAGTGGGAAGGAAATAGAATGCCATATATGCGGTCGTCCCTTATGGCTATGCATATGCAACGTGATATGGTCTAAGAAGGACGGAGAGGCCTCTAAGAAATAGGAGACGGAACCTGAAAAGAAGGGGCAAGACTCCAATGTTAAGGATGAAGTTCCTGACAAGAAGTAATACTATAGGCTTACTATAGGATGAGAGGCTGGGTAGTAGTACACAGACATTCGAGCTGTAGTACTATTGTACGATACTTATTTCATAGCGTAAACGTGTTTCTAAATGATGCCGTCTAGATAGAGAGTAGAAAAGTTTTGTAGAAAAGAATAAAAAAAAATCGGGTTGTGTTAAACCCTCCTCATCCTTCATCTTTCTTAGAAATATAAATGAAGTGTCGAGATTGGCGTATATATATTCATTATTACAGTCATCAGAGCCAACTGGCTATCATATGTATTTTATGACTGTGGCATCTATTAAGCAATGACTTATCTCCCTGTTTCACCCTATCCACTCAGACTTATAGCATCATAGGGGGTATTTATGATGGGTTTCCTCATAATGGTAGTATGATCGTCACTATGATATCAAAGGAGTAACTAGAATACCAGCTTAGGGGACATATAGAACATCGTTGAACGTAGACGGGAAGTTATGTGTGTAGTGTAGGCTGGGCCACTTATATTGATGTTTACAGCGGCATATTGTCTGAGACTAAATTAAGAAATCGCTTAACTGCTGAATTTAAACTCATATAACAATTACTAAACGCTACAGGGTATCATAGTCCATCCCGTAATCATGTATAGGTATATATGCACGCTCTTCTAGAGCCATGCCTTTTTCATCCGTGGTCAATAGGACGAATGACAATATCCAACGACTCCAAGTAGAATCGTAAGTAACAACAACACGCTATTGAATCGCAACGTGGTGGTCCCGGGTCATACATCCCACGCTTCCGTCCTTATCACCCACAACCTCCCAAGGCTGCAGAGAAGCCTTTTTCCTCTTCTGACTACGCCGTGCCGTATTGGGGTCGACGGGCATCAGCTTGGCGCCACAGCAGTCCCAGAAGCACCGGTGAATCCATATGTCGAATTCCTGGATAGTGACCTTTTTCTCTGCCAGGAAGTTCATATTACCGGTATCTACTCCCCAGGATTTAATTTGGCCTATGTATTCATTTGATTAGCAAGTTGCCACGTGTGTTTTCCAATGATAGAAAGTCTTACCTGGATGGTAGCGGCATGGACCGTGGAGGCAGGTTTGCTTTTTCTTGGCACAAGGGCAGGACGCTATACCGGGCCGGAATTTATCGTAACAGTTCTTGCACGTCTTCAAGTTTTTCCTGAAGATTTCCGGTAAGTTGCTATGGATAGCGATCTTGGCCGCACAAGCTATGAAATCTTTCTGGGCCAGATATTGCTGATGCTGGGCCTGGACTACTAAAGGCTGAGTCACCGGCGCTTTAGAGACTGGCGTCGGCGAGTTGTCCGATTGTAAGGCTTCCTGGATATGGTGTATATGGTCACTTAAGCTCATAGTGTCGAAATTGTTAGGAGAAATCTGGTAGCACTGTTCCGCAACCTGAAGCATCGTGCCTAGAGTCAAGCCTCTTGGCCCCGGTCGCCCGTTTGATGAGGCTGGGAGATGCCAGATTGAACGCCTTGCTGGTCGTGTGTTTATAACCGCGTTATGAGCGGATATTTCTCCGTCGGAAGCGTCGAGTTGAGCTTCTTCATCGCTACCAGCGGTGCTGGGTTTGTACTTGTCGTAAACCCATCGTTGTATCGAACGATGTTTCTCCTTATACTTTCTTCGGTCAGCAGCGATAGCCTTTGCCACCTTTCTAAGTTTGGTAGCTCGTGTAGAATCCATTATGCCTTGGGCGAAAATGTTTGAATGAAAGCTTGGAGACTTCTTGTTGGGTACGTAAATAACTTAGGGGTAGGGATAGATGTAGTTGTTGAGGCGAAAATTGTGTAGAGGAGATGGGTTGGATTTGATTGTAATTGAGAAGTTGTAGTAGTAGAAATGGATGAACCAGGAAGAGGTAACTATTGAGGTTGCCCAAGGTAGATGTGTGTAGAAAGATGATGATTTAGTAGGTAGAAACCGATGAAATATCTTAGACGAGTGATTTTGAATTGAATAGGAAGAAGTTGATGGTGGTGAGTAAGAAGTGACCTGGGGGGAGAAGGTTAGTATTTATATTTTCAGGTTTATTTCCAAGTACCTGAGGTGCACAACCACATAAAAAACTTTGAAACCATTGTGACTCCTAATATCCTACGCACTGACTCGAATAGAAAGTTTATTTAGAGTTGTACTATCATTTACATATACGTACCTCTACTTTATCTTTCCTAAGGCAGTGACTCTTGCTTTAGGTTACCTTAGGTACCATATGTCAGTGATTCACGAATTGTTTGCCAGCTGACAACTTGAGCAAAGTTTTGGCGTAACGAGAGCTGCGACTGTTAAGCCTTAATTTCTATCTGTTTAGCGCAGTTGAAGAGTTTACTGAACTAAATACGCAATGGACCGAGTGACTATGACTATATAGGTATATATACTAAGTTTCGTCAAGGCTAAGGAAAGTTCAACCTCTTTAAAATCACTTCTCATATAATAAGCTTGTTTAGCACCTTCGTCTGCTACCTGAACCCTAAAAGCCCTCGTTTCCTAACAATTTACTTTTGGTAGGTCCTGATCAAGTACGTCTTTTATTTAAGGCAGTACGGTCTCCTTATGCCATGTGTCAACCCCTATCCTAAGATACAAAGACTGGATTATTAATTGATTTGAACGAATTACAATGCCTTTATACCATCTCCTTAGGAGAAAATTTGAGCCATATTCTACCGTTTTCCCTCCCCCCTCCTCCTTTACCCCTTTTCTCCCCTTTTCCCCTAAAAAAACCACTAAAATGGAAGAAGACCGGAAAACTAGAAATCACCTACCTAGTAGGTAATCAACTAGGCGTACTAGTCCCGCATATTTACGAGAATAATTATAATGTACCTAAGGGATGGCAATTTAAACTTAGAGAAGGTACTGTGAGGTTGCTGCAGCGGCTTCTCGAAAATTTATAGCAGGGTATATCTAGACTATACATTGAGTTAAATGGCTCTGGGCAATGGCAAATAAAATATTAACAAAGCACCTGTCGCTATTCAGCTCAACTTTTAAAGCATTGTTCCTTCAACCTTAGATAAAGACTAATTGGCTGCTTGTTAAGACACAAAGCACATTGATTAGTGCCAATAGAATTATCTACGTATCATAGCTTTCTGATCACTCTTATCCCATTTATGCTTTTCTGGGTGTGCTTGTCGTATGTCTGCCTCGTAAATATGTTATACCCTCAATACTAGGGCTAAGACTTCAGGTAGTTAACTGATTTAGTTTAAGAATATACAAAATCTCTTCAGTCTACTGGTATCTCGGTGTCGAAGTTGCTATGTCTATAAAAGTACAGTTTGTCCTTATCCGATAAAACAATGTCCATCATATCGTACAGGTTGCTGAAAAGGTCGCCTAAACGGACTAACACGCTGATGCTAAACGATCTATGGCGACTTTAAATGCATAGGAACAGTCATCAATCCGTTAATACTAATAAGAGTAAGCTTTCAATTAACCAAGTCGTCCACTCGAATATACTTCTGACGAGCCAGATGACCCTTAAAACAAACTCGACCCAGAGGAGGAGCCCTTTAACCGTCGATCCAATGACCAGGTCGAGTCATGAAATTTTCTTAGTACGGTTCTTAGCGACGTTGACCTTGCCACTCAGGACATCCGTTTGGTTATTGACGTGATCTAGCATCTCGGTCTGCTCCTCGACTTCACGATTGATCGCTACCGCCATCTCGCGCTGCTTCCGGATGATCTTACCTAATGCTTCTACGTCTTCGTCTTGCTCCTTCATCATTTGCCTTTGCAATTGTACGACTCCACCATTATCTAATTCCCGGGTACGCTCGCTCTCGGGCAGCGGGGCGCCGAGAACCCTGCCACGTCCTTTGGGCCCATTTCCGACCAACGCGGCTTTGTCAGCTGCGGAGGGCATAGCCCTTTGAGATGCCTTCGCGGCCGCGGATACCGCCGTGCTCAGCTTCTCCAGGTCCTCCCTTTCGACCCGTGCAGCAGCGAGCAAATCTTTCCGCCGTCTAATCTCGCCATCGCCCAACCTTTTCGCGTCCTGCATCACCCTAAGACCATCTCCGAGAACGGCAAGTAGGCTGCCGGCCTTGACCAGCGCTTTCTTGGCAGCTGATCCGGCTTCGAGCGCAGCGGAATTATCCATAGCACTGTCCCTTCTTGCTAGACACCGCCGCGCCTCTTGAAAATCTCTCTTCATTTCTCCATGTAGATCGAGCCAGGTCCCCGGGTCCTGTGCGGCGGCAGCGTTCGCAGCATCTCGGCTGGGAATGCCATAACCAGCTCTCACGCTGGCTGCGCTATTACCGGTGCTGCTCATACTCGGGAGGTTTAGGAATGTGCGCCACGCTGGAGTGTCACGCCATCTTCGGTCGGGGGACTCAGCAATAGCGCGGAGGTAAGCTTCGAGGCCACGACGGCGGTCTTCGGTGAGTTCGGGAGAGGTGACTGTAGATTTAAACCACGATTTCCCTGGTAAAGGGGCGGGCGGTGGTGCGCCAACTAAGGTGGTAAGGGTTTGATGTAATGTGGTGAAGTCGGAATAACGCTTCTGTACAACAAACGTTCGTAAAGGGAGGCGCAATGTGATATTGTAGAGCGTGTAGGGCTTCGAATTATCGGCCGGGGTTTGAAGCGACGTTGTCGGGATAGTGATCTCGGCGGGTGGTGCCATACCCTTAGATGTAAACTCGTTATTATACCGATTGACGAGAAATAATACTGCTAGTGGTAAACTACGAAGAGGTTCTGTATCAATCTCCGTTCTGGAGATATGAAGTTTGCTGAAATAGTAAATAACTGGTATTGTTGGTGATAGAAACAGAATGGAAAATAGGCGACAAGCATTCAGCACGAGGCACGAGACACGCGCAGCAGACCGAAACCGAAACCCCGGGAATGACGGTGACAAGGTCAGGCGGTGGGGTAATTACATAAATGTGCATATAAGGATATATACCTGATAAATGCATCAGAGCCTGTTTAGCTTTTTATATTTCAGTAATAACCAAAATAATGCATTCACTTGATCCTCAGTAGAAGCTGCAATCTATGCTTTAGAATATTCAGTTTAAATAGTATTAACTATACCGTCTTGTTAAGTAAAAACTACCTATATTATCAATGGCGAAAAAGCTTCGTTTTATTAGTGCATCACTAAAGTTAAGGTTGTTCAATCGTTGCTCTCAAATATAGTCCACCAAAGTTGCTTGGTCGATTTCTAATTTTTATATTGACAAGTCAATATACAATTAGAATTAAGCTTTTGAACAGCTGTTGTGCATGGTGACCTCATCTTAATTCTGTCGTATACGGTAGCGCATATTTCAAAAAGATGATATAAGCTAATTGAAGACTCGTAGTAAAAGGATATAATGTTGCTTTTCAACGGGTTAGCCTTTAGGGACCAGATAACTATCAAATATTAGAGAATTAGAAATAGTTCGGTCGAGCATATAGCTGTAGTAACAGGTATGTAAGAGGGAGTTGTGGGGTCTTCTCGACCTCGGATAGAAATAAAGAGAAGTGTTAAAAACTCTTGGCTACCTTAGGTACTTTATTATTTCAACCCAAAAGCAATGACGTAACGGGTATCCAAGTAAGTTATCAATACTTACCTGGGATTTCATAGTTAACTATTTCTAAACTGAGTTGTTTACTAGCCCAGCCGAAAGAAGAAGAAGAAGAAAAGAGTTCTAATGAATGAATTCTGAATAAATTCCGTATTTACCTAACCTAATGCTGTGTTGCGTTGATTTTCGCTCACCGCCGATGATACCGAGCTTTCAGGCGATAGTATTTTCGACGAGATATGATATCATGCTTATACGATAACAGCCAAAATTCATTATAGTCTTAAAGCTGAAGTGGACACAAAAACAAATAGTATATTTTAGCATCGTCTAGCCATCGTATGCGGTGTAAGCGTCAGTTCAACAAAGAATATGCGTATTTCAATATTGACGGATAGACCGAGACATGATTCGGACAGACTCTGATAGATTCCACGTGGATTCGATCAAATGTTCTTTGATAATTCGCTACGTTGCTAAGTCTTCGCATCATCAAACGGGCCGCTGTCTATAAGCGAAGGCAAAAAGTCATTGAACGGGAATTCCTAAGGGATAGTACCTGCAGCTGATCAGTAACGTTACTGTCGTATTCTCTCCGTTTGCGCAGCCTCAATAATTGGTAGAGAGCTGTCCAATCAGAGACTTCTAAATGTGTCAGCTCAGTTGTACATCTCACCTAAGAGAGAACTTAAGGATTGGGTTAAGGACATTAAGAGCGCTGAAGTGTTTAAAATTCTTGACGGCCGGACCCTTCCACCGTACCGGTACGATAACATGCATAGGCGAGGATAAAAATAAATGTTGCGCAACACGAATGAAAAATAGGATGTGCCGCATCTACCGGTCAGCTCTATCCACTTCCGGAGTTACAATCGTTGTGGCTGGCTGGCTGGCTGGTTAGAGGTAGTATGGCTAAGAAGACTTAGGCACTTCTTTGCATTGTGCTCTTTAAGGCCTACTAACGGGACAGTAACATCGGGATTTAGGCCGTCTTTTTTCCCTTTTCGGCCTCCGTTAGCACCATGACTTGCTAGCTAACATCACAGCCCCTCTCACCAATACGAGATCTTGGCGGTTCGATGCAGTCCAAGATCGCCTGTCGACGTCACTAGCTTCTTTGCATCGGTTCTTAGAGTCCATCACCAGATCTCATTCTTCACGAGAGGAGCTGCCCATAAGTGAAGACTATCAATATTATATAAGTGTAAATGCCTTCCACCATCCTGACGAGAATTTTAATATACACCATCATCAATCAATAGAGTATTACAACATACAATCAACAATAATATATAATTCATCAATTACTAATCTACTTTTTATTGTATATCATAATTGATACTATAAAATACACATCACATCAAAATGCGCGGCTTCATCTCAACCATCACCACTCTCCTACCTTTGGCTGCTGCGGCGCCATTGGAACTTTACAACCGCGACAGCAATCCCGGTTGCCAAGATGCCTCTTTCAACAACTTTGAATGGACGATTGAAAACTTCGACTACCATGCATCTTACATCTTCACCACCCCCGCCCATCAAAACTCATGGGGTTATGTCAACTTCAACCTAACAAACCCGGCTCTCGAGTACAAGGCCCTTTGCAGCGCCTCTAGCAACCAGCTCTCCGACTTCTTCTACGGCACAATGATATACACCTGCACTGTTCCGGAGGGCTACACCACGAAGACTACCTTCGACTTCAGCCGCCCTAGTGGCAAGTTGGACGTCAACCAGACCTGGACCTGCAGCGACGCCGATCCGCAATACCCGTAAGTTACTATAATCAAAAGAATTTAAATCATCATCAACTAACAAGTTCTATAGTACTACCATCAATGCTTATGGTACCGTCGATCTGGATCTCTCCTGCACCGATGAGACATGGACCAACCCTAACTGGACCATCGGTAACATTTACACGGCTCGTACAGTCCAGTGCGAGCCGGTAACGCTACCACTTAAGCCTTACGAAATGACTGCTGTCGCATAAGGCATTCTCTAAAAGTATATTTTTGGGATATTTTAGCTACGGATTATGAGGAATAGAAAGCGGGTTTAGGGAAAGGGATATTACCATCACGACATTATGATAAATTGACTGATCATAGACACACTTGGGCATCGAGCCATTGATATAGAATTTAATTATAATACAAGTCAATCGCTTGATCATTGCTACTTATTTTTATACTTCTAAGCTGTATCATGATTGCTGAGCTGAAATATGTATATAACCGTACACTAATCTATAAAAAGTCGGAACTAGTCCTAGGCATCGGAATATGCCCGACTTTTAGGATGACTCGGCACCCTCAATACCCAAGGAAGGCTCAGCACCAAGGACCCGTCACCCGGGAAAGGGGCTCGGAACCCTCACCCACGGCTCATCACCCAAAAGGAGGACCCGACACCAAAAGAAGGGCTCGGAAGTAAAAAGATAGAAGTGAAAACTTAGTAAGATCTATCTACATTTAACTTGAGGATACATCTAATAATAAAAACCTGAAAAGGTCGCGTATAGACGAACTTCCTATTTTGAAAGAGGGAGCCTGTGATAATAACCCATATAAATTCAGATATAGCAAGTTTCATAAGGCTACTTCTGTCAGGATTCTACATGAAATAACTATCTAAAACAAAGAACATGTTTACCACCTATGTATAGACTTAAAACCTCTTAGATACAGTTGGAGTTCTATGCTGTTTGGTTCCACCTCGTGACAACTTCGAAGGGGGGGAGGGGGGGAGTTGGACATAATAGACCCTTCGTAAAGTCAGGGTAATAAGGTTCCAACTTATATAATTTGAAGATCCGTTTCCTCCGAAGAGTCAACAATCATATCCAAATCTTCAAATGTATCATTTACAGCTGCCCGTGCCACAATCCGATGCTTTTTTACCATCTTCGTTTGGACCAATTCGTCTTTCACTTCTCGTAAAATGGGGTATATAGGCATGCCTTTTATCACACATAACTCATCCCCCACATTTATATCTGCTGTTGCCATTCCGAGAATTCCTTTTTCTGTGACGAAGTAACTATGTTTTCTTGTGGCAAGTTCCGTTTGTCTTTTTTTCAACAGATCTTTAAAATCTCCTATTGGCAACTCGAAATTTTCAAGCATCGTAAAAAATCGACAATTAGACATAAACTTGGTGTTCCAATCTTCTTCGGCGATTTGGTGCAAAAAGCGCTTATCTTTTTGGTCTTTCAACGCGTCGCTCGCATTAAACATCGCCGCCATTGTGATATCATCGTAGTCGTTGTTGGTTACCAATTCCACCTTCCAAATTTTGTCTATAGATATCCCTCGGCAGAAAAGCGTCTTTGGTGTAGCTAAAAAACCACGACCAATAAACCTTTTCATTTTAGCATTTGAACGAGCGCTTGTAGCAATGAATCCATCCAATGTCACTTTATGTGCGACTATTTTTGCGTCACTTTCAAAACGAGATGAATCGGAATGAGTGAAGTCTAAGACCCAAGAGGGCGTCTCTGTGCCCTCGTTGGTCTTTGATTGTCTTTCACCCCAGAATTTTATATAGCTTGAAATGCTTGCACCGGGAGTGGTATTATAATACCTGGCTGTTGCTCGTTTATAAGTGTCCTCCCATGGCTCGGTATAGTTAACGTGGATAAGTCGCCCAAGATGTCTTGGTAGGAGAGACTCCAACGCAAATATCTTATCTCGTGGGTTAGTTGCTTTATAAGTGCCTGTACATTCTAAGAGATTAACAAACGTATTAAAGTTCTCGTCTTTTTTTCTCGAGAAACCTTGTCGAAGATAAATTAGTATTGGAACCGATAATGGCCGCATCCTCCGGGCTTGGGATATTAGACTCGATAACGAAACGCCGGGCTCTAAGTTAATGAATTCAAAGGTTAGCATGCTAAAATTTAAATCAAATTACCTATGAGGTAGTTATAAGCCTTAATAAAGGAATTTGGTATTTTCGCACTTACTGTATCCAGTGGTATCTTTCAATTCCTCAATGGTTTTACCCAACGTCTCGCTAAGCTCAAAGACCATGTTCATTGCGGCTGTCAAATCGGCAAACGAGAACTGGGTTCCTTTGAAATAGAATATTGGTGAAGATCTAGGAAGTGCTGCTTCTTGAATTGTCCAAATTCTCTCCCACCACTCCTGTGAGAATATATCTTGGATGCAGCGATACAGCATAATATAGAGCGCCAACTTCTTTTCAATACATTCCCCCTGCAATGGACATTCTTTCAAGGTTGAAAGAATAGTACAAAGGTCGTATTGGCGTATTCCCTCTTCTTCAAATTTCGCTATGACTAAAGGATCAACCTCGTCTGGTTTTCGTTCGGTATCTGACTCTGAGATCTGGTCTGATGTATCACCTAACCAAACAATCGTTTTTCTTGCTTCAGTATAAATGTCCCTCATTAAGCGGACCTGATGCATCTTCTCTGTGTCATTTGCTTGATCGATGCAAATCGCATCTACCCATATACAAAGATCTTGACAGGAGTTGGTATTGCGTAAGTTATGAAGTATTTCGTAAAGATTCTCTGTTACGTCAAAAGGGACGTCATTGACTGAAATGCGTTTTTTTGTCAGACCTTTCCCCCAAACATATGACAAGGCTACCTCGATACCGTCTCGATATAAATTTCGCTCTTCAAGACTACATCGAATATCGTCACCCGTACCACACAGAACCCTCAAAATTCGGATTTGACCAGTTGTACAATCAAGTGGCTCCATGTTTAAGTGCCGGGATGGCGGTTCTTTCAGAATTCCATGTTTCGAATTTTCGTTCTCTGTTGGCTGTTGTACCTCAGCTGACATAATCTTCTCGCATAAGCTTGAAAGAACATAGAGCGTCTTGCTTAAACCGGGTATAAACTTTGTGAAGCCTTCTCCCGGAGCAAAATCGATGTTAAACACATTCATGATTTCGTAAATCAAGGAGTTTAATATATCGTCAAGCCCACGATTTGTGGCAAGACTATCACTATTATTTTCGCTTGTTCCATCTTCTTTTTCCCACTTTTGACACTCATTTATAAACTGGACTTTATGGTGAAGTTTGATGAATTCCTCACTGACACCTTCAGGTTGTTTGGAGCATATATTTTCAAATAATTTGCACGCCCGGTTGTACTTGTCGATTATCTTACTCTGCCCAAAGATATATTCGTGCAAAGCTTCATTAATAAAGCTAAACCGAATAGGTTCTTTTTCACAAAGCTCGCTTAGTATGGTTTGAGTGGTGAAAAGAATCGAGTAATCCTCAGACAGTTTTGAATGGAATTCATTGAGCTCTGTGACTGGGGTCGTTATCGATGGAAACGGTAAGAATGTGATGTCCCTTTGTGGTTCAGTCAGAGGTGTTGATATAGCTGGAGGAAATGGTGTAACTGGAGAAGATGGTATAGTCGGAGAAGATAGTGTAGTTAGAGAAGACGTCATGGCTGGAGGATATGGTATATCCAGAGGAAATGGTGAAGTAGGAGAAGATAGTATAGCCGAAGAAGATGATGTAGTCGAAGGAGATGGTATAGCCCCGGGGGGGAGGAGGGGGGGGGGCAGTGAAATGAGGTGTTTGCGCCTCAAATATCTAATCGGCAAAGAGGTAATGATCCCCATTCTTTGATAAACTCTCGTTCTCTTTCTTGCTTGTTGTGAAGTGTAAAGAGGACATGAAGTTAGATTTTTCAAGTAGAACCTAAATGCGTTTATATCCCCATTATAGCTTATTCATTTAACATAACTGCTCGTTTATGACAATCACAATGCAGCATAATTGTGCGACCCTTACATCACATTACATAGCCACACCATGGTTATTGATAACCATTACGCACCCTCAAAAGTGCTATGCTTATTTGTTAATAGATCACTTGTAGATAATGTTAGAGCCGGTGCCAACCTTCTGATACGTGTTATCAAAAGAGAGGAAACAGCTTCGTTTTTCCACGGGGAACTATAAGCCAGCTACGAGAGCCTGCAGCTATACATGGTAGATACTTACAATGCCATTTGTTGAAGTGCTGCATAAGAAAAAACGCCATATTTACTGCCTAAAGGTATAGCCTCAATACTGCCACTTGGAATAAAGTAAGTTGACCAGTGTTGGATGGCTTTTAGAGTCGACAGAATTGCCAGCTAGTTTACTAAGGAACGTAGCGCTTTTACCGCAAGAACTTAGCTTGACACGAATGACCTGACCTAGCCTGCTTCTAAAGTGACTAGAAGCTGAAAGCTTCGCCACATATCATGAGAGGTTTGGGCATCCATGCTGATGTGGCCTGAGAAGGCAACTAATCATACTACGAAATATGCGACAATGAAAGAAATGTTTCCCTAAAGCCGTGCTGCCCATTTTCGTATCTAATAATTAATTTTGTGCTTGTGACCTTCGGTGCTGACAACACATATGTTGACGCAGGGTGAGAACTATATTCAGCCTACTGCTGAAAGATGAGTTAACCAATTAGAACATTTATAGCTATAGATGCCTAGGTAGGTATCTAGAGCAATTGATCACTCATTACTAGCAGCCATTATGCCAGCGAAATGTCCAACTAAGTGTCAACCACATTCCGAGACAATAAAAAACGGGACACGAATACCTTCGCCAGACCTAGCTGTTGGCTATGTAATATTAGCTGTTTCTATACATGAACTCTTGTCGTTAACCTAAGAATATAGTACTCCGGCGCATTGTGCTGCTTTAGAAAAATCCCTTGTTTCATTTCTCGACAGAGTCCATATTTTTCAAAGCATTTGATATCCCATTGCGAGCCTCGCCATTAATTGCCAAGTCGCCAGTGTCAACAGAAAGTTCCAGCGTTTCATACCCAGCGGCTCTTCGGTATCACATGGTGGGCCTGTCATAAATGCACAAGCTGTGCTGCCATCTAATTGCTCTATGGAATTCATCTCTTTGAACAGCACAGCTACACAACGTATAATCCAATCAGTCTCTACCCATGCCCGCCATTCCATTGCACTGCCTGCCACGGGGGGCTCTTCGAGTACCATGGTAAGTCGCCAGATAGGGAAAACGAGCCATGGGGCGAAGTCTGTACTGGTGATCCGAGCCACAAAAGAGTTCAGGTTTTTCCACTTGACAATAAATGCTTCGGGCAACTCTTCGCCCATTTCGATAATCGCAGACAAGATTTCCCAGAGATGTGCTTCAGCGAATTGAAATTTTACTTCCATTTCGTAGCGGTGGGTTGTAAACTGCTTATAGAATATAGCAGGGCAAATTACTAGAAAATGATTCGCAGTATAATTTTTGAAAAGTTTAAAATGCAGGCTGTGATCCCTTTAGTTGGCGGGACTAGGCAATATTTAAGGGGTGTAGCAAAGCTCAAGTCGTAGCAGCTTTAAACGCTACGAGGACGGATGGTTCTCTTAGGAGTCTGTCTTTTTACAGAGTTGCGGTGCGTGTCGCCTTCGTTGGGCGCCTTGTTCAAGTCCTAAGAATAACACTTCATTTGCTATATGTATCTAAAGTGCATTGACAAGCGATATTAATTACCTACGAAATAAACCACGAACCATCGCTAACTAGGCGAAAGCCTGGTTAGTTTATGAAATTTGACTTCCCATGAAAAGGAGGGCGTACCCCTAACTCGGCAGCTGAGAACACCACGCAAGCGTGTGACATCCCACCGTCCAGCTTCGTAACATAGCAAAGTTCAAGATCTGATCCCTTGTACCAGAAGAAACTTTAGTTCCGTATATCGTTGGTTCTGTCTGTTTCTGGTGACCTCACAGATCCAATTTTTGAACGATGGCAAGGCGATATTGTGCCTAGCTAAGTAGTAGTTTCGAGGCTCCAACTGCTGACGATAGCATGGCTAGGTTGATAGATATGGCGGACGGCATTGGTCATCGCGGAGCGGTTTAGAATAGACGAGGTAAGCCGGAGTGGCCAATGAGTACCCGTGTAAAGCATTACCTCGCGGTGATAGGCAACGCCGGCAAGGTTAAGAATATCCTATAGTAGTAGCATAATGGAGCAAACTTTGAATCGGACCCAAAATTATCATAGGCAGCTGTCTTTTTTAATACTACTACTACCTCATACCGATATACACCATTATGTACCTAATCTGCAGAGCCCAAGTCATAAGATAAGTAGGAGTCTAGGAACAGTGATGCCTCTGCCGACAATGCAACCCGAACGCCATTTCGTGCCGCCAATTATGTGCGTCGTACAACCTCATTCTTCCGCTGGGAATGCATTCTATTAACAAACTTATGTCCTCCCCGTTGAAAATGAATATCCCGGGAAGCCTCTAGCGAGAATCCAAATAAACTTTTCCCAACTTTCCTTGTTAGGGTATCAATCCAATACTCCAATGCCGATGATAGTAATCGTAGGTCAAATTCGAAAATCGTAAGCTCGTTTATAAATACTGAGCGGTGTACGACCTTGCGTGTCATCCCAACAAGGACAATTTGAGGGGGCCCCTATTAACCTCTGCGCTCTAATAAACCCCCGGCCATATTCAACGTCATAGGTATCGCTGGCCGTTGAATTTCCAAGCTCCTGCTCGGGACCATCCTCCCGCCCGGCGTCCTCGGATGAGGTACGTTTACCCGTCCGCTCCGCTCCGTGAGTCTGCTAGGCGTTTCAACTGCTTCGTCCGCACTATCCGAATCGCCATCGTCGTAACTAGCCAACCTCGTGAAATAATCGGCAAGACCGTCTACGCTGGGCGTTCCGACGACGACATCGTATTGAGGCGGCGGCGTAGGCATGGGTGGCGGCGGCTCGTCGTCGTCGAAGGCCGGAGGGTTAAAACTCGGGCATCTTAGGAGATGCATAGGCCGCGGTGCCCAAGGCATGTAAGACTGTCTCTGCACAGGCTGCGAGCCGGCTGCCGGATGCTGCTGTACGTGGGCGGCCGGGGGCGGTACAATTCCGGGAGAGTCGGCGCCGGCAATACTAACACCGGCTTCAACGGAGGGTATCGTACCTGTGCTGGACGCGGGGCTAGGACTCGTGGCGAGTATCTCGGCGTCGGGACAGCCGCAACTCGCCTGCTGGCGATACATAGGCTGGTCGGCGCCTGAATACTCGGGCAGGGCGGTGTTGGCTTGTGTGGCACGGCAGTTAAGGACGGTAAAAGGCGAGTCGATGCTAATCTCGAAATGTCGACGTCGCTTGCCTGCGGGATCTTCGGGATCGAGGCGAGAGATGCGCATGACAATCTGCAAAGAGTTAATTATATACTCGCCATCGTACAAGATTTCGCAGGGGAAATCTTAAGAGATAATCATACCTTAATCCAATGGTATACGTTTACATTCTTCCAACTGCAGTCAGGATGCAACCGTAAGCTCTTGTCTTTGGCCATCTGCGCACAGGTTGGAATCTGGACGTTCATCTCGATCTCCGTCGATCCCCAATAAGCCTCCAGTCCCAAATCTAGATCGCCTAGTAAGTTGTCCGTTGGATCAGGCAGCGGCTGGGGTGCCGTATGCGCTCTCGAGGCCTCTATACTCCGCCGCCGTTGCGCCGCGATACGCGCCTCTTGTCTCTGATTCGGGGTCAGCTCGCCGCCGCTCAGAACCCTCACATCCGATGCCTCGAACTGCTTGTCTAGAGGCTTCCCCGCCGACTTCTCCAGCAACAATATCTTCCGTCCCGGGTCCTTCCGAGTAACCCGTCGATCATTTGTCCAATACTCGACAGATTCGGTCACAAACACTTTTAGCTTGTGAACCTGCACCTTGGCTAACGGCGTCAGTTTGAAGGCGATGGGGATTTTGGTGCCAATAGGAAAAGATTTTCCCGATATCATTATGTCGTAGTGCAGCTGATCTTCCCACTGCCTGCTGATAGAGATGGGCTCCGTCATTTCGAGGGATAGCTGGTCCGGGACGCGCACGATGCAAACTTCCTTGGCGCCGTGGAGATTGGGTTTGAAGGCGCCAGCTCGCTCTACGATGGCCTCTAATTCCCATTTAACCGATCCAAATTGGAGCTTCGTAGTCTCGAGCTGATGGTGGTCGATGGGCAATTCGAAAGAGTACTCGTAAGTGCCGGGATAAAATACTTTGTATGTCTTCTGCTGCACGATATTTGGGTTGGGCGTGTCACCCTTACCGAAGCTACGAGACTGCACAGACTGAAGCGATAATCGCTTGTAATCACGAGCTGTTAGGTGACCAGTAGGCCTATTCTTCAAGGCTAAAGAAATTGTCGACTGGGAGGGAGATGCGCCCCGGCGACCGGCAGCGTACTCGGCGTTCCCCCGGATCGAATATGTACACTGGTTCCCAAACTCGGTCTCCCCCGTCTCGTGCGCGGCGTGGAAGAATGCCAACACCTGAGTCCTGAGCGATTCTTCCTCAAACTGATCAACTTTCATGGGCGGGATACCCTCCGGCCATTCTGTCCTAGCTCTGCCGTGAAGCTTGAGGGTCACGGACTTTATCTTCACATTCTTGGTTACGTTTAGCTGTAGTTTACCCCTTAGTAGCGCCGTGGAGTTAGCTGCGTCATTCCGAGGCTGACCGTCGTGCTCGAACCCGGTAAGAAAGACGTTCGGCTCCGCCAAGATTATAGAACACGAAACTCCGCTTCCGCTCGCCACAGGTTTTGGGACTTCGGTTACAGAGCTCATTATGCTCTTAGCTGAGCGCACCGATATTATACTATTTCGATGCGAAGCATGAGAGCGTGTCGCCAGCATTGGCGACTGAACGGGGGCCGTCATGGCAGAGGTTCCTAACATCGAAGGTGCTGTGGTGGAAGAAGGAAACACAAACATGGATTGCGGTCGAACAGGCAGGTTATTAGGTGTGCACGGTCTCGGGGCTGGTCTCGAATTACCGGAGACGCTAGGAGGCGTAGGATTGTCCACAGCCACGTACTGCGAGAAGTGGAGCTTTAAAGGTCCTAGTACCCTCTCAATTACCCGCCGTGGTGAGCTTTTATATCCGGATGCGTCTTCCTTATTTGCCTCAGCTCTATTACTCCTATCCTTCCTAAATTTAGACGACTTGGATTTGACGAAAGGAGGCGGTCTTAAGTCGGGAGGTGTATAACCGGCGGGATAGGATACGATATGGATAGACTGAGGTCGACGCTGGCGTGGTCGGATATGCGGGGTGGGTAGGCTCGGAGTTGGGCGGTGTCTCCGTTCTGATGACCTCGGCCTATAGTAAACGTTCCCAGCTACGGGGTATGCGTATTGTTCCGGGCGATCTGTGCCACTTACGTCTGCCATGATGATGCTGTTAGGAATAAAGAACTAAAAAATATTTGGCCGCCAGAAATGCACAAGGGGGAGCGAACGGTTCTCCCGTCGTCTACTTGTTGAATCGGATCCGTGCTCAAGATATGCTTAGCAAGGCGCATACCAAGCCAGCGGGGATTACACGACGCGGACGAACGGGATAGCTCCGAATCATGCGGCGACAACTTGTGCTAAGCAGGAGCGCGTGTGATGGGTAGAATTAGATGTTCATAGGCATCGTAGGGTTAAGCGTGGCCAGGAAAAGTAGGCCACAAGGCTAAAAAAAAGAAACAAAATAAAATAAAATAAAAGTGAAATGGAGCAGGCTGAAAAGAGCAGTACGATGGTGTTGAAGAGGAAGGAGGGTAGAACCTACGACAAGGTGAATCATAACCAGGTCATGATTGACACTGGGGGGGACCCAATTGTAAGTGATAGGCAATAAGTGATAGGCAAGTAAGTATGTAATAGGCAGGGCTAGATGGCTGGTCAGGTCGCTGAATAGAGAGCAGAGACAAAAAAAAGTAAATAGCCGCTTAGAAGGAAACACCTGGGGTTGGAAAGTCCAGGATGTTACTGCGAACCATACGCACGTTGTGTGTCCCCGCCTAATGCGTGTAAGAGCGTGTAAGAGGTAAGTAATAAGAAAGTAGTATCTGACTGGAACGCAACGACGAGAAAGAAACGTTTGCAGCGAGAGTGAGATTGTATGTACAATACAAAATACAAATGCGGGTGAATTAGGGCGGATTCGATGCGGTCAAGGAGGTAAGTATGGGTATGTAGTATGGGTAAGTATGGGTAGTATGATGTGGTCGGCTGGGTGTTGAGCAATTATTGGGGGATTATTGGGGGTAGGATGTCGACATTATTCGCTAGATTTTCTTTTCCTGTCGGTGAGAAGTGGGCGGGATGGGGATGGGGATGGGATGGCTGTTAGAATATACCCTTTTGACAGTTTGATGCGATGTTGAGGAAAGGTTGGTTGGACCAGGTTTAGTAGCAGATGACGGTATTTCACTAATAAGACGCCAAAGATGGGCGCTAACTACGATGAGTTTCCTATGATGTATTATTTTCAAGGGTAAGCCCCTGTTGATGTTGTTTACACTAATACCTAGTAGGGTTAAGCCTGTAAATCGTTGAAGACTAGTCCTGCCAACATACATGTAGTGACTGCGGCGCAGTCGGCATTTGTCTAGGTACGTATCTATGATCTACTACATGGTATGCAGATTCCAAATTCCAATTGCTTGATAGATTAGGTACCTAGGTTAGGTATACATATAATTAAAATAGAAAATTCATCAGTACATTTAATTTTGGAAGATTATTTTTCAAAGAGCAGTAGTATTTTAGCTCTATCATATTTTCATCATGTGTACATTTATAAGTCATAAACGACGAGTTGTGAATTATAAATGACCACGCTCTCATGACAGAGGGAGGTATTTATGATAATTCCATGCTCTTTCAAATAAAATAAAATAAAATAAATGCAACAGCCCGATTACATCCTAGTCTCACCCAGGTTCATCCAAAATATTCATCCCAAATCAGGTATCCGTGGAGGGGCCAATATTTAAATTTTTATACCAATCAATCATGTGAACGTTCAGATATAGATCCCCACGTCACAAGCAAGTAAGTCGTGAGCCAGTAAGAAGGCCACTATCTTGGAATATCCCTGTAAAAAGAATATGCAGTACCGTGTACAGTACCGTAGCCGACAGCTTTTGGTTGCTAGGTTAAGGTAGCTTAGGTAGCTTAGGTAGCTAGGTAGCTAGTGTAAGTCTTGTAATTCTTCACAGGGAACTCAATTCATGCTGACCATGTACAAAATGAGACGAGGCGAGTCGGAAACGAGATGGGCATTTCCGGTTCTAGTCCGAGAGGCCAAGTCACACCGCATATACTATGTATATGAAGATGAACCGGACTAATCCGTCATGACTTTAATGTTGGAAGTTGGAGATTTCAAAAGCCGGTCAAAAAAGGTAAGGCAAGAAAAGACACTATCTTATCCGTCTCTTCCGAATACGCTAGACTATATATAAACAAAATATCCCATCTAAATAATAATAAATGCCGTGTGTTCCCCGAATTTCCCGGGTTGGCGGATTACAGCGATCTAAAAAGTAAAAATACCGGAGAACCAAGTCTAGCCTTATAATGCATAGAGCCGTTTTGTCATTTTCTTTGCGGTTCGACGATTCTCAACCCGTTCAACTTTAATTTGAACTGACTCATGCGGCCTGCGCGACATTCTAGATTGGGTAACATAGATGCGGAACGTTCGGCAGCTCGCGAGGCTTTGCAGCCTGCCTTGTCGTCATCACCGATAATCGGGATTCCGCAAGTGGTACTGAACGCTGACATGCAGCCCAACGCCTTAATATCGAATTCCCGCGTTAAGATGAGTCTCGGGAAATCTTCTAGCTATCTGTGCTACCTCCTAAGCCACCTAATGACAAGATTCGTTCGGTATTTATTAGTAAAGGGAGTATAATTTGACCTGACTCCGAACCTCGTACGCCTCAATTGATATAGCAAACATGCTTCTATGTACGGATCCGTATATAAAGAGAGTTTGTACAGGGTATGTAAGACATGATCAAAAATGTTGCCTGCCAAGACATCGATCACATCGATCACATCGTACCGCCCCCACCACTTCTACAATTACTAGATAATAACGATGAAGATCAAGCCAGATAGGCATCCAATAGACACTCGGTAGAAGCTAAATATGAACAACTCATGATTCGTAGCGTATATAAAACATACGATTTCGATCAATATAATCCTAGTTGCTAGGTAATAGTTGGAAACATCTCTTTGGTTATGTCTCGCTTCGGCTTGGCGTTTGTATATGCCTTGTTTAATATTTCAATGCCGCTTTTTGTAACACTAATCTAGCGCTATACCAAGTCTTCCGACTGTACCCCGGTATACCATCTTAGTTTTGAATAGTCTCCAAGAGTAACTATTCGTAGAGCCCTTTTAAAGCTGGGTCCATAACTCGCGATCGTTGCATCCAAGCCAACCGCAACTGGGGAACACGCGGTCAAGTCTATCACACAGGCCAGTGCCCGCCGCATCGTAAAAACAAAAACAAACAAAACAAAATAGTAGAACGGATAGGTCCAAACGAAATCCAGATATTCCGGGTCATTATTTTCCATTTCGCCCTTATGATGACATACGTGTACCTATGCGTTCATCTCATTTCATCCGAAAGGGGTAGCAGAGCAGACAAGCAATAGCCGCCTAACCAATTCTACTACCCATATTTATTCTCTTAAAGTATAATCTAGCTCAGAAAAACTAAAATAGACGAAGAAGATGGCCTCTCCATCTTCATCCCGGTCATGAAGGTAATGTCAAGCAGACGCCATGCTCAGATCAGGAAGCAAGTTGCCATTCTTATCACACTTTGATGTCCGCGTTTCACTCTTCAGAAAGAGACGCCCAGCTGCGTTATTTACCATATTATATATGATGATTATACATATGAGGATCATCATTACTCTAAGAATCTTTTTATCTTAATACCCTAGGCGTAAAGTTGACCAGTTATCGAGATATTACACGACTATTATCCTATCACTCATACAGCTCTGATGTATTTTAAAGATATGTCGGCATAAAGTGAGAGCAGTCTATTTTATTTAAAGTGAAAGTATTTAATATAGTTCCAAGTTCAGCATCTCGGAAATAGGGTGGGTGTTTTACCTCTGGCAATTAGATAATCGTTGAAGCTAGACTGGCTCGTAAATCCTCTATGATAAAGAGATAGGTCGTAAACCTGCTCATTCCGAATTTCTTACTGTTACAAGTCGTCTCTTCTAGTTTAGAAGTAAAAATAGGGTTTCCATCAAATGACCAGAGCCAACCGACCTTATCTCGTCCTTCAAAATCAGCTGTGTTGAATCCTTCCTCGCGTAGATTCATCTACGTCGTTAGTCCCACAGATCATAACTAGGTATTCTATTGATTTAGTATACGAATAATTGTGAGGCGCGTCTTAAAGTTGATACCCAGAGTGACGACTGTAACTCTATGTCTTTGATTGTCCGAAAATAGTTAGCTATTAACGTAAACGTCAGTTATGCTTACGATTCATTCGTCACGATTGAATTATATATGTCTACCAATATCAAGGAAGATATATGAATACCTATCGTATTAAGCACGAAGTAACTTGATAATCTTGTAGACGACGGGGCCAACAAGTACCGCAAAGGGAGGTGCGTTATTCAAACTTCCCAATACTACCTACCTAACCTTTACAGAAACACACCAACTAATAAGAGTATACTACGTTACCTGTTCAGGACATCATGCTCGCCATAGAACACGCATGATATTGTTATCGTAAAATAATTATAAAAAAAAGTTCATTAGAAATATAAGTTACCTACCTAGGTACCTAGGTAAGGTAGTTTAGTTGATTATATGCAAGTGTTATACCTACGTTAACTTATCAGCTATAACAAGCATAACACAATTAACAAAATCCTCCTTCTATCGCCTGTTACATATTATACCCAAGTCAAAGACAAACTATCTTGGTTCTCAAGAAAACGACTTAGGATTATTGGGGGGTAGGTAGCCTACTTTATAGAAGTATCTTCTCGGTGTTATTAGGTGATGAAAAATACAATAAATTCAAGGGAACATAAGTTCAGGGGTTGATTTGTGTCTACCTATGCTTCAGAAAAAGTCACCACCCGAAGACAAATTTAAGCACGTGGTAAAGACAGCTTCAAGCAAGACTCGTAGAATAGTTGCAGATTGTAAACAAGGAGTGTAAATTAATACTGTTCCCAGCTATGGTAAGTAGCCAGGTCTATTCAACCCCCCAACACCGATATGCAAATAGTGTGATGCCCAAATACATAAACCACAATATATCCGATCTTAAAATGTAGTCGCTTCCTTTGCCGGATCACGAAGCAACACAGCACCGTCTACCCAACGTATAAGCATCCGGTTGTTAAGTCGGACATACAAGGGCCACAAGCGATTGTATCATAGGTATGTAATTAAGAGTCGAGGCTGTCGATGTACAAGCAGTCCGATCCGCCCTCGACAAACTCAGTAGAGCCAAGCGATCCAATAAACTCGCAAAGTTCTCCCTGGACGAAGTTTACACCGTGGCAGAACCAGTAGTCGCTGTCCTGCCTCTCGCTCAGCTCGCCGCGCTTGGCCTTCTCGAAAGATCCCGTGCAGGCCTTCATGCAAGAGTCCAGGCTGTCGTTCTCCGGTCGGATCAAGGTCTGGGAAGCGACGGCGGGCGTACACTTGGTGTCGCACCTGACTAGGCCGAGGTACGGGTTTCCGAATGCCGGGGAGTCGGCGGTGTAGGGGGGGCATTGGCAGAAAGCGTTGTAGTCTGGGTACCCGGTTGTCTGGTTAGGGTTGTCGCAGGCAGTTCCGGTTGGTTCGGGCGCCGTCACAGGCGTCGGCGAGCAATCTCGCCTCAGCACGGCACCTCCTGCAGCAGCGGTGCTGGCCAAGGTGGACAGTAGGCAAAGGCCAAACCAGAACGAGGTGCTGTTGTTTCCGAGCATTTTGTTTGATTTGATTTGATTTGGTTAGGTTTGATGTTGATTAGATGTTGATGAAGCGATTGTGGGTAATAAAACGAGAGTTGTCTGTTTTGTTGATGAAGAATTGCAACATTCAAGCGAAGACTTCTAGAACTTATATATATCATCAACTACCGTCTAAATCCCATGGCATGGGCAAGAGGCTTTGAAGATCTCAGCCGTTCGTTAACATCCTGACAAGGAATCGTCAATGGATCTACAAATAGCAGTCAGTACTGGCGCTCTGATTGGTTATCCTCTGCGAGCTGTTTATAAAACAGCCTATATAACCCGCAGTTCGCCAATTCATGCGCAGCCCAAGAATCCTTCGGTTATCGGCAAGGCCATGCACAATTGGCGGAGGCGATCAATGAAAGCGATGCCAAGCGTGTTGGAGCTACATAAAACATACATAGCCCCAATTCTTCAGCTTCTCGGTAGGGTAATGTAATACGACGATGAACCAGTAAGCTAACCCAAGTTAACTTACGACAATGTGGTTGCTGACTGAGGTTTCATTTATTTAGATGCAACTTGAGACATTTGCCAGCCGTGCTGGAAGCAACTACACTTCTTGAATAGAGTGCAACGTTGCGGCTAAGTATAAGAACCTGCCACTCTCGTACGTGGAAATTGTTCCGTCCTTCTACTGAGGCTCATGAGACAAGGACATACGAGCTACTATAGTCGTGTCATAAATTCTTATTGGTGCCTCACAGCGAAGTTATGGCATCAAAACATCGTATAGCTAAGACCAAGCCTTAAACGAGTATACGACGAGCTTGGCGTAAGCTATATACATCAACCTCTATAGTAACATCTCAGCCGACGCCATCACTGACTGGGTATGTATTGGACGCGTATACGACGCGACACGTCGAAAGAGGTTCCATCGAAATTTATAACATACTTTACTCGTCCAGTCTAAGAATAATTCTCTATTAAGGTTACAGTTTCATAGAACTCTAGGGAAGCAAATCAATTAGAGGTCCTGTCGTATTGCAAACGAAGAATAGTTTACCAGGTTAATTAACTAGTTGTAATAAAATCATCGACATTCTTGGCCATCGTTTTTCTAACAATCTTGATCCTTGACTAATTCCAGAAATATTCAAGCCGTATCCGTGCCATATCCAATCGCACTCTTATTGGGCAGCTTAAGTTGTGAATCGTATATTCTCCAAACCTCATCATCATAATCATCATTTTAGCCCTTTATGTGTATGTATCCTTCCCACTAACATCTCTGCGGCCGTGACTCGTCGAAAGGTCAACGTCGTCCGCGCCGTCGAGCCATTGCTCCATCTTCTTGTACAACTCCAACCGTAGTATATCGAAAGACCCAGGTTCCGGACCTTGAATAGTTGGAAGAGAAGGGTCGATATCGTGCCCGAGTGTGCTTTGAGCTGCACCAAGATACTTATACCCTTCTGGGTACCTGTCGAGCGCATCCTTAGGGAAGCTTGGAATAACCTTGCCGTCGACAGGAACAAGCTTGTCTTTCTCATATATTAGCTTGACGTACTTAACCTTCCAGGCATGGGTATCCAAGTCACGAAAACAGAAGAAATGGAACCGACAGTCGCAGTCCACGTCGAATATGACCGGTTCGAGTCCTGCGCTGTTGTTCTCTCCGATCTTAAATCGTTGAGTTATAGTTGCCTTCATCTTGCCAACTGCTCGGAGCGTCGACAAGTTGAGATCCACAAGAGTGCCGCATTCGCGATGCATGATGAAGTCGCCATTTGACTTTCCCTCTTTTGACTTTTGGATAAAGCTGTCAATGGGCTGACGCTTACTCCACGCTGGACGAGACCAAACCGATTAGCATTGTTATCCTCCCAGTCTTAATATCAAGAGGCGGTTACTAACTCGTCCAGACGTACGCGTCATCAGAGAAAAGGGAGCGAAAGTTCTTCCACTCCGATGCGTCGCGATATACGGGCCAACCCTTGCACAATTCGGCCACAGCTAATCTAGACAGGATGTCGCCTTCCCTACCGTTTATATGGGAATAGACTTTGGCTTGAGGATCGTCTGGCGTAGTCATTTTTAATTTAATGTATTTTACGGTGCTCAAGACAGGAGGATGATATAGAGGGGGATATATAGATATATATAGATACCTAATATAGGTAAGATAAGTGTGATTCGATTCTGCCGTGATATGACTGAGAGCAAGATGTCTTCTCCTCTAACTAGACACTCCTATTAATGTAAACGGGATATCGCCACCTTTAATACAGCCCGTCCATCATCCCGTGCGCCTCGCAGCAAATTTTCTTCTTCGCCAATCCCGGAGATATGCAAAAGCCTGTCATGTGCAAAATCCTGTCATGTGCAAAAGCCTGTCCTCGCCCGAAGAGACGTTCTGCTTGTTACGGCTCGCACGGGAGGTCATCAGGCCTGTAATACCGACCTCGCCAGCAACTGGTGGTATTACGGCAACTAGCCGCCGGCGTACTCGCCATGACTAGATAGCCTGACTTCGGTGCCTATAACAATATATGTAATGATATCCAGAAGTAATGATTGGATTCCTTTGCCCGTCTACCTGGGTAGGTACCTAGAGATATGAGGTGAAGTTCTGGTCAGCTACCGAAAGAATGACATAAATGAGACCTAATTATTAGCCCTACGGAACCTGTTAATAGCAAAAGTACTGGAATCTAAGAGAAGAGCATAAATATACCCTGGTCTATTAAAAAGCAATAATGCGCTTCGTCCCGTCTTACCGGTCGGTCTGCCCAGGCACTAAAGACAGGTAGATTGATAGGTATGTAAATTGCAACTAGGAGAATCACTCAAGACGACACACCGACACGTGTTTCGTAGTAAACGCATCCGTCACACCGGCAGGCTGCGTCGAAGAGGCCTGCATGAGATCAAGATCGGTTTTTCATCCGACGCGTCCATTAACCGCGGTTGAAGCGTTCCCGTCCCATGCCAGCGACACCCACCTGCTCTGCCAAAAAAAAAATCCATGTTTGTTGGTGACGCATTCCACGGTGTCTCTGTATGATCCCGTTTCCTCGGTAGCTCGCATTTTCCCCACGGGATGGGTGTAAACGGTATCCCGAGAGATATTATGCTTGAGTTCGGGCGGCCTATCATTTCTTCGACATAGGCGACATTCTTGATAGCGATTCTTGATAGTGAAGGTAATGTGGCATCCCGGGAATCGTTTAGGACTTAGTATACCTATTTCATCTGTTGAATTAACCATGCCGCTTTTAACATATCATAACATATGAAAGCGGCTTATGATCCTTTTAATAGGTGTATTTAGTTTCAAGAAAAGGAACACGCGGGGGTTGGTTTCTACGTGGGGGGCTTTTTAAATGGATATTCTCTAATCTGGAAATATATCTGGTAAGATTGCTTGCTTGATGTGGGATAATCCTGCAGGCTATTCATAGTGCCGGGAGTTTGGTGAGAAAATCATACCCACCCTTGCCACTCTTAAAATCATTGGAATGAGGATCCTTGCATTTATCCCTGCATATGCCAAGTATTTCGACTCCGATCATATTTGAAGAGATAATACCATAGATATAAATTATGACGTTATTTATCTAACATAGTATATCATGATTAAATATATCATGATAAATGTTAACATGATTAGGTATTATTTATAAGCATATATCTTATAGAGGTAGCTGTTTAAGACATCAACATAGTATATACTTGAACTAACTACGTAATTATGTGTTGAGTATAACTAACCCGGTTTAGACTTAGGGTCAAAGTCATAGGATCCGGTCCGGGCCGGTATAATTACCAACGGCATCTATGATATGTAAGCAAGCCTCTATTAACTGTAAGAGTAAGCGCGAGTAAGTCCGAGATCAACTCTTAACCTTATCTATCAGTTTCCGATTCATGGCCGGAAATAGGCGATCTATACATGATACATGATACATGCATGTATGTAATCGACATAACTAATGCGTCTTAAGATCCTTCTTTATTCTCACCAGTGATCCTTGTAAGAAACTTAGGAAAAGAAATGGAAAAAAGAGGCAGGTAAAACTTCTTACCCTCCCCCTGTACTAAGAACTTACCAATCACTTATGTAGTATCCACGATGTGGGATGTGGGCATCTAACATCATGTTTTCTAATAATTTTTTGGCTTCTGACGAGAGACGGCCCCGTCAAATTTGTTGGCGCCGAAAATTTATTTTCTTTCCTGCTTAGCTCAAATGTAAGCATCGCCACATTATGTTCTTTTCTTCTTAATTTATATTTCTCTTCTTTTCACGGTCTGAGGAGATTTCTTTCGTACATCCGAATTTGTGTATTGGATTTTTGCGGCGGCTCGGGTCCTTAGGTTAGGTACGAATCACATTCGGAACTCGTCAATCTTTTTTAAGCACGTCAGCTTTGGGACGCCACTAAATCCACCTAACGGGGATGACGGTTAGCGGACATAGTGGCATTAGCTCTAGTGCTTCTAGCGCCACCGCGGCACCTGTCACAAGTCAGGAGGATATTATCATGGACGAACCGGTAGGATCGCCGCGTTATGGCACCGTGCCGTCACAGCCTGGCAGGACTTCCGATCCGGATGGCTCGTTCCTAATTAGCCAAGCCGGAACCTTATCCCCGATGCAAGACGACTCCTGGACGAGTAGCGATGAAAAAGACAGTGGTGATAGGAGGATGGATGAGCAGGTAGAAGAAGAGAAAGGTACCAAAAGTCGAGACTTAGCAAGGACGAGCACGAACATGTCTATCGCCGAAACGCTTTCCTTGCCTCAGGAAATCTTATTCGTCTTTGTTATTTGCCTCGCGCAACTCTTCACGCGTACGTCCCTCACTTACACTGCGGTGAAATCCGCGACTTAATCTCTTGCCGTAGCTAACGATCGTATGTAAAGAGAGTGGTCTTGGTCAAACCATAAGCATTATTCACACAATCGGTGAACATTTCGGTATCACGAATCCTGGAGAGCTAAGCTGGTTCATGGCCGGCTATAGCTTAACCGTAGGCACATTTATCCTTTTCTCAGGAAGGTTGGGCGATGTCTTCGGTCATAAAACCCTGTTTCTTATCGGTATGGGTTGGTATTCAATCTGGAGCGTAATCTGTGGGCTTTCCGTCTACTCGAATCACGTCCTTTTTATATTCGCTCGTGTTCTACAGGGAATCGGCCCCGCTATCATCCTTCCGAACGGATTGGCTATCCTTGGTATCACATACGCCCCCGGCCGGCGTAAGGAGATGATATTTGCTATCTTCGGCGCAATGGCACCGACCGGTTCTGTCATCGGTTCGCTATTCGCTGCTATCCTCGCTCTTGCCTGGTGGCCTTGGGCATTCTGGGCGTTTGGCATTGTTCTCGCCGCAACTGTTGTTATAGGCTACTATGTTATCCCGGAAGCTTCGAACAGGCATCATGCCCAGCCTAAAGGTTTGAAGAATACGTTACGAGAGCTCGATCTTGTAGGGACAGTCCTCGGCGTGGGTGGCCTTGTCCTCGTCAATTTTGCGTGGAATCAAGCCCCTATTGTAGGCTGGGACAAGCCTTACGTTTATGTTTTGCTCATCGTCGGGTTACTACTTCTTGCCGCGTTCTTCGTATTCGAACTAAAATTCGCTCAATACCCTCTCATTCCTTTCAATGCCTTCTCCTACGAAGTATCCTTCGTCCTAGCTGCTATAGCATGTGGGTGGTCTTGCTTCGGCATCTGGTTCTTCTACTCCTGGGAATTCCTGCTCGTCCTTCGAAGAGTACCGCCCTTGTTGGCTACGGCCATGTTCATTCCGACTGTTATCTCGGGAATTTTTGCCGCCCTCTTTACGGGTTATACTCTGCATCGGCTTAAGCCGCCTATAGTCATGACGATGGCTCTCGTTTTCTTTACAACAGGCATCATCATCCTCGCGACCTGTCCTGTTGAGCAGGTCTACTGGGCTCAGTATTTTGTTTCTGGCATTATCATGCCTTGGGGGAGTAAGTAACATTGGCAGTTCTTTTTTACCCATTTTTCATTTATCTTGGGAATCAGTACTTCCCTCCCGTACTAATCAAGGACTTGAAGTTCCCCGCAAATAACTGAGCCCTAAATTTCTTATTAGAAGTAACTAATTCTTAGTATAGTGGACATGAGCTTCCCCGCCGCAACCCTCATCCTCTCCGATGCTGTAGCACGAAAGCACCAAGGTATTGCCGCGAGCTTGGTTAATACCGTAGTCAACTACAGCATTTCGCTAGGGTTAGGCTTCGCAGGTACAGTCGAGACGCATGTCAACAAAGGCGGTGAGACCCCAGAGGATATCCTAAAAGGATACCGAGGGGCATACTACATGGGCATCGGGCTTGCGAGTCTAGGTGTGCTTGTGTGTATTGCTTTTATCGCTAAAAGTAAAACCCGAAAAAACACTACTAGCCAAGACACGCCTTGAAAATTTGGCATAATTAGGACGGCTTTATGCTACGTTACGCACCGCTTACTATTCCTCTCGATATATTGACCTTTAAGGGAGCAAAGATCCCGCAAGTTGCCTTACATACACCGAATCTACTTGGTGAAATGTAAGCCATTTTTGTCAATAAGTCTTAACGCAGAAATACTTCGGCAATATCAAAAGCAAAGTAGGATAACCTAGACGGTCGAATCCTACGGAGGTGCTGGGTACTGGGGGGTACCTAGGTGGTAATATCTCTTATTTAGGACATGCGATAGATTACGTTGCGTCGTATTTACGCTCATACGAGGATCACGATACTTAGAGGCGGCAATACTCGATAGACATGGAGGCGTAAATGACAGGTCGGTCAAGAATCGAGGGATAGGCATATATCAGCACAATAGATTCCAGTACACCTAAAAGTATTTTGATAATCAGGTAAATAAAAGTCGTTGCGGCTTTTTTCGTTGTATATATATATATATGCGATCTTAGATCTATGCGAACGAACTATGACAGCTGTATCCGTAGTTTGTAGCAAGCCAACCTCCTTTAGAACGCCATGTCACCCGGCGCTCAAACGCCCCTTTAATGCATTGCGTTGTGTAAACCGTTTATGGTCGAGAAATATATACATTTATAAATCAAGCCGCAATTTTCCGAACAGAAATTGAGTTCAGTCGGTATCGTCATCATTTTCGAGCTCTCCGGAATTCTGTACGCTACGGCCCACGGCATCTTGCCCACAAGTAGCGAAAGATGTGATCGCATTCCATCCTCTACCACCTGTCCGCATCACGAGATGTGGGTTGATATCTGCCGTGAAGTATCTTTCCCGCCTTGTACTAGCTCGGGCGCCGCCCTCTATTGCCGAGTACGCGCTCCTCGTCGTACGCATGCGCTTCCTTCCTGGCTGTCCACCTTCGCTGAGGAGGCTGCTGCGAGAAAGCCTTTCTTGTTGGAGCCTCTGATCATATGCCACAATGCCGCGTACGTATGGTGCGATATCAAGACTGATCGTCTTCATAGTTCCGTCAAATACTGAGGGCTCAAGGTAGCCCGCAGCCATATTCTTCTCCGAAGCGGCGATAGGGTCGAAGGCAAGGCTATAATCCAAGCGTACAACAGACGGCTCTGTACGCAGCAAGTCGCTAAGATAGACTTCTAGTTTGGTGGTGATCTGGGCTTCGCTTAACGGTTTATAGACGTCTCTGGCCCCACCAAACGTCTGGGCATCCCTTAACTTGTTTTTACTAAGATCTTTCAAGGCCGTGGACACGTCAAGACCCATCGTGTCGTATCGTACCGAAGGGAATGCCTCAAGTAACTGCCGACCTATAATGAAATCTTCTCTCGTCTTTGTCGGAATATGGGGGATCGAGGCGTCCATAGAAACCTGGTTAGGCACATCTGAGAAATCTGACGAGCCTATATCTGCATCGCTCATGAAGCCGGTAAAAGATTCGATTGACTTCAAAATTTCAAGCCTTTCCTTGGTGGATGACTCTCGCTCGATGGCTACTGTCTCCCAAGAAACAAGGTCATCATATGGGCATGATTCATATGTATCGAAAGACCAGTTACAGAAAGCTTGTTGATGTAGCTCCTCCTGTGTCGAACGCAGGAACGAATTGCTAACGACGGCGTCTCTATTTAACCAACCCATACCGGCTTGGTAAGTGTCCTGACTGACAACCCGAATAGTATCTCCTCCTTCGTCAACATCGCTGCCCTTAGGCCATCTGGGATAAAACCAGTTGAAGCCCCCTTGCGCATCTCCAACTCCAATTTGACACCAGTAATTGAGCTCAGTGATCGAAGCGCGGAGATCGTGGCCGCGTGAGTCATAGAGCGTCTCCACCGCGTGTCGTCGGAGGGCATGACCTTCATTTGCGGCTATCAAAAGTAGTAAGTCGACAGCTAGGTCCTTGGTCGGACTAGAAAAGCGGAAGATACCGTGCAGGTTCAAACTCTGCAGGGGAACCAAGGTCTCATCGTTGCAAGTCATGACGAAAGGACGTTTAGATTGTAAAATCATAGAGATAATAGTGGCCCAAAATTGTTTATCCTCTTCGTAGAGGACGTCGACTTCTTCTAGTAGGATTAGAGACTGCTTTTGTGTTTTGGAAGGCTTCTTTGCCTCCTTTACGCCGGACAAATCTGCCGACTTGGCCGGCTTTTGCGCTAGAGCTGGGTTTGGCTTGAAGAAAGCTGTCACGGTGCCTTGTTTTCCAGATTTTAGGTCCCGATCTACCTCGTCTTCGGGAACTACATCTTCTCGTTGCGAGTCGATTTTCTGGTGATGCTGGACGAGATGGTTCCGTGTCATATCCCCCACCTTCTCTAGGACGTCTTTGCCGTTTCTTCTAGCCCCTGCATTGATCTCGAATACTTCAAAGTCAAGCTCCTTGGCGATAGCATACACAGTAGCAGTTTTGCCACAACCATGTGGACCGCTGAGAACTACAGCGTTAACAAAGCGACCACCGTCTCGGGAGTCTCGATGAGAACCAGACCGCATCACTGTCTTCTTCGCATTGCCATGGCTGCCGCTTGCCGACCAGTCTCCTGCCGCGTCTGATATCTCGCTAAGTTCATCTGCCTCCTCGTCGCTGAAAACGACGAAACCATCCGATTTTTTCTTTCTCTTACCTTTACCTTTCGTTGAAGCAACTACCTTGGACTTTGTTCCAGAATCTATCGTACCGGTGTCCACGGCCAATACCTTTAAGTTTTCAAGCCAATCGCGCAGTAGCTCGGCTTCCCGACCACTCTGGAGCACTCGCTCCGCTGATGAGGGTGCATACTTCTGCGCCCAAGAGCTTGTCTCACAGGTCGACCTATCAAAAGCGGATAAACCTTTCTCGATAGAATTGTAGGCGTGCGCGATTGCCGGGTGTGTCTTTGGACCATTGCTACATCGATGAAGAGTTTTTAATTCGCCAAAAATACGCGCCTGGAGATTCTTTCCACTTTCGAAATGCCTTCCAGGAATCCGCAAGACTGCAGGAGGGGGATAAAACTCGTCATTGTCGCAAGCCTTTAATTCCCCAGCCAACTGCTTCAAGTTCAAATTCGACACAACCTGACTTAAAATAGATTCTGCTTCGCTAATTCGAACTTGCTGCCCTTTTGCCTTTCGTTCCTTCGGAAGGTATTCAGAAAACATATCTTCGCAGGTCTCGTAAGGCTGGGATATATCACCCCGTACGTGTGCCGCCTCTTTTGACGGCCAGGCCGGATGCTGTGCGCCTGGTACCTTGACATTATTGCTGTAACTCATACCGGGAGTCGGGAAGTTGAACCTGTGGGGTACTGGTCTTGGGTGTTTTGATAAGCTAGGAGTCGAGCTGAAAAATACATGTCTTTTGACTTGTGATGTTGTCGTAAGCTTGGATTTTTCCTTCTCTTCCGCGGCAGTGCTAGGTTTCGGTTTCCCTTGAAAGAATGGATGGGTCGGTTTGTCGGGTGTTATATCAGTCTTGGATGCGGCGGGCTGAAATACTTTCTCTCCTGATATACACTTAATAGCACCCTTCACCTGGGTATCTTCTTGCATGTCCAAGCTGTTGCCAGGCTGTTTATTTGTATCCCGGCTCGAGGGGGGCGTGTTGGGAAGAGCATCTCGTGCAATCTTGAGTTTCGTCCCTTGGGAACCTGCCAAAATCTCGTCGATCCTTTGCGCTATTCTAACTCGAGAGGTATCGTCACCCTGGCCGTAACGTATCGAAGCTAAGAAAGTCTTGGGTTTTCGACCCCGCTTCGTATTCTTCTTAGTTATAATAGGTTGGGATCTTGGAGGAGAGCCGATAGTTCCAGTTGCGAGGTTTAGTTTCAGCACCTTTGGTGGTTTAGAGGAACCTGTGCTATTAGTAAGTATTGTGCTTGCTCCACAGCACACTTTTATTGGGCTTCTCATACCTAAAGAAGTATCTCGGACATCGTCAGTTTGCCGATGTTTCCTCTTGCGCTTGTCCTTGCCTGAGAGAGGAGTTGAATCGGTATTGTTATCAACGGATTTAGGACTACAGGATGGGTCTGGCGTAACAGGGGTTATATTGTTAAACAGATTATCTTTGCAAGAATTCTTTGGTGCCACGAAAAAAGGATGTATTTTCTTATTCTCAGGGTCGACAATGTCGCCATTTTCAACCACGGTGACCATGATGACGGCAATAGCGATAGCTGCAATAGAGCACAACAAGCTACTATCAATAGAGTCGTCACATCCGTAGACACGAAGGAAAGATTCAACAAACAGTATCGTGCCTAATCATGGTTTGAACATATAAATAGACGTGTAAGTTATAGATTGTAGATTGTAGGTATATTGTTGTCTGTCGGCAAGAGGTAGGTGTTTGAATGATTAGATAGAGTGGCAGAGTGGGTAGCAGTGAACTTTCTCATTATTAAATTTACATGAATTAGAAAGGTACTCCAATAATCGCGTCTAAGTAATCGCGTCCGACGCGACTACCTCTTAATGTACATTATTGAATTGCTCAATTGAATTTTTGATCCACCAATGCTACCCCACAAAGTACATGCAGTACATTACCTTTAACTGCTTTAAGTAGTGCCGCTTAATTCTCGGGTCGGTGTTTTTCATATCCAAGTCCGACTTTGCAACTTTTTTTTTTTTTTTAGTCTCCCAAGTACATATGAGCAATTCACAATATAACACAGTCTATTGCTGTTGCCGGTGACAACCTCTTAATTCCAGTTGCGCAGTTACACATAAATATGGCTTCTCACTTTCAAATTCAGAAGCCATATGTGCTAGCTACGTTGCCTCGGCCCTTCGATCCAACAACAGGCCGCTATGTTGTTAGTGAGGTTTATGGATGCGCACCCGGTTCAAAGAAGAGGAAGCGCCATGAGCTTGCAGTAGGAATTGATGGAGAAGCTATCAATATTTATAATGTGAGAATGTTACAGAAGAACTATGCGCTCAGCTTATTAACCCTCTATAGGTTTCATCTGCCAGACTTGTCACTTCGTATCCGGTCCCTCCCCAGTCCCTCTTCTCGTGTCCTATAGCTTCCATTCGGCGCAAAATAGAAGAAACACAAGAGACTTCAAGATATACGTTCGCAGCTACTAAAGAGTCGCATCAACACAAGATAATCCAATTCAAGGACCACGTGGATTTATCTGATAATACGCACTCCACTACTAGATCGACATCGCTTGATCCAGGCCAACCAGTTATATGTGTTGCTCCTATTTTCGCGCCGGCTGCGCAAGGGCTAGCTGGCCATCAAACATCAGATGATGGGCTTCTTGTTGTGCGCACAGACGGGAAAGTGACTTATCTTGACGCCGAGACATTACAGAAGAAATGGGACTCGTCGCCCGCATCGTTGTATCAAGAGCTTCCGGGAGCTTCGAAAGCAGATTTCAGAATTGACTTTTGCTTTCCCGCGCCGCTATCAGATCTTATTCACGGTATATTCAAGGGCGATGGTGGCGCCTTGAGCGTCTTCCCTGACATCAAGCAAAACGTAAGCGCAGATGCCGAAGTCTTGGTTCTCATCTCGAGTTATGGCTCAAGCAGACAACAAAGTCGTCATCTTCATATCGTAGCCGTTCTACCACCGTCCCAAAGCTCGACCGGTGTCCAGCGCCAGGGTATTGTCCAGCTTCATGCTATTCCGATACCATCTTTCGTAAAAGAGGAAGCCAGTGCAGCCTCGTACCGTCTCGATCTTCGATCTGGAAGCCTACTTGAGTTGCGCGGCTCTACGTTCAGCATGTATGACCTAACGACCAGCCTTCCGAAAGTCACATCTACAATGGAACTCATAGGGACAACATCTTTCCTACGCCTCAGTAAAACCTCGCTGCTTTGCACTACGCCTACTCATCTTAGTATCTATAATCCGGTCTATCGGTCTCTCCAAAATTCTGTTCCTGTCGATCTTGACACCGGTACAGACCTGGCGACCTGTTTTCTTGCTGCTTACTTCTCCCGTTTGGAACTCGCAGTTGCTATTGTCGATACCAATTTAGTCGCCATCCAACTAGAAGCCCCAATCCTGCGAACCAGAAAACGCCGTGCCGAGGGTCTTTTGATTGATTCGATCGGACGCGGCGTACAGCTCACTAAACGGCCTTCAGTTCGCGATACCTACGGAGAAACAGAAACGTCTGTATTCTCCAACTATTTGCCGGGTTCTATCAGAGGTGAGTATTGGGAATCATGGAAGATAGACGAGGCCAAAGCCGACGCTCTTCTTCACGCAAATGACATCCGTGGCCTCGAAAAGCTATTAGCTCAAAAGTTTGGCATCCAAGTCCAGAGTGAAACCCGCGCACCGAGTAGCATGAACGAGGAGGAGCCAACTTCGTCCAAAACTAATACGACCTCTTGGACATGGCCGAAAACGAGGGCGGGGTACCCTCCTGCAGATAGGAGATGGATTTTATATGCTATCAGTCGAGCTTTTCAGTGGAACGACGCCTTTCCGGATGACCCAACAATCCCTCGGCTTATTTGTCAGTTGCCGCAGAGCGATATTGTCAACTATCTCGTAGACGCTGGTCATCTGACCCTATCTAATGTGAAATCTGCGCTCCGCAGGCAACTTAGAGATGATGAAAAGGCGGATTCATTCCTAGCCGAGCAAATCGTCCTTCGGCTTGCTGATGTCGACCCTTCTTTAGATCTCCTCGTCGCTTATATATCGGCTACTAACCTTGGTGCGGTGGAATTGCTCCTTGCTGTACGAACAATTATGAGGAGTCTGGAGCTGGTCCAAGATCCGAAGAAACCGCCCCCGAAATTACTCACTAATGGTTCAACCGACGAAGCGGAAGTGAACGGAGAAGACGAGGCCGAGGCAGACTGTCAAAATATTGGTATGGAACTGGACGATCTTGAGGATGAGATTCAGAAGACAGTGACGTATCTTAATGAAGATGCGGGCGTTCGCGGCAACGGATTAAGCGCAGCCTTTGCGAAGCTTGGTAATTGCCCAGGCATTTCTATGATCAAATCTTTACGAGCCACATTCAAACCGGAAGAGATTTTGTCTCTCATCTACCTCCTTCGGGTCGAATTAGTTAGGGGTGCGTGGACGTCTCGCTACCTTGATACGACCGAATTTGAAAGAGATTCGACCCTTGACGCACCACCTGACGGTATTGTTAAGCTCCTTGCAGATCTTCTTGGACGCTGCGTGGACTCTATAGGTCCCGGCGGTTGGCTTTTAAACGATGCAGTACTTGCAGGTGATGAGACAGGAGATTTCATCGCTTCGCTTAAGCTTGAAGTTAGCGCGGCCTTGGAAGGGTTAGAAGATGTAGTCTACCTCCGTGGCATTGTTGGTGAGGCGGTGAAGTATTGCGAAGCGTCAAAGAAGCCCGAGGTGGGGGATGCGGTGGACAAGACGAAGCCCATCCTTTTGCACATAAAAGACCCTACTACTCAGGCGTTGCCTCTGGGCCTCAAAACAAAGGATCGAATTTCAAGTCAAAAGGTTGTGTCAGGCGGTGAGATCATAGAGAGATCTCAGAGAGAAGCTGGTCACCTTAGGAGCCAGCAGGTCGGTCACTATTCGCTAGAGAGGATCGCTATATGAAGCTTGTCGGGTCCGGCCAAAACTCATACGTACAGGCTATTGTGTATTATCTGGTCACCTCAATACTCTAGCAGGTATGAAAATTATCAGCATTGAAGGCTCAGCTTTCATATCGTATCTAGCATTATTTATATATATTACATTAGTTGATTCTACCTCTTTCAATCCTGGTATGAAACTCTAGCCTATACCATAGGTTCGATCTCGGCGTAGCTTGTTTGAAGAGTGCAATTGCACCGGGCTCCCTAGAAAGTGATTGACAAGATGGATATTTGGACATAGCACTCTCATGGTTTTCATGAGGTATTTGCCCAAGCTAATCGACTATAACCATCTTGGCCATCTCACTACCTAGATTCGTATATGCTTACGCCAGAATTTAGAGCCGCATCTCGACCATTTTCTGTGTACCCAAGCGTATTTCTTAGTGGCACTATCTTCGGGCGTTCGTGGCACCTATCCCGAATCTTAGGCTTAAGGGACTAATCAATAGGTTCGGGCCTCAGGAGTTTGATCCACTACGATCCTAACCGACTGTTTGTCCACACTTGCTCGCCCCGTCTCGTACAACGTTCTCGGTTCCTATATGATATCTCCTTAGCGTACAACGACGCTAACGTACCTTGCCGTGTCGACAACGTAAACATGTCAGACCGCAACACGTCCATAGATAGGTACCTAATATGGTGATTGAAAAGATAACAGTATTAGTAGCATAATGTCGGTCAACTAACGAAGTATAGTAAGTGCAATATATCAAACTTAAGAAAATATACACTATTGCAGGGCGACCTGCAAGCCATACAAAAAGGGCGACTTTCTTTAATTAATCTTATGCAGTATAAATATCATGCGATTGACGCAGCGAAATGCCGTCCTAGGTATAATCTACATGCATACGATTGGGCATCAAGTAACTAGAGCCTCGCCTTGTTCTATATCGGTTTGCCTCACTCTTTACTTTTGCATACTGACAATTAGCTGTTAGCTAACTGACTAAGGCTATGAAGTGTAAGCCACCGACTTCCTTTACGATAGACTAGACGGAGAATGCGTCGCCGTCGATGATTGTTGCCCGTGGAGAGAACGGCTGAAGATTTAGCCGTGTCGCACTGATGAACTACTTAACAAGAGCTAAATCATGCACATGCATCTAGGATCTAGGGACTCTACAGGGTAACAATGCTATTTGCTAACGGAATATGGAGAAGTGGCTGTAATAGAAAAATTCCATGCAGTCATTCCCAAACTAGGTGGCGCAGCGAGTCGCTAGAGCCCAGCAATACGATGTTTATCTTTTATTCTATCCGGGGTGAAGGCAAGAGAATAGAGGGGCCACCCGGAGCTCTCCTACAAGGATAAAAGCGAAAAATAGATGATGATTGGATAGCCCTGCCGCACTTGGACCCTGGCAGTCTGTCTCGAAAAGTAATGGCGCAGTCTTGGCATTTAACCCTTCTTAAAAAACCACCAGTTATACAAGCAAAATAAATAGTAATAAAGTTATAATATATATCGTTTTATTTGCAAAAGGCTATTATACTTTTTTATCATTTTAATTTTCTTATTAGGATAATAATGTATTAGAAATATAGCTTTAAAAATATATCTTTAATAACGTTTTAATATACCATATAAATATATTTATAATTCCACCATTTTTAAAGCAATAAAATTATAAAAAATACCTATAATAACAATAAAAGCTAAAAAGTCAATAGGTATTTTTTTCTATTTTTTATTGTCCTCTTTTGTGCTTTTCTTTACATATATTATATGGTGTTGTTTTTGGAAGAAAATGCCAAGACTGCGCCATTACTTTTCGAGACAGGCTGCCTGGACCACGGGTTATGATGACATGTTTTGCCAATTCTCATCAGCTCATACGTCACTGTCCAACCGGGCCACCTTCACAATTATTCTCTTCTTCATACATACACGGCCTTCGTGACCAAGGTGGAAATTAATACTCATTTCTTCACATGATCTATTATTTATAGAGTGTTCATCTATTCTTTTCAGGCAATCTCCTGTCTATCGAATGTAACTCCAAGAATTCCTTAGTTATAATAAATTTTTTCAACGGTCGTGATCGTTATTTTGTATATTTGTAGAACACATAACCCTAGCCTAGCCGAGGGGAATTATTATTATTCATTTGCCATTCGTGATGAGAGTAGCAATTCCTCAAGGCACGAATAAATAAACTAGACCGGGGTATTAAATTATTAACTCGTTATTCGTCATATGTAGAAATGTTTACTCTCCTACTTCAACGTCTGACAAAACATATCCATATCCATATGTTGTACTTTTCGTGTCAGCAGTTTTAAATATCTTAGTTACACCAGCAAACATATTTTCGAAGACTTCGGCTTCGCAAATTGAAACTAATAAGAGGTAGGTACCCAGTCTTAACGAGCTTAAAGAGCTTAAAGAACTTAACAAATACCTAGCCTAAAACTAAGACGAACTTGGCCCTGAGAGACCCATGTTTTTTTCTATAACACTAGTTCGAGTCTAGCCAACCGAACCGTCGCCAGCGAATCCTACTTTCACTCTAACGTACCTAACCTAACCAACCTAACCTTACTATTCTTCACTAAATTCTTTCCCATACGTAAATTCGATACATACCATCTCATTTCACCCGCCCTCTTCACCCATTCGAAATATCATAACGTTACCTTCATACGGAATAGTCTTCAAACTAAAGGGACTCTGCTCCCACTTCTCTATATTATACACATACTATTCGCGATGACAGCTAGCAACCCGAACAATGCGCCGCCGTTAAGTGGTGCCCCCAGTATGCGTATCTCGCCCGCCAATATCGAACAAGTCGATGTGCTCGCGCGAAAGTTGTACAAGCGAGCGCGAGTAAACCCCGAGCTTGAGGAGGTAGCAAATGCAGTGCGCAGTCTACATGCGGTCCTAAAACATCTAAAATTCGAGACTGAGGATCCAGGATCGCTACTGAATGTCGACAGCAGTGCTGTATATGCGCGGCAACTAACACCTATTCTTGAGGACTCGGAGTTCGCGCTCAAGCAGCTAGACACCATACTTGATAAGAAATATGGGAGAGGCAGCGACGACAGTGCTGATAATGTTAGTAGAGGGATGCAGATGGACGGAGAGAAAGGTTGGACGGTTTTAGAAAGCCGCGAGCGCGACATGATTAATTTAATTCACACCAAGCTCACAAATCAGAAGTTAAACATCGACATGTTTCTCGATACCGTCCAGCTTCATAACCCGTCCAAATCTCATCACCTAGTTGATACGAATAGCGCCAATCTCGACTCTATTAAGGATAAGGTAGATTTCATCGCATCTCGCATATGCCAACGGACAAATTCAAATTTGAGCGACGGTAACGAAGAGGAACTTTGGGAACAATTTCGAGATGAGCTAGAACAAGCAGGTTTCTCTAAGGACGTATTGCGTAAAAATCAGGTTAGTCAACCCCCTTCATTTTTCAAACCCTCCAATCCGGTATAACGAGATTAACATGCGTTATGCATCAGGACGTCATACGAGCCTACATCCGCCAGTTAGACAACCAACTCAGCGCCAACGGCGGCAGCACCCCTTCGGTGCGGGGACTTCTGGAGTATTACCGCCCTCGAAGAGATAACGGGATACAAATCACTCCGTACCCAACGAACCCTACCCCGGCCGATTTCAGCCCGGAAGAATTGCAGCCCAACATCGATGAGGAGAAGCTATTTCCGTCGATGAGGATGAAACGTTTAGAAGACGAAGACGATAACAACAACATAGAACGACAAATATCGAAACCGCCCAGAATGCCAGATTATCCTTCGAATCTCTCTTACGATCGCCACTCATCAAGCGGCGATGGCGGGGATGGATCGACGGCGCTCATGTCCACGCGGGAGCTCATGGCATTTGACAAACAATCCAACATGGCTCTCGCGATGGAAAACATGCACTTACAGCAACCACCGAACCCGGCCGGCTCAAATTATCACATGTCTATCTCCCCCACGCTTCATTATCTTCCCCCTTCGGCCTCTCAGCCTACCTTACCGTCCTCGGCCCCGCAAGCCGCCCCCGACCCATTCGGGACCCACCTGCACCGCCCCCCTCCTCTTCCCTCAGCTGCTGTCAGCTCACCACCGACCCGCCGCCCGAATTCCGTATCGGTAGCTGATGTAAGCCAACAACAGCAACAAGCTCTCGTGACTTCAACGCAGCGGAATGCACGGCTAGCGCCCGATAGCAAAGGCCACGAGATCCCGCTAGATGCCAAGTGGACTCAGATCTCACGACGCCTGGTCTCGCCCGAAGTGTTAGCTGGTGCTGGGGTACGGTACGAGGCACGGCCAGATTTTGTGGCTGTACTAGGAGAACTGAGCCGGGACGATGTAACCTACTTTGCTCACCGGACTACCGAGGTACGTGCTGCGAGAGGTCGGCGAACTAGTAATACGCCTACTGCGGCTACCGTGATAAGCGGCGATGGTGTGAAAGGAAGAAAGCTTGATGATAAATATCATCCGGATAAGTATCGAAACTGGGACGTGATTGAAGCAGAAAAGCGGGAGCGGCAGAGACGGAAAGAAGGAAATAAGAACAGCCGTGATACGGATAGTGACGACGATACCGACGACGACGGCGTAACTTTCATCGTCAATAACCGTAGTCGGCGACGAAGGGGGAGTACGGCCAGTACGGTGAGCGCGCTCTACGATTCGAGTAACGACTCAGGGTCATCAGATGGGGAAACAGACTCCGATGACAGAGACCAAGAATCACATGGTTCCTCTTACTCTCAGTCATATCCACGCTCCAGCTCGTACTTAGATGATTACCATCACTCCCGCTCACAAGTTCATCGGCGTAGCTCCACTATGCCCTCGACCTCACACAAGCACGATGACAAAACACTCTCTCAAGCTAAAGGCAGAGTGAACAGCGATGCCACAGACGGGGTAGACCGAAAAAATAATAAAGACAGGAACGAAAGGGGTGCTAAGGCATACCCAATCATCGTGTCGCCGCCATCCTCTACGATCGGGAAGGACAAAGGCAAAGATAAAGACACCGGCACTGGTACTAGCCCAGCTGCCACTGTAAAGCCGAAGCCTATTCTCAAGAATAAGAACGATGACCCCCACGTGCGAATCGATCCTCACCCTCAAATTATTGAGGAAGGCTCAAGCTCTCTACCGCGGAGCCTACCTTCATATCGAAGGAGCGAACGGGAGCGTCGGGAGCGGGATAAAGATAGAGATCGAGAGAGGAGTAGAGACAGGGAGAGGGATAGAGATAGGGACAGAGAAAACGACCGTGATCGAGATCGAGATCGTGAGAAGAGATATCGCTCGGACAAGCATACAACAGGAGGGAGAGAAAAAGAACGACATACAGATCGCGATCGTGATCGCGACCGCGACAGGGGAGACCGAATCCGAGAGAAAGAATACTACTCAAACCGGGATCGCGACGAGGGCCGGGATGAATACCCACACCGCCACCGCCATCGGAGCCACGGTCACCGGTACCATTCATCGAGTGCTCCGAGGAAAGAACGAGAGCGCGAGTATTATGATGACCACTATGTCAGCAGTAGTAACCGGTCCCGAGAAGATCGTACCTCTAAGAAGAAGGCTCGAGACGAGACAATACGGGCCGTGGGCCTCGGCGGCGCGGCAGCTGCTATGCTAAGCATGCTAAGTGAGGCGACACTATGAAGAGTCTGCCGTGGAGGGTATATTACATTGAAATTGAGATTATTTTGTGAGAGATGAGCGATGTGAAGGGGTAATAGGTACCTCATGATTGAGTGATGGGACCTTGGTTACTATCCAAGTTTCCCGCGGGTGGAAGGGGAGTCCTTATAGAAGACAAAATGTAGGGCAGACGAGTCGAGAAAGAAGAAAGGGGGTAGGCAGATCGAGAGATCGGAGATTGAGAAAAAAAAAAACCGAGGGATTGGTCAAACGAAGACAAAAAATAACCATATGCCAAATTTGGTATATACCTACCTAGCAAATCCTACTTGTTGTAGTCGACGAAGCTAGCTGGTCGGTTTCTTAGCTTTGATACTTGAAATATGTATCACACGTACTTCATTCGCTTTATAGAAATCTGTAAGTACCTACCTAGGGTACCTACCTAATGCTTGGGAGTTAGTTACCTACATAGAAGGATTAGGGTCAGAGTAGGACAAGGGAGATAGATTATCGATACCCAGTTGAACAGGCAAATATACAAACCTTAGGATAGCGAATTAAGAAGTTTCAGATCAGGCTTTTCGAATCGACATTAAATTTCTTTACATTGACTTTGCTGCTACTATAAAATAAGCCACAGTAGGTAGGAAGGTACCTATGGCATTCCGTGTATGTTGAGATTCTTGCTCTAGAAAGCACAATCATTGCAAATATGCTACGTCAAGTCTGTATCTAACACTCATCCAGCGATGCTATTTATTACCTTACTAAGAAGTTCATAATTGTAGGTAATTTATTTTTAAAATCGATTAATCCTAACCTTCGTTATTCGATCCGAGTATAAACAAGATCACCGGCGCCTAGTAGTCCTTTTTGCTAAAGGTTTTTGCGCGTTACCATCTAATTTGCCATCTTCTTTTGCGAGCACTACACGATCTTTCGCCTGGCTCTGCCCGTTGTCATTTATATCGCTCTGCTTGCTATCCGCCATCATCCGGCCCACAACAGCCGCCCGATGCTGCCGGGCTTCAGGGTTGTCATACTCTAGTTGCGTGGCCCGAGGCGGGCTATCACCATTCTCTGCCCCTTGGCTGCTATTTCCGCTTTCCTGCATAATCACCTTGTCGAGAAACCCGAAAGTACTACTTGTACCCTGCATCGAGTCTAAGCGGGATGCTGAAGACTCGGCTCTTCTGAGATTAGATTTGGAACTGCTCATATGTGTTAACGATTCCACACTTGTGCTTGACGCTGTCGACACATTACTCGCCGCGCGACCAAAGATCTCTCGCCTCCGGCGCTGTTGCCGCGGTGCTGGTTGCGGCTTCATACCGTCGCTCTCTTGGGCCGTTCCGTCGCGAGCCATAAGAGTATCCAATCGCTTGGACATCTCTTCGCGCTCTGCTGCTTTTGCCCGTTCGGCCTGTTGCTTCCGTTCTTCCTCCTCATCCTTTACTGTATCTTGGTGCTCCCGTAGGTGGGTAACGGAAGCATCAGAATCTTCGCCACTTTCAGAGTCGCCTACTTCACCCCCAGTTGGAAAGCGTTTCAACTTACGCGGTACCGGTGTAGCCTTCTGCGGTGACGGTGACTTGTTAAGTGCGTTTGAGGTCATCTCCGAGAGTGCCGTAGTGGTAGTTATAGGCTCAAGATCTGTACCTTCTGGTTGATTAGTAGGTGCCGTTTCGAATTTAGATTCGCCCGTTTTCTGCTCCTGCGTTGTCGCCTCCTCAGGCATCTGGATATCGTCATCGAAAGCTGTTGTATCGATACGACTTTTTATCGCTGGAGCTGGATGGTTTGACTTAAATTCGTTGGACTTGAAATCCGATTTTAATCCCTGGAAGTTCCCCTTCGCTATATTCGTAGGCGCAACGCGCGACGTAACAACGTGCTGAGCGAGTGATGTGAATAAGAATTTATCCCACGGTACTAAACAACCCGTGATAATGCATTGCCAAAGCCACTCAGCATCGACCACGGGGACCTTGGACAGCACAGCAAAGTCCAGCTTCTGTTTCCTCACACCATCAAGGGAAGGGCATACTAGTATCGAACACTGTGCGTTTAATCGCTCTGAATATTTGGCGCCAAGTTGAATAATCGCCTTTTCCACCTGATTTAATTGCTCGTTTCTAAACCCGGAAGTGCATATTATTAAATCACGGAAATCCTCAATAGGAAACCGTGGGAAAGGTTGTCCAAGCACGTGTTCATGCGGCTTAAAAAGGATCATATTATGGACGCATCGCTCAATATAGAATTCGGTAACGATGTGCATTCCTTCCGGAATTTGAGGGTGAGTATCGGGTTGCGAGGTTTGGGGCACTATGAGATAACGCCGATCTAGTGGCTCACTATGACGAGTTGAAGCGGCATCCTCGACAGATTCTGAGATCTGCCCATCATGAGACGAGATATGGTGGCATACAACTTCCTGCTTGCTCCGAGGGAAACCATGGACATAAAAGCGACATGAGGAGAATACACCGCTATCAGGAGGCTGGACACGGTTGTTGGATAACTGTTGATCTTCAACGGCAGGGCCCACCAAGTCAGCCACAAGGATAGGGGGCACGCTGGCCGGACGCTCATCTGCGATGTTGGCAGCTGACTTCGATAGATCGGTCGACGATTGGCCAACGAGAATGTCACCCCAAAGATTATCTCTTTGGCTAGTGAGCTTCATACTCGCAGTCTTTCTGAGCTTCCTCCTACTCTCGTCCCCCGGAGGAGCGGTCACACCGTCACGCGTCCTCTTGCCAAGGGAGGCTCCTCGCCTGAGTTCCCTTCTTATCCAGGCCCCCTTACCCCGTTCGTCCGCAGGCAATGTTGGGTCGTAGCACTCTTCGTTAAGTATCATACCTCGCTCGATACTATCGTGTAACCACTCGATAGAGACAGTTCTTATCCCCCACTTCCGCGCGGCGACATACTTCTTCCCTTCAGGCTTGCAGACAATAAGATGGGTAACGCGCCGAGAAAGATCACCAATATAATCGCCGCCGTTTGCTCTAACCTTATCTTCTATCATAACACGCGTATCATCTTTTCTTGTCAGTACCCCTAATCGCAGGTTCATTAGATAAACAACTTACTGTCCTCGAATCCGGTTAAGCAGCATATCAGTCTCGTCTTTTGTCTTTGCTCCTCGATTGGACTTTTAGGAATGCCACCGCCTGTTTCGAAAGTCTTTAACCTCCACTCCTCCTCCAAGGCAGTAAAGTCGAAGTCCTTGTCTTCTAGCCATAGCTCCCGCACAGCATCGACCCAGCCGGCCGCCATAGGCTTGATGTCAGGCCTCTCTCTTGCGACATGGCGATATTTAGCTGTGTCGTAGTCTCCGACGATAAGATGAGTTACATCTGGCGTAAGGTCGTACTTATGGATGCCGCCTAGATCGATAGTTCGCTTGGCAATTTCTGTCTAAACAATGACACGATTAGTCGAGATAAATTCAACCGAGAATGCCTATATATATGTAGGTAGGTAAATTAATTTACATGACCAAGAATCGCTTACACGTAGGTCTGCATCAATACTTGTGCAGCAAAGAACGAGTCCCCCAAAAGGCTTAGAGGGATCAAACGGCTTATCGGGCGTCAGAGAAGAATCCATTATCGATGTACTTTACGGAAGCAAAGCATTGTAGCAATGGTTAAAAGTGTTAGGTGAGACTGATAAGGTGGTAGGATAGAGCGATATCCTTTTTTAGCATCAAGTTCAAGTTCAAGTTCAAGTTTAAGTAAGTTTAAATTCAATTTCTTAATTAGGTCGCGTCAAAGTTTCTAAACCGGCTTGTAAAGTCGCGTCGTCTTTTAGAGTGACAGAGTGACTTTCCATTTACGTTCGGTACCTATTATCATGTACCGACCCAGTGAACGACCAGCAGTTTTAGTGGCTGGGCACCTCTTTTTAGCCAGATATAGTGGGTCTATTTCGCTATTTCGATGCTTATCGTCCATTAAGATGCATTCTACATTAGGTACATACATCATCTTCTTCCTCATCTCCCTCACCACCTATAACACTACGTTCAATCTTCCAATATTGACTTTCAAGTAATCGCATAAATCTGAAATTAACTTGGCGTTCATACCGAATACAGACACATCATATATTTTCTACATAGGTACTTAGTAAAAACATCCTATACGTACGACTTATACCGTCACTACGGGAATCTCCGTTCCGCCTCTGCCGCCATACACTATTACACCCTATAGATAGGTATTTATTGTATTTTGTATTGATATAGCTTGGGTGCTTAGTATATACGTAAACAAGAGGGCTCAATAACCTCTTACCAAGCCACGTAGTCATAATAGATACGCACAACTGCCCCAGCGCTTCTAAAAGCCTGTCTTGACTGTCGTACGATGTGCAACGTATTTACCCTTCATTTAATTAACAAGGTATCCGATTCGTCTGTCTTATCCGCCTTGTATACTCTGTCGTGACTCCTAAACTATTCTTCACGTATCATATATGGCTGCTAGTCCGCCTCCTACATCATATGATGGGACTTTCCGGTTGCTCAATATCTAGATGATCGTACATAATGCGAGTATGATATGCTCGCTGTTCGCCCTTTAGGTCTGTAAACATCTCGTCTCAGCGATTGTCGAACTATTCTGTCATTAGTTCCTCAAAAGAAGGGAAAATTCAAACTTCAACAATTATAATAACAGCCTGTTGTCGTAGTTTCCCATGCCTCGTTATACGCCTTCCTCTCCATCGTCATCTCAAACTGCACATTCCCGTTCATCGTCATGTTCCCGATGTAACACTTCCACGAATACCCAGCAAGGACGCCAACAGCCTCACTCGCCATCACACTCGGATGAAAAAAAAGACGTATTAAAAACATCTTTAGTCTTTCTCGGTGCTGTCGGAGCTGCTTCGCTAGCTGCTTCTAAGCTTTGGCCCAAGGGCATACTTTACGGTGAAAAAGAATCGTGGGCGCAGGAAGCCAAAGAACTTAAACATGCTCTAGGTGGGAACAAGCCGCCAGACAACAAAGAAACCCGAAGGAGAACCCGGAGCGCTGGTCATGGTAGCGGGGGCTTTAGACGCGAGCAACCGCCTCGGGTTGAAATACGAGACGAGATAATCGCTGTGAGACCCGGTGATCGTAGTACAGACGTGGATACCCGTTGGACTCGGCAATATGATGACGTAGATGGTGATCGCGGTAGGCGATACCACTCTAGCAGTCGAGGAATAAGATTCAATAACGAGCCGAGTAGATTAAGAAAACCCCGAGCTTCATATTCCGATAGATAAGCTCAGTCGAGACGTTCGGAAGGAGATAGCTAGGGTTATGTGCATGATGATTAACGAAATTAATTTCTTTACGAAAATGGGCACGAGATATACTTATTTCATCTGATTAAACCCGTCCTGTCTGTGGAGTACGAGAGAAGGGTTCTGATGATAAGGGAGGTTATTCAAAGGAGGATATAATCGAAGAGCCTCGAGTACCTCTTATTAGAATTATGAGTATACATATGTGTTTAATATAACCGTCTGAAGGGTTTCCAAAGCATCACATACCATACCCCTTATAAGATCTATATAAGCATAGAGGTATAGGTAGTAATGAGGTAGTAATGTGTTAGTTAAACACTTGATACTCGGGCTCCATAAAGTTATCAAATACAAGTCCACCGCTTAATGGAAGCTTCGAGTTTAATTGGTTAGTATTTCGAAACATGCTCGGTAGTGCTAGGTACATACACTAATGCAGGCCAGTCAGAAAAAGCATTCTGTCAATATTGAACCAGGAACAAAGGACGGCGGCTTGTTAGTGGCCGCTAAACCCCTGTCTAATCCATGTCTAATGACGCTAACATAATGTTCGCCCGTCCTGGATTCTCATCGTCATCATTCATCGTCATCTCGCATTATGTAAATAAGACAAGCAGTTGTCCAAGTAGGTCAATCATACCGGGGTGGTCTGGGGAGAGATAAAAACGAAAGCTCTGCCTCTCTTCCATAACCTCAGTCGGTTTCCATCTGATACCACGCATTCTACAACAAACACAATGGCGTCCTCGTTTGTTGGAGAGCTGCTTTGGCTCAGTACACTCGTTCTTCCAATGCTTCAACCATGCTCTGCCGCGTCTCTCTATTCTACATATCAATTCAACCCTCTAGAACATCTTGGCGGCGTAGCCCCGTACTTTGAGCCCCAAGACCCGCCGGCGTCACCGTCACCTCCACAGGGTTGTTCGGTATCTCGAGCAGCCTATCTCTCTCGCCACGCTGCAATCTACGCTAACGACTACGACTATGAAGCGTACATCGACCCATTCGTATCCAAGCTAGAAAATAATACTGCGGTCGACTGGAGCAAGGTTCCAGCGCTCAGCTTCCTCGCTAGTTGGACAGCCCCGCTGACGGACGCGGAACAAGAACTGTTGACTCGCGTGGGTAGACTAGAAGCGGCGCAACTTGGCATAACGCTGTCTTTCCGGTACCCTAATCTCAGGCTGCCATCTCGTATATGGACATCTTCCGCCGAGCGCACGGAAAAATCGGCCGAGTCGTTCGCGAGGAGCCTCGAGCTAAACGAGGATGGAATCAACGTCGTGAGCATTTACGAATCCGAGGAAGCTGGCGCAAACAGCCTCACACCGTACAAAAGTTGTCCGGCCTACTCGTCGTCGTTTGGCAGCGATCAATCAGCAGTCTATCTCAAAAAGTTCACCAAGCCCATAATAGCGAGATTGAACGCGATAGCCCCCGGGTTTAATTTCACGGCCAACGACGTGTATGGCATGATGGAACTGTGCGGGTATGAATCTGTTATTCGTGGTAGTTCTCCATTCTGCGACCTGGACCTCTTTACGCCAGACGACTGGCTTGGCTGGGAATATACGGCCGATATCATGTACCACTACAACGTGGGATACGGTAATCAGATTTCTGGTGTTGTGGGATTACCTTGGCTTAATTCATCGGCAAGCCTACTTTTAGAAGAATCGTCTGGGAAGCAAGACATCTTTGTTAGTTTTACTCATCGAGAGTTACCCCCTATGGTCTTCGTTGCTATGGGTTTGTTCAACAACTCCGAGTTCAGCGGAGGCGAGTCCACAATTAACGATACGATGCCGCTGGACCGTATCAACCACCGGCGCGCGTGGAAAAGTTCGCACATATTGCCTTTTCTGAGCAACGCGGCTATCGAGAGGCTGAATTGTTCAGGTAGTTATGATTACGAAGATGGTGATTATTATCGGATACTCGTGAATAGCGCGCCTCAGCCATTGCCTAACTGCGCCGATGGGCCGGGTACGACTTGCTCGAGGACGGGATTTGAACAGTATCTTGAAGAACGAGTCGATATGTTCCAAGGGTTTTCTGAGAAATGCGGGGTGGACTATGGGAACTCGACTGATATATTATCAATTTATACGGATGCGGGAGTAGGTAATGGTACTGCTGTTGGGAAGAGGTATAAAGCTTTCGCGTGAGAGATATATTGATTAGGTAGGTACCTACCTACATACGTAAGGTATAGATAATTTAATGTATATTATAATAGAACTATACGTCGACATGAGATTACTGAGATTATCGTGAGATTAATTGTTGTTGGATGTGAAATTGAATTATTACCACCAACTTAATTCAGGTAGTAGATAAACCCCGCAATTCAAATACCTGAGGTACCTAACCTAGGTACCTACAGTGTATGTACCTACATAACCTATAATTTAGGTACATAAGAGCGATAAGATGTTCGAATTAGGTGCTTCAATGTTCCTTCCGAGTGTTGGCACAGTATGTCAACTTTTAAAATCGAAACTACCTCCTTCAAGTATTATATCTAATCATTCTCATCATTACATGAAGTAGTAAACAATCGATATTAAACAAACAAAATGTAGCTGTTCAGCTATACTACATACCTACCATAGGTCATCAACCGTATAGGACCGCTCTAGATTATATTCACCAATTCACCGATTCATCGCGCAAAGGACGCACAAACATGGCGCCACGAACATCTATCGAAGAGTTCAAGCAGCTCTTAAATTCTAGCAACAGGGTCCTGGCTCTCTGTGGTGCCGGTCTATCAGCAGCATCTGGACTCCCAACCTTTCGCGGTGCTGGCGGTCTATGGCGCAATCATGAGTCCACTTCCCTCGCTACCCCATCAGCCTTCAAAAAAGACCCAGCACTTGTTTGGTTATTCTACGCATGGCGTAGACACATGGCCCTAAAGGCGAATCCCAACCGTGGCCACTATGCCCTTGCCGAGCTAGCCAAGAAGAAGGATAACTTCCTATGCTTGACTCAGAACGTTGATGGTAAGCCTACATTCCTAACCACGGCGAAGCTCTGTATCACAAAAAAGGTATAATGGTAAGCCTCTAATAATACGATATCGTCGTCTTAGGCTTGTCACCACGCGCTGGACATCCTGAATCTAAGCTTCGACTCCTTCATGGGAGTATCCTTGATAACAAATGCTTCAACGACGATTGCGACTACATCGACCGGAATAATCTAAGCGACCCCGTGTGCCCGGCTCTCGCTTCCGCCGCTGAGGACTATCCGCCTGGTCAGACTCTTCCTTTACTCGATCCTAGCGTCCCCGTACCGCCCATCAAGGTCGAGGATCTCCCGCATTGCCCGAATTGCAAGACGGGCTTACTCCGACCCGGCGTTGTTTGGTTCGAAGAACCTCTCGACGAACAGATGCTCACAAATGTTGACAGCTGGATCTGGCAAGGACGTATCGATATTATGCTCGTGATTGGAACGGCGGCTGTCGTCTATCCTGCTGCAGGCTATGCGCACCAGGCTGTAAAACAGGGAGCTATTCTTGCAGTAGTGAATCCTGACCCGGACTCAGCAGAAGGCCTATTGGAGGAAGATTTCTTCTTTCAAGGAGACGCTTCTGAACTCCTACCGAAACTCTTCGAGGGTGTTATCGGGAAGATGGATGAGAACGGGAAGGTCCTGTAAATCCACTAGATATGAGATGTTATTTTCCTATGATACCCCGGTTATAATGCGATGAATATTACGAAAGCGATATACATAGTATAGAGCGCTTGGCTGATAGAGCCAAAGATTCAGTCGTTATTAAAATATCGTATGGTTTTAACCTAGTTAAGTATCGAAACCCCTAGTAGCGAATCGTATTCATAGTTCCGTTAAGCAACAGAAGCACTATTCTATACGCGAGTAAAACTTCCATCGTCAAGTATCCCAACCTATTTATCCACTAAACCAAATATCAATTACCTACCTCTCATAAAACAATCTAAATTTTTTTTTTTCATAAATGGCATTAGCGACTACGCACTCAACTATTCGTAATATATTGAAGAGGGGAGACTTGAAGTTGGTACGTCTCCTAACCCATTCACAATCACCTTCTCATCAACAAACTACACCGATTATTCTGAGTAGCCTATATAGTAATAAATACGAAGTCGAACAAGCATTCCCTGCTGATTATAAGGTCTAGGTCGGCCGGTAACAACGTCTACTTTTAAATTACCTCGAACGAGCCCTATCTGTAGACTCTGCCCACCTACGGTGGACCATTATGACATTAGTGCCAAAATCGAGAAAATGGGTGGCACTATGTCTAATAAGGTAATAGTAAGGCAAAAATACAGTGTAAACTCAATTAATATACGCTGTATACACAATTAATGCCCTTTTTTTTACCTTATACCACAATAACTTTACGAATATCTATCCAAATATTTTTCAAAATACACCAATATTTTTATTCAAAAATAATGAAAATTACTATCCAAGTTGCATGTAATTTGACCCAAGATTCGTAGTGTTATTAAAAAGGCTATAAGTGTAAATATAAGGCTAATAAAAAGTCGAGTAACCAATTAAATATGGCCTTTACCTTAGCCTTAAAATACCCAAATTCAATAACAACACTTACACGTATTTAAATAACTTATTTAAATAACTTTACCAATATACCATTTTAAGAAATATAATTAATATCATTTTATAGCCTTGATTAACCCGAAAATAATGATACAAATTACATGTATATATCTTTTGGTTGGCGTATCGTATAGCGTATTATATCAATATCCAGTAAGTCTTATACAGCACGTGATACCCTTTATGACCACTTTGGAATCCCATATATATCATACATATATGACATATTATCTTTACGAAATAAATTTAAACAATTACACAACTAATTTAATAATTTTTCTCATACTTCAATTGAAATAATAATATTTTCTTTAAATTTTTAGCAAGAATACTCAAAAAGTTATTAAATAATATAAGAATTTTGTATATACCCCGCATAGTATACTGTGCACCTTGCATACTAGCCTTTTTTGGACAGATCTGACCAATTTTTTTGATTTTGGCACTAATGTCATAATGGTCCGCCGTACCACCCTCAGAATCACATTCCGAGGGATAATATGTCGGTATGCAGTACCCTACACCTAGATGAGATCAGATCTCTCGTAACAAGGACCTTATCAGGTTATCACAGTCAGGGCGCATAACTGAGATACCACCCTCCTGCCAAATGTAGCCTAAGTCAAGTAGTATTCGCGGAGGATGGGCGGGAGATCACCCCGGACTTGGCAAGTCGATACAACTCGAGGGGCTCGAGGGGTCGGGACCTTAGATTACGAGCCAGTCGGCATGGTTGGGAAAGATGCCTTGACGTCGAACCCATGTTACGGTATGATCAATTGGTCGAGCATAGTATAGCACGCAATTGCAATATGTAAAGATTTATTTTACTTACTACTACGTTAATGTTTATTAATTTGCTCGCAGCTCCCCTCACGGAGCAGTCGAGAGCACTCGTTTGTTCTTCACCTTCATTTGGCGAGGGAGGGAAGAAAACCGCAACGAAAAGACTCACTGTGCAATCCTTTGAGGAAAAGCTCTCACTATGCGTTCCCTTTTTCTCCTCTTCGCCTCGGCCGCGACGGCTAAGGTGATGGATAGTCTCACCTCTGTCCCCAAAGGCTGGGCAGAAGTTCGTCCGGCTTCTCCAAATGACCCTGTCACCTTGCGCGTTGGTCTCAAGCAGCAGCATGCCGCAGCGCTGGAGCAAGCCGTGATCGAGATTTCTACCCCGGGACATCCCAACTACGGCATGCACCTATCGCGTGACGAAGTCCGGGCTTATACGGCACCGACGAAGAGGTCTGTCTCGTCAGTTGCCGATTGGTTAACCAAGAGCGGCGTCGAGTCCACGGTGAATAACGACTGGATCACTTTCAAGACGGACGTGAAAACCGCAAACGACCTTCTTGGCGCGAACTTCGCCTGGTACCAATATGAGAAGGGTGGCAGTCCCAAGCTGCGGACGTTGTCGTACAGCGTCCCCGACGAGCTTGCAGGAAGCATTGATCTCATACAGCCGACTACTCGATTCGGTCAGCTCGGTGCCAAGAGGTCGACTATTTTTGAGATGCAGCTCCTTGAGCCCGAAGAAGAGAATGCCGTAAAGACAGACATGGCCGTCAATGCCGCCGACTGCAACCCCTCGCGGATCACGCCCGCTTGTCTCAAGTCGCTGTACAATATCAAGTACACCGCCCCCACCGAAGGAAACTTGGTTGCATTCAGCTCTTACTTGGAGGAATACGCCCGGTATTCGGATCTGCAGTCCTTCGAGAGCCAGTATTTGACGCAGGCCAAAGGCCAGAACTTCAGCGTTGAGCTGGTTAATGGGGGTCTAGATGACCAGAGCAGTAGCGATGATAGCGGTATGTTGCGACCCTTGTCAGAAATCACCAGACTAAACATTTGCTAACCTTCTACGCAGGTGAGGCAAACCTCGATGTGCAATACGTATTGGCCATTAGCAGCCCTATCCCGATCAAGGAATACAGCACTGGTGGTCGTGGGTGAGTTATTAACCATTTTTATAACTGGGCTTTTTAAACATAACTGACAGCTTATTGAAGACCGCTTGAGCCTACGCATGACCAGCCTGGACCCTCTTCAAACGAGCCGTACTTGGAGTTCTTGACGTACCTCCTCGATCAAGACGATTCTACTTTACCGCAGACCCTCTCCACCTCGTACGGAGAGGAGGAGCAGTCGGTGCCAGCGGAGTATGCGCTCAAAGTATGCAACCTGTTTATGCAACTCGGCGCCCGCGGCGTGAGCGTGCTGTTTTCGTCCGGCGACTCTGGGCCAGGTGATTCGTGCATAAGAGAATCAGACCAAGCGCCGTATTTCCAGCCCTCGTTCCCCGCAGGCTGCCCGTACGTGACCTCTGTCGGCGCTACTTACAACGTCGCGCCCGAGCAGGGCGTGAGCTTTTCGAGCGGCGGTTTCAGCTCGCTTCACGCCCAACCGGCGTGGCAGGCAGACTCTGTTAATTCGTATCTAAAATCGATTGGCCAAACCTATTCTGCGTACTTCAACTCGTCCAACAGAGGCTTCCCCGACGTTGCGGCTCAGGGAAGTCGGTTCATCGTCATTGACAAGGGCAGATCTGCGCTCCTATCTGGTACGAGTGCTTCGAGCCCCGTCTTCGCCGGCGTGGTAGCTCTCCTGAACGCCGCACGAAAGAGCCAAGGCCAGCCGCCGCTAGGCTTCCTCAACCCGTGGCTATACAACAACAGCGCCGCCCTGATAGATATAACGTCCGGGTACGGAAGCGGCTGCTCGGGCAACTCCGCCTTCAGAAACGGAGCAAGGTGGAATGCTACTGCGGGATGGGATCCTGTTACGGGATTAGGCACCCCTGACTTTGGAAAACTACTTGCTGCTGCCGCGCCAGGAGTAGAGAACGCTTAAGAAAATCTATTCTAGGAGTCCTGTATGTATGTTATGTAAATATGTATCTAACATAGGTAACCAGTAAATTAATTTATTTACTATGGAAGTTTCGCCGTCTAATTCTGCTGCCTAAATCCTAACCGTGTTTCTCTGCGACAAGGTAGAAGAAGGGGGGTGGTGTACCTAATCCTACGTTTTGATCAGACAGATTCTCGAGCATCATCAATACCTGGTTGGTCGAATATGCGATGCTGAAGAGTCAAGTGAAAATCATAGTGGCTGTGTCGAACAACCAACCAGCACAGCTGTGCCGCATTCTAAGAGATAAAACAAACGTCTTTGGCCTTTCAAGCTTGCAAAAAAAGCATCATAGACAATCAATCTATGTGTATTTTATCGATCCCATATATCAGGTGTCAACATGGCTTTAAACAAGATTGAAATTCCGATTCCCCGCCTTCGCCCCTGGACGGGCGGCAGTGCCCTTTTTGTTACGCTCGTCGTCGCGGTTTTGCTTTCTGCGAATGTCCTGTATCAACATGTCTACTTGGTAGAGTGGATGAGAGAACATAACTGTGGCTGGTCATGCGGATTTAGCATCTGGTTCGGCGAGGAACGCTTCAAGACGTCTTGGCTGCCTACTCTCTTGTACCGAGGTCCTCACCATCAGCTCGCTATCGCAGCGTCTATATTGAACATTGTTGTCAGCTTTCTAGTAATGGGCCTCTTCGTTACTAACGTTTACGTCAAGAAGGTTTGTCACTCTCCTAGTAATGCGCCGACGGATATAAGAGCTAACATGCATCGATAAAAAAGAACTTTTGGCAGCACTGGCTTCTCCTTGCTCTCTTTATCCCAGCTATCACTCTTACTACTACGGCGCTCCTCTATAACTTTATCGAGCATGGCATTACCGGCCGTCTAGATACGTACGCCTTATACCTAGCAGCGTCTCCTACAGCATATTCTCCGTACGGTCGCAACTGGATGGACTTTGAAAGTTGGAGCTGCGGTTTATCGCGACTATATATAGTTGGTGGACCACATTCAGAGAGGTTTATCTGGGCAGATAACTGTTACCGATCGCAGCTCGGTAGATGGCTTCTTTTACCTGCATGGTTTGTCCTCTGTGCTGTTACCTTCATTTCTTGGTTCGCGTTCCGTGGTCTTCCCGGCTGGAGAGGAAAATCGGTTGATGAAGATGAAGTCGAAGGCGGAGAAGGGAGACTTAGGCTTTAGAAACCTGCTCCGTATTAGTATAACAATTTGTTGCTTGAGTGGATAACCGAGAACAGCGACGATGAGGAAGGCTTCTTCAGTAGTTATACTTGCTTGATCTCTTATCTCTTCATAGCTCCGAGTCTAGCCCATCATTTTTGGAAGCATGTTGGTCGTCTTTTTCATTGTATATTTAAAATAGCTTCTGGGAATATATCATATTTACTTTAAATTCTCCTTAATTATCCATCATCAAGATTGTTTTCATAAATATGGGTTCTGGGATGATAGCTAAAGTACTTAATCTACTCTATTACTCTTCTCGGCGAGAGATCTTTCGTATCCAAGCCTACTCGCGTATACTCAAGACGATGCAAGACGATACCATACAAGAGGGAAATGATCATATGGGATGGAAAGCAACCAAGCGACAAAGGGGTTTATTCTATGTCCACCTACTCCTCAGTTAGCGCAAAGGACTAGACAACTCGCCAATATCTTTCTTTTAGTCCCAGTCTCCCGAACCCATGTTGACAGTAGAGTTATCCACGTCTCTCTGCATGTCATCGATATTCCAGGGCTCATATTTATAGCCGGGCGGATAGTTTGGCGGCACCGTGTCGACTTGATCAAAGGGAATTCCCTTCCTAATAGTTTCAGCCATCTTCTCGTAGTTCTCGTAAGCGTACTGCTCAGGGTCATGCTTCCAGATCCATCTCGGGAGCTTAGGCTGCGCCAGCTTTGGGTTGAGCTTGACTTTCTCCCAGTTGGTGTGCTGGAGAAGCTCTGCATTGGTGAATCCCATCTTTTGCGCGCAGGAACATCGGATGAAGCGGAGACGCACATGTGTGCTTACTGCTTCTGGTACGTTCTGCTTTCCTCCAATCTGGAGACAGGAAGCTAACGAGACGGCATCTTCGATGGCCTGCGTAGCGCCGTTGCCCGAGGCGGGCAGGAAAGAATGCGCGGCATCGCCAATGAGAACCACGCGGGCGCCAGGAGAAGTCCAAGTCGGTTGGGGATCGCGCCAGAATAGTTCAAAGTTGACGATAGTCTTGGATGGTGTCAGCTTGACGAGCTCCTTGATCCTAGGGTCCCAAGTGAACGGACCCAGCCCTTTGTCGATGTTATTTAATACGTCGTCTGATTCGACGGTATGAGTCCAGCTTTCTTCCTCGGAGCCGGTAATCTGTACCTGATCAGCAAGTACGCCAAGCTGAGTGTTACTTTTATGCATCATCACCTACATCGTGGTTCATAATCCACACGCAGGTCTCCTGACGAATCAGGACCATGGCGTACATTCCGGGGCTAGCAGGTTATAAACTATTAGCCAAACAACGTTCAGTATGGGAAACAACGGGAGCGCCACATACCCAAGCCATGTTCTGACCATTGGCTCGTCGTTGTTCGGTCCACCCATTTTCAAGAACTCTTTAAGCTTAGGGTTCTTGTCTAAGTGGTGTATTGGGAAAGCTGCTCGCCACATGGCTCTGCCAGCACTCATCGCTCTAACTTGCCCGCCTACCAGCTTTTGGCCCTTAGAACCAACGCCGTCCGCGGCGATTACGACGTCGGCTTCGAAGCGCTCGCCCTTGTCCGTCACGACGCCTGCCTTCTGACGTTCTTGGTCCTCATAGTAGTCGACGACGCGCTGGCCGAATTGGATTTTAATTCCTTGCCTCTGGACTTCGTTTAGATACATCCGGTAGATGAGCGGTCGCATCTGAAAAGCGCCGGGCGGCGTGTTTGGATCCATACCATCCTGACGCAGACGCTCTGAAACCTTTAGTGGCGTTATCATCCTTTCTCCGACATGCTTGAAGGTCTCAATCCAGGCATTATTCATAGATATCAGCTCATACTCTTTCGATAGCTCAGGCCAGTGACGGAAGAACTTAGTAGCACTGTGGCCCATGAAGTACATATCGCCTAGATGGGGGCAAAAGCAAAGTCACGTTCTCAGCATATTATAGGTAGATGCAGGGAAGGGGGGGGGGAGGGCGTATAAGTCCAGCTACATACCTGCGGTATTAATATCATCATGGCGCTCAATAATGCGCACGTTGTGTCCCTTGCGCGTGCATTCAATAGACGCCGTTAGTCCCGCAAGCCCGGTACCAACAATTAAGACATCGATACCCGACGGCGGGTAAGATCCTACCGGCCTGCAGTCGGTATCATTAAGGGAACCCATATTATGAATATGTGGCTTGGACTTTTGGACTTTTGAACTTTTGAACTTTTGAACTCTTGAACTCTTGAACTCTTGGATATAGACCCTAGTGAAGTTCAGAAAGGCGCATAAGCATTGATCGAATCAAAGGAACAATGTGCCTCTTCATCAAATGCTTCTTGACCAGGTCCTTTCGGCGACGATGCTACTCTATTAAGAATATAATATATGGAAACTAGAAGAGCAATTGTACATGACGGAACAGCGGGTGTCACCACGAAAGCATCAGTATGCTTTTTTCGCGCCACTCGGTCATTAACTTAAAGTCTGCCGTCGTCGCGGAGGTTGAAGTGTCCTACAAAGTGCCGACCCTTGATCCTGTTCGGACCCGAAGTATATTCCTGACCACCCAAACGCAATGTGCCTGGACATGTTATTGGCTCATTTAACCTCGACGTATGGACAGTATAATCATAAATGCAGCGGACATGCTTACACAGGTAATATCCTACGCGTCCTTATACGCGTAAAAAGTCCTGCCGGTATTAGTTATAAGAAAACATGTTACTTATAAGAGTTATAAAAGTAAACATGATACCGGTAATGGATATATTAGATATTATATAACCATCAAGTAATTGAGACCGACATACCTATAATGCGGCTGGTTTATAGTTTGAAAGCCAACATATTAGTCTTATTCGGATCGTCGGGCCAAGGGAGGCGGTACATACCTTAGTATGTAGTGGCGAACCGTCGATGGGCTGGTTCCACGACGTGCACCCACCGCAATGGAACATAAAACGTCTTTTATCTCATTAATGAGCTGAGTCGTATCGACCTTAAAGTTACGCTACGAAGTCTTGATTGGATCATCAACCCTCACAGTCGCTTATCTACCCTATTCGACCTCTCAACACCATCAGAATGTTATGGCCCGGCACATCATGCATACTACATATATGTATGCGTCTAGAAATGTATGCACATGTATACCGTACGTGGGAAGATATGCAGCACCGATAGTTCAGCTATACGCGTGCTATTCACGACATATGCAACTTATATTCGAATCTCGGCAGCAAGGCTCAAACACACACACGGGGATTTTCAATACCTATTATCATCACTAAATATTTACGCGTGAGCTAGTGACTACAAGTACTTCAATGTCTATCGATTCTAGTATTTATTTAGCATTTATTAATAAATAAAAAATATAGCCCCTTAATCCGCGATATATTGCTATTCCACAGTAATACTAGTAATACCGAAACGGCATCATCATCATCATAGTCATGACTTAGCCCCGTCACCTGGCATCTCGCTTTTACATATCAACGGAGGTTGTCCGGACTTTGTTAGCCGGACTTGACTGTTTTGGGCGATATTCTACGACATATGCAAGTGGCTTTCCGGCCTATCGATGTTCGCCCTGCGATCTCATCGTTGCCACGACAATATCGGGCAACTGACCCTTGAAGATCCTTGGCTATCTTGTATGTAATGTTTCGGACTTTTAACACTCGAAGCTATTATTGGAAGTACCTTATTTCTAGAAGAATGTAAACTTTAAAAAGCATAATTTCATAAGCATAACTGGAATACGCTGGAATACGATAGCAGCTGATGCCCGTTCGTACTTTGATGTAAGCCTCAGTAGGGGATACCCGGTTAAGAATTGATACATCGCACCATCGCCCTTTCGCCCTTGAAAGCCGGATGATTCTCGCCGCTCAACACCATCGAGGGTAATTACTACAAGTAGATTTATCATTGGGTCGCTTAGTGCCTATGGTATATAGTTTAAATCGTGTGAAAGCCCTGCGAATACGTCTTGTCCGGGAAGTGTTCTAGTCACACCGTTCCGCAGCCATTCCTCAGTTTACATTTCTGCTATACTCATACACATAGACCTTGTCTCTACCCAGTAGTTGATCATGCAACTGTTTACGCCGGCAATCCTCTGTGCCGCCATCGTCGGCGTGGTAGCCTTCCACTTGGTTAAATTATACAGAGAAATTAACCATCCACGTAAGATACCCGGTCCGACCTTACTACCATATATCGGTCGTATACATGACCTTCCGATCCAGTATATGTGGTTGAAGTTCAAGGAATGGGCCGATCTGTATAGCGGCACGGATGGCTACTACTTCACGGAGATGCTCGGGGCAAAATTCTTAATTGTCACGAAAGAGAAGGTGGCCGAAGAGCTCTTGGTGAAGCGTGCGAAATACAACTCGGACAGACCAATGGTAAGATCTCTATTCGACTCGAAGAGTACGCATGGATCGATGGAATATCTCCCCCTAATGGGAAAGAACCGTGAGTGCCCAACAGATCAACTAGCAAATCTCATTACTAAATAAAGCGTGGGTCAGAGTACTGGTCTCGGCAACGTAAATTCACCCATTCCTACCTGACAGAAGCGAGCAACGCTCACTACTACGGTGTTATGTACCATGAGGCTAAACGCTGGCTCGCTCGGCTGATCGAGGACCCTGACAACTTCGAATTCTCCTTGGAGGATATGTCATCTAAGGTTATGTGCCAGCTAGCTTGGGATGATACGGATCTCAGCGAAGCCTGCACAAAGAGCGCATGGGGCCTTCTAACACAGATGTCGCCAGCCGGGCCCATCACTAATGTCATAACCCCTCTCTGGCATCTACCCAAGATGATAAACCCCTGGAAAATTGCCGAACGCAAGCGACACGACGAACAACAGGCGTGGTGGATGGAACGCCTGACAAACACGCGCAACGCACTGGAACAGGGACGGCAGAGGGCCTGCTTCACCAGCCAATATCTCGAAAGAGGAGAAAAGCGCTCAAATATCTCTGGTGACTATGAAGCTTCTTGCGTCATAGGGATGATGGCTCTCGTCGGCATCTTCACTGTAGTTGGCCCCTTGTCGTACTTCTTAGTATCAATGATACATCATCCAAAGTGGCAAGCGGCAGTGCAGAAGGAAATTGACGAAGCCTGCGAGGGACGGGTACCAACTCTGGACGACGCGCCTAAGCTTCCAGTCCTCCGAGCTTGCATCAAGGAAACGATGCGATGGAAGCCAAACGTACCTACAGGTTAGTTAACAGTAGGATGTAGGAATAACTAGAAGAAGAAGATAACTAACACATTAATACTAGGCGTCGCGCATGAGATGGAGGCCGATGATGAATTTCGCGGTCACTTTCTCCCTAAAGGAACAAGGATACTTCCATTAGACTGGTAAGTGAAATTATATGTTTTTCATTCTGACATAGTCTTATTATATAAAATATAAAATACTAAAAGTCTGTAGGGCATTCCTTCGAGACCCAGAAAAATATCCTGACCCGGATAACTTCCGACCCGAGCGTTGGTTGGAACCGGGATGGCCGACGTATCAGGAACCGCTTAGCATGTATCCTACCATTAAAGGGATGACGTCATTCGGTTGGGGGCAGCGTCAGTGTCTAGGACAATCGCTCACGCAAGACGAACTGATCGTGGCTTGCGGCGCGCTCAGTTGGTGTTTCAACCTTAAAGCGAAGAAGGATCCGATCACAGGCCAGGAGATACCGGTTCCTCACGACAAATCAAACTCTCTACTGATTATCAAGCCCAATTCCTTCCAGATGGCTTTCGAACCTAGGAGCGAAGCCCGAAAGGAAGAGGCGCTTAAGCTATGGGCTGAGTCTGACGCGAAATATCAGCAAGAAAAGGAAGAATTCCTCAAAGCTGCCGAGAAGAAGAATCAAACTATAGAAGTTGTATAAGATGTACAAGGACGTACAAGATGTATAAGAGGGGTATAGATTGCATGAGAGAAGAACGGCGGGTGTGTGTATTATCGAGAGTTGGAGATTTAGACGGCTGGATTTTACGGTCGTTACATAACATTGAATCATTGAATCTATCTATCTAATTTAGATACCTTAAGTGCTTGCAAGTATTAAACTTGCTTAACTATTAGTTAAACCCAAGTTTACTTATTTCATCTTGACTTGACTTTATATTTTCTACAGAGCTATGGACCACAGTATCATGTTTCTTTAGGTGAATAATTCTTAAAAATTTACTTGATAAAAACCAGAGAACAAAAGTAACGACAACTCCAACTGCCAATAGCTAGGTTGAAGCGATCAAAAATTGGGGAGAAAAGGGAGGAGGCCTTACATGCGGCGTAGCTATTTCATGCGGAATATACAAATATACCTCGTTGATAACAGGCGGTATAAAAGGTCTATTCGCTTACACTGAAGCCAGCAATAGATATGCTTATAAATTCAGTTTGTCGGCCCATAAGATGGAATCATAGGATCGTAGACGGAGCCACGGTAACTTCTGTGTCCGATATCATATCAGTCAAATAAAGGTTACGGGATATAATTCGTAATCCGGCGGCGGCGACAAGGCGGCAGCTACCGTATGCCGTCAGAAATTGACGTGTCGCCTAACGCAAGCTTCGATATCCCAACGTTAGGTACTTGTAAAAGAGTTTATAGCGTTTGTCGGTACCGATTATACAAACCTTGTGTAACAGGTAAGCATTGTAACCCCACCCCCACCTCCCCGGCCATTGTTTCCCCCCTATAGGTGTTTTACGCTTCTATAACATATATGGTTTTTTTTTGTTAACCTTTAATCAGACAAAAGACTTTTCGACTAATAATTCCCTAAAAAGCTTCCCCAATATCTGACCCGACCCGTAGATCTGACTTGTCTAAAGGTGTTTCAATATCATACCACTTGAACCATCTGAGACCGGGCGGATTCATCGGATCGAATGACAAACGACGAGCTCCGACTTACGATGTCCCGCTCAGCGAGCAGATACTGACGACTATAGATCCTCGGCACGGACAACGACGTAAATAACTACAACATATAAATCTACTTTAGATTCGACGAGGGATGATTCAAGGTCTTTGTCTTAAGAATTAAGTCTATCAACTCGTGAGCATCCCTATCATCATCATTACAATCAAATATATATAATACAGAATCAGAAATAAAATCACAACTATCAACTATCAACTATGGCCGTATCTCCCGAGGCAGTTCTTGGAACTACTGTTGCATTTTCTTTTATTCTCTTCGGTCAGTCTAGAATGAATCACAAGCTAAGCAACTATATTAGTGACAACCGTCCTAACTCTCGTATAGGAAATGCTATCACCCAGTCGTTCATGGGTGTTCCCGCTTTACTAGTTGACTTCCCGCCGCCATCGTCGCCCGAGCACGCAGCCCGCGCGCGATTGCTTGGTCGACAGTGGCCCGTATTCTGGGTTGTAGGCAATCAATTCTTCAGGCCGATTAGTACGCTCGGCATCTTTGGCTACGCCTATACATCATGGGCAGCCTCTGCGCAGGGACCGGATGGCAGACTTGGTGACTGGCGGCCGTACGCGGTATCGGCGCTGTGCCATCTCATCACCGTTGTCCATTCCGCGGCCAACATGCAGCCTATCAACCAGAAAATAGATGCCCTGCGTGAGCCTAAGGGCAAAGTCGACCCGAAGCAGGCCGAGAGTTACGCTCGTAAATGGATTAAATTCAATACCGTGCGCCTCATCACGCCGGTTGTTGCTGGGTCGTTGGCTCTCTACCAGTTGTTGAAACTACATTAGAATATTGGCAAGGGCGCGGGTACTCTACAGTTCCGCAACGTCTAGGAATGTTTTGTCTCGTCTGGATTGTCGGTTCTGGTACATGCTGTATAACTTAAAAGTTACTTACGTATACGCTTCTCCTATACTTTATTTAGCCCCTATTGATCCCGTCTTTATACCATATATCATTTAAAATAATTATTGCTAGACCATAAATGCTTGAGAGAAGAGGCAATTAAAAATTCTTGAAACTATTAAATTGACACCCAATATTATTTTACTTTCTTGGTCTTAATAACTAAATGTAAAATCTGCAGCTTTTGCAACTTCTGCATAGCAACCACCAAGGTACCTGCACATATACGCGCTTCTCATAATACGCTCCTCACAATATAAGGGGCAAATTACCTAGGTACTCATTACACATAGACTTAAACATAATCTCGGCGATGCGAATTTAGGTATATACCTATAAAGGTTAAATGTGTAGTAATGTGTAGTAAAGATTGTTATTAAAAGAACCTAAAAATAGAGTCGATTCAAACTCCCCTTAGAAACTCAAAAGATGGCCCGACGACCCAAATACAACAATGAGATTACCGTGATAACCTGTGCTAGTCCCAACCCAAATAATAGTGTCATCGATTTAGAGCCCGTAGTTTCGTTCCTGTTCCCTTTCTCCGTCCTCATACCACCACCGTCTAGCTTTGAGTAGTTCACGTCAAAGTTATCCGGTGCGTGTTTTCGGGCCATCTCTAAAGCCTTTGCGCTATCCACAAACTCTGTAACCCTAGAAACGAGAGTGCCGTCAGGGGATAGCTGGATCATCATTACGCATTCGTTTATCCACTCTCCAGCACCCCCTTTTAACATTCCTTGCATTCGTGCGTGGACTACTGCCATATTTCCTGGCCCGTCATCGACGATTGACTTCGGGACCATTCTGAATTCATCGAACACGTTGAAGATGCCGGCGGCGTGTTGGGCGAACGCTTCCCTATTCCGGGGCATCATGCCTAAGCTTTCTGGTAATACCTGATGGTAAAAGTCAGGCGTTGTCGACATGAGAAGCTGCGGAACCGAGAGGCTCCCGTAGCCATCTAGTAGCGCATTAACCGTATTGCGCCGCCGAGTCTGGGCCTCGTCCATAATGACGACCGGGAAGGTGTATTCTTCTAGCGTCGTAGAAGTCTAGGTGGTAAGTTGCTGCCGCCCATAAGGTGGTGGACAACGGTTTTGTTCGTCAAGCGAGACTGGCAGGGCATGCAGGACATCGGACGGGAGGGACCTAATAAATCCTTGAGTTTTTTTTCCGCAAGTCCCCAAAGAAGGCTACGTCGTGCTTTATGCCACGAAGCGTTCCGCGTAGGTTTAGAACGGACGCTGACAGCTTCGGGCGCCGAAAGGTTTGACGCGGCATCAATACCCCCTACCTAGATGCATACACCGAAAGGGGGGTAGGTCAGACTAAACTCTGATATGCCGACGTATGTGAACACGACTCCCCTATTTGACGATCTAAATAATCCCATGCTGTGGCTGCTGACCTCCTCCGCACAACTACCGCACAACTGACGCATCATCGACTAGATCCAGCCAATAGCCCAGCATGTCAAAAGTCCTTCTCATCACAGGTGCTACAGGAAAGCAGGGTGGTGCAGTGATAAGTGCACTTCTCGACCGGGACCCTGGCAAATTCACGATTCTCGCCGTCACACGCGACGTCAACAGCATCAGCGCCAAGAATCTTGCTCAAAAATCACCCTCGATCAAACTCGTGCAGGGCAATCTTGATAATGTCCCTGGCTTGTTCTACGAAGCTCGAAAGATACATCCCCAACCTATCTGGGGTGTCTACTCTGTCCAGGTCTCTATGGGAAAGGGGGTGACACTCGAGGGTGAAGTTGCACAGGGTACGGCTCTCGTTGACGAGGCTATCAAGACCGGTATCAGACATTTCGTTTACAGCAGCGTCGAGCGTGGCGGAGACGAAGCATCGTGGGACAATCCAACCCCTATACCTCACTTTCAGAGCAAGTACCGCATTGAGCGGCATCTCCGAGACGCCACCGGCCCGGGAAAACCGGGCGCAAGTATGAGTTGGACAATACTGCGTCCGGTAGCTTTCATGGATAATCTAGCACCCGGGTTCCCAACCAGGGTTTTCATGGCCGCGCTACATAATCACTTAGGAAATAAACGTATGCAATGGATCGCCACGTCGGACATTGGCATCTTTGCTGCCAAGGCGTTTGCTGACCCCGAGCGCTGGAACCGGAGGGCCGTCGGCCTCGCAGGCGACGAGTTATCATGGGAGCAACTTAATGCCTCATTCGCCAAGGCGACGGGTTCCCCCGTACCGGTGAGCTACTGGTTTTTCGGGAGCGCGCTGACATACATGGTCACCGAGATGGCCCTGATGATTGGATGGTTTGCTAGCGATGGCTATAAGGCAGATGCTACAGCTCGACGCAAGGATCATCCTCAAATGCTGACATTGGAGGAGTGGTTAGTTAAAGAAAGTCCGTTTGAAACGGTCCGTCGTCAGTAATAGGTGTGTCGATCTATATCGCAATAGACGTAGCACGGCGATATGTTGGCATCTCCCCCCAAACATTGAAACCGGCGAACGTAGGGCTTCCACACAATTCAAGGAGTACAGTTAAACATATCGAATTAATCAGGTAGCATTGATTGATGAATTAAATTATTTTAGAAAGGAATCTATGCCAATCACTTCTCGCTGTATAGCTAGCTGTATGACTGTATAGGACCCAGGTTGTCGATAGTTTTGTTGTCGGAAACAACCCCCCTACGCTAGAATAGTAAAGACCTGAGAGCTATCTCCGGCACAAGGAGCAGAATCAAGCCTACCGTTGCCCGGCACGATGCATGTTGCATTTCGTTCGCTCTCTGGCGCGAAGACAAAATTTGTCTCCCCCGTAAATGGTACCAACTGGCCATTGTTCGTCTCGCCCTCTAGTTAAGTATTAGCATCAGAACATACTATAGCATTAAGATAAAAAAATAATCACGTACCTCCAGCTGCTCGCCCTCCGCACGAGAAAATCGTTACCGTGTCGCCAGCCGGGCGTCGTCCATCGAAGCTAATACAACCGTTCGTCTAGAGCGATGTTAGAATTGACTAACGATTGTTAATTACGAAGCCGGTCTGACTTACCAAGCTGCTCACTATCAAAGCCGAATCTTGAGCGTTGTTATGTTTCCCAGCCGTAATGATGTCGAACTTTTCATTGGGCGTCCCGCCACACTGCACTAACGAGACCGGGATGAGGTTCTCTCGAAAGTCACCAGCAGTTGGGTCGATGAAGAGGCACTGGCCGTTTGGTGCCTTTATGCTGACGGAGGTGAAAGCACGCGTCGCTGTGTCGTCCCGCTGATGAGACTCGGCTACTGCTGTGGGTTGTAACACGCCACCGGCACGAGATACGGGGACAGCGTCGGTAGGATTGGGAATTGCTCCGGTAGCTTCCGAGACAGATGTTGTCGACCCCTGACTCGGATTCTGTACTGTAGTAGCGGTGGCGGTAGATGTAGCAGTCGCTTGAGGAGGGTTAGTTGGCGTAGACGAGACATCTGTTCCGCTCGATGCGCTACTAATAGCTGCTGGTGCATTGCCAAATGTAAATAGTTGGTCGGAACTTCCAGCGGCACAGGGGGCAACATCGATGACGTTACCCTTAACGGTGAAGCACGACTGTAGGTCATTCTGGGGTGAAAACGTGAGAGGACCACTACTACTGGCGCTGAAAGGGAAGAGCTGGGAGTCTGTGACTTCGCCGCCACCATCTGCCCGTCCACCGCAGCTAAAAAGAATGACTTGGTTGCCACTCGCACGTCGCGGATCGAAGTTGAAACATGCATTTGTCTGGAGACTTATTAATATATATTCTAAAGTGGTATTTCGAGTAACTATAGAAGATGAAGTACTAACCAAAGTGCTAACAATGAGCATCGAATTCTCAGCATTGTTATGCTTCCCTGCGGTAATAACATCCCATCCTTGACCGTCTGTGCTATCACATTCAGCTACTTGTATCGGAGTGAGATTTGCCCGGAAATCTCCAGACAGCTCGTCAACGAACAAGCATCGCCCATCAGAGGTCTATAATATATAATCCGTTAACACAAGGCGCTGTCTATCATCCAGAGTTATCTTACCCGAATCTGCGTTCCTGAGAAAGCCCTTGTCGCTGTGTTATCCGGCTGCTGCGCCTCTTCAAACGCCGCCTGGTCGAGTTCCGTCACCGACTTTCGAAGCAAGCCCAAAGACGCGATGGGCGACGCAGCCACGCATGACTGCAAGCCGAGAAAGGCGAATATGAGTGAATACATTGTTATAAGTAGTCCCAACACAGAAGTTTGATAACGGATTTTCAATATGCTATCCTTGTAATATAAACAGAACAGCTCCCGCAAATATACGTTCGAAAACTCAAACAATAGTATAGTAAGAATGAAAGAGCCTGCGCAGCAGGAATGAGTGACGAATATAAAAGAAAAAGCGAATGTTAAGAACCTGCCCAAGACCTGACGATGTTCTGACAGATGGCGAGGGTAACAACATCGTGTAGCGTCGCCGGGCACGAAGCGATTATAAATACTGAGCGCGGCATCGCGAGCTTACTATTGCATCCGGACTTTTCGGCGTCGCAAAGAGAAAACCTCATTCAAGGAGATGATAACCAACTCCCTATTTTAAAATGAGGGGTTTCTGTCAAGTTTCATAGCGATTCCCTAGGAGCCGTTGGCGAGCCTGCGTTTCCCTTAGCGCCGTGAAGCTTGGGTCAAGATATCGGTGGGCGGCATTGCATAGTTAAACATTGGTAGGGGGGGTTTTATGCAGGGTCACAGAAAGGAACGGTGTACCTTACATATGGCTGTCAGGATAGCTATATACGGTACCCTCGCCTCGGGGTTAAGCTGAATCAATGAAACAACGCCCGTCACAGATGCAATGATCCTCGCCGGGATCAAAGATCGTTTATACTTCCTTTTCTGATCTGGAAAGTTTCAATCGGTTGTTTCTTATAAGAGGTAAACAATTTTCTAATAATATAAGATTATTACTGGTTAATTTATAGTATTTATCTACATGTACCTTTTAAGGTAACCTCTCGTACGAATGAATGGGCTGCCCATGCACTCACTCATACCAGGGTAGGGGTATATACATATTCCGTGGTTGTAAATATATCAGGACTGCCTCAAATACCCTGCGAAACAACACGACCTTGTCCAACCAGATAGATATCCTAAACCAACGTTGATTTTGGCTTAACGATGCATAGGGAGGTACTTTATACATTACTTAGACCATCGCTCTACCCTCATATTACAATGTCGCTCTTCTTAGATCTTAGAAGGACAAGTCTTCCTTGGGTACACAAGGTGTATCAAATCCATACCCCTAATTCAACTATCAATCATTCCCTTCTCTATACTTCTATACCTCATCGCCCACCACCCGATTAATATTTACTTACCTAGGTACCTATCCTCCAATATCACTACTAAAATGATGCTTTACTTACCAATGTCATCGTAGGTAAGTCTAACCGCTACACAGTGAACGAGAATAGGTCCACGAGTAGCCCAGCTGCGATTTCCAAGAGCATCGACGAGATCTCTAATCTACGCCAGGGTAAGGGATGCTCTCCAGGAAACAGAAGTACCACGATTCCAACGGAGCCATCGAATTCACTGCCAAGTTTCCATGAGATCCTATCAACCGAGACAAAGATGCTTGGTGTTGCAATGATAGCATCCAACGTGATAGGAAGGCATCCTTATGATAAAGCCTATTCGATAAAAATGAATGAATATTGCTTGTGGGATTAGCCAGAGACACGTCTGTTCAGTACGTTAGAAAGTGACCCCGATAGCGACTTTAGGACCTACGTTCATAGAAAGAGAGACCGATCTCATGTATATATGAGTACCTATGTACTCGAATTGATTCTACCCTCTCTACTAATAGCTACAGTGTTTGTGATTTCTAGTCATTGCGAGTCCTTAAACGCTAATATCTTTCAAGCTATGTATCTAGCCGTCAAGTCATAGTCTAGGTAGTTATCAATATCCATCAATCTCGTCAGACATATGGGTATGCCTACCTGGTAGTTAGTAGGAGATTCAGCCAAGTTTATTTCTTGATATATATTAAAATCTTTGTTAGTCCGTTATCTCAGTACATTCCACATATTTATGATCAAATACTTATTCGTGTTGCCTTGGAGTAACTAACGTATACTTTAACAAAGTGGTAACTACAACTACTGCCTGGGTAGGTGGTATGTAGACACAAGCCAGAACAGAGAACTACTTAAGCTGATAGTTTGTTAGGCACTTATAAAGTTCCATACTTAGGTAGTCTTACATTTATATCAGGATTGTTATTATGAAATTCGTTGACATACTTGGTAACAAACGAGACAGCTATTCCATATATATTAGTTCATCTTTATCTTTTAGGTCCTAAGCCAATCGCTCTATAGTTAACATAAAATATTAGGGAGAGTATTGTTTATTCATCTATCTATGTTCGCCTCCTCACACCCTCCAGAAGGCTTACGTATAAGATTCACCAAGACTCAACTCAACTGTACCGAATTTATATGCGAGCATTAATCCAAAGCTGTCAACCCGCGTGGGTGTATAATCCCACTACTAAGCATAAGATCATCAAGTCAGGTGTACGATCGTAATTTTTCAACGTATATGTTTATCTATTAACGAAATTTACCCTACGATGGGCTATTGATGACATACCCATAGTCTCATGTATCTAACCTAAGGTAAGAGTTGTATTGCATCAGAACAGCTTCACATACTTTTGGACGAGAATTTACATACTACAATTGTAAGTTATTTCGTAGATTATATTAACAGAGGTACACAACCATAAAACTATAAACATAAGCTTTATGAGTTATATGCTCTGCAATAAGTGCTTCTTTAATATGTATTTCCTAAGTTGAAGTAGCCTATCATGCGTAAGGCTTCTAATCCTATCTAGAATCGAGCTTTCTAACAAGGGCACATAACCATACGAAAGCTACGAGTGTTTCTTAGCTTATAAGGCGGAGAATTACATGCATGTCTACCTGCGTACCTGCGTACGTAGGGTAACAATATAACTCGATGGTGGTTACGCAAAGGTCAAGTTGTCACAGCACCACATTATATAGGATGAAAATACTAAATAGCGAAGATATATAATGCTAATGGGCTACGGAATCAACCCCTGGATTAGGCAGGCAGGCTGGCTATAGTATAATTACGTGATATTGCTATCTCATTGCACGTTATGTAGTAGGTCTCTTTTTGCAAGTCTCCATGACGTGATATCTCTAGGAAAGCTATCTACTTATGGTATCTTTAATAAACAAGGTAGGGGTAGTGGTAATAACCTCATCTTCATGTGGGGAATAGAAACGCTGAGAGATCTCAGATGAGGAAGTTCGGGTCTATCATGCAATGCATGTAACGATTAACCAGAACGAGATCATATATGTGGCTTGGCGTGAAGCCTGATAAACAATACCATCCGACTTGCAGCCAATAGTTTGAGATTGAAGAAGCTGGTCCACTCGGTCCGGTGCCATGCTTCGGTAGGCTAAATTGACTGGACGTAACTCGAGGGACATTCCCTGCTTGGGAATCTCTTCGTTTCCCATATTTCTTGCGCAAATGTTCTTACGACCTTCTGTAACCAATTGCCAAGCATGTACATCCATTGCTCATACGAGCTAGGCTAAAGTTTATCGTTCTAGATCTACGTCGCCCATGCGAACCACGACCTGCCCGATTGGGTAGATGCAAAGCTCATCCATAGTAACGCTATCACTGTAGACTTTTAGGGCGTCATGGCGACGAGCTGATATCACCAAAGTTTAAAATATAAAGTGTACCATCGGGTTCACCAATTTTTTATCGAAAGGCTGCGCCCCCTTAACTCGTAATCGTCCATCATGAAATTCCTCAAGTCTCTTCTGTTGGTCGCGCCCTTGACTGTCGCCTTGCGACTGGATAGGCGGGGTAAAGTTATATATGACGGCTATAAGATCTTTCGCGTGGCACCAGGGGACAATGTTGCGGATTTCGAGGCCCGATTGGAATCTCTAGAGGCTATCGACCTTACCCACAATCATGGCCATATAGACGAGGAGCATTTCGATATCGCAGTGCCGCCTGAGAATCTTTCGGCTTTTGAGGGGTTGAATTTCACCTCCGAGGTGTTGACCGAGGATCTCGGAGTCGACATAGCACTTGAAGGGGAGTTTGCTGAGTATCCCGGTACGTGAGATAGGTTGAAAGAGAAATATAAGTACGCGGGCTGATTCCAATGGTACCTAGAACTAAGCGCGGTTGCTGCTCTCCCAAGCCTTTCATGGTTCAATGCGTACCATGCTTATAGTGACCACTTGACGTTTTTGAAAGATATACAGTCGTCTTTCTCCTCTAACTCGGAGCTCATCACGGCTGGGAAATCATTTGAGGGCCGCGATATCCAGGGTATTCATCTCTGGGGAAGCGGCGGCAAGGACTCGAAACCTGCTGTCTATTTCCATGGAAATGTCCATGCTCGGGAATGGATTTCCTCGAAGGTGACTATATGCTTAGAATATCCGCTGAGTTAGCTATATATTGTTAACATTTGATATTAGGTTGTCGAATATCTTACATACCAACTTGTTGCTAACTACAACAATGACACGACGATCAAGGGCTTTCTCGATAGTTATGACTTCTACATCTTGCCTATCGTCAACCCCGATGGTAAACTGATCTCAATCTAATGATCTTAAATGTCAGCTCATTTGTATTAGGTTTTCTCTATACACAAACTACGAACCGGTTGTGGCGGAAGAATCGCCAGACGCGATCTGGCACCTCTGCTGTTGGCACCGATGTCAACCGGAATTGGCCTTATAAATGGGATGGGGAGGGATCTTCTACCAGCCCCGGGTCAGGTTAGTCAATCTCGAAATTTCTTTTTTCCTGCTCGTTTACTGACCAAAATCTAGAAACGTGAGTACCTACCTCCTACTCAAATATAAACTTTGCCTTGAGTCCTACACAATGGCTCGTCGAGTCTAATTGTTTTCCACGAAATGAATTATCTTATAAGTGAAAGGGCATAAATATTAACTGGGTTACTTATAGGTACCGCGGCGTTGCAGCAGGCGATACTCCAGAGAACACTGGTATCCGAAGTAAGATTCAACATTTATGTCAACCTGAAAGCATTTGACTTATTTCATCATAGCCTTGGGCGACCAATTAGCGAAAAAGAAGGGTATTAAGTTATACATCGATTGGCACAGCTACGGACAATATATCCTGACGTCAGTATAGCTTCGATCAGTTCTCCTTGCCGGGTTTAGACGCCCACAACCCTATTGTAGATCTGGGAACTGACATGAACTTTTCAGGCCTTACGGTTACTCGTGCTCAGCAGCGGCTTCAAACCAGGCCAAACAAAACTCGCTAGCTAAAAATACTGCTTCCGCTATCGCAAAGCCATACGGGACTCAATTCACTACCGGTCCGATCTGCTCTACGCTCTATGCCGCTGCCGGCGGTAGCAACGATTATGTGACCGACGTCAACAAGGCAGAGTTTGGGTAAGTCAAGCAATCTATTATATAGGATAGAATCCAGTCTAAGAGTGTGCGTGAATTACTAACTTGAACCCAAGGTGGGCCATCGAACTCCGTGATACTGGCCGAAACGGATTCACGTTACCCGCCAATCAAATTCTCCCAACTGGTATCGAGGTATGGGAAGGAATGAAGTATCTTTTCGCTAATATGTGAAAATATATTCGAATTATATCGATGTTATATATCGATGATAGTAGTATTCATCTGAGGCAGACAATAGCGACCTCAAACTAAATACGTACATTCGGACTCATCAATATTTGGATATTCGCCCAAATGTAATTGCCGCCCGTAATAAATATTAATTTGAATTGTTGTTCTATCCTCAAGTGTTAAGGGAGACCTCGGCGATACTGTTTCCAACAGCACCTAATCCAACTTTAAAGCGATTTAAAAAGAAGTAGGTATCTTGCAAAGAGGGGGTATCATATTATTTGGGTTACGTGATCATATCATTGTAGACTCTTGTCCTTTTCCGTATCCGAACTCCTTGGACGAGGCTCCTCCTTTACAATCCACTCATGCCTTATCGAAATTGCCCCCATCTCAAGACCGATCTCGCCTAAGCTTCCGAAACCCATAGGTGGCTCTGGAGATTTCGCTATCGACGCCTGATACCCGACCTCTTCGGGGCGTAGACGTGTTTCTGATGTGTTTTCGGTGAGCGGCTGGAACCGACGATTACTATTCTTCTTCGGTAGGGGTGCGATAGGCGGAGTACTGAAATTTGCCGTTCCGTCAGGTGAATATCGACCGCCGAAAAGGGGACGCATAGTCATTGCACACGCTGCCATCACGCCGAGGCAGGGTTCAAGCGAACTAAGCAGGATGGTATGCGGAGAACTGAATGTGAAATCGGTGAAGTCCATTTTGACCATCTCAGCTATACGGACGATGCTAACAATGCAAGGCCTACCGGGAATGTTTGTTAGGGGGGGCGCATAATGGGCAAATCTGATACTAATACTCACAATACCAATATGCCGAAGATTGCTGCTAACCGAAGCCGCTTCTCCCATGCTAACTCAAGCCTCAGCAGGTAAGGCATCGGCATGATAAGAATCATTAGGTCAGTTATCATGTTGAGGACCCCCGTTACAGTCCATGATATCGTCGGGTCACTACAGACTCCTCCTTCGATCGATTTATCCCAGTTATAGGCGAAGGGTTTACATAGGAGAAAGGCGGTAAGAACGGCAGTTAAACCCCTTCATTACGAATCGTTAGCAACTATAATGTAATAGGATACATACGTGATAGAATGTGGCATGAGGTAGGTAGGTACATACCATCCAAGGACAAGAACGTAAGTAATTCTGGCGGTTACGATAAAACTTTGTACCAGGAATATTTTCGTAGATAATATGAGAATCGAAACTCTGCAAAGACAAAGGCTAATTGCCCATAGTAGCTGGTTGGCGACTGTATGCTACGTCCCACCGCAAGAGTTAGTAAATTTCCATCGATTGCAAACCGTCGTGGTGCCGAGAAACATACCTGGAGGAATATCTCCGCTCCGGACTCAACACCAAACCTATTCTTTATATCCTCGATATGGTAACCTACTCCACCTATAAGAACAGCTATCAAGTATAAAGCGTTAACTCCTAATCTTAGACTATCTTTACTGGGAACTAATACGAACATGAGATAGACACGCCTTGATAAATAACAGCGAAAACCTAGGGTACAGCATCAGTAACGATCAAAGGTCTCCGACTAAGTTTTCTTGCTGGCAAGAATAAGGAGCTTTCGCAACATACACAGGCCGCAATAACGAAATAGTCACTCAAGTCGAGCACCCTATTCGCCCTGCGTCTGGCCAAGACGCGTAAGGCAACGGATATCACCGCTAGGAGGCTAAATATAACACCGCAGATTATGACGGCCCTTTGATCTTGGGTCTCGATGGGGAAGATAAATGGCATAATAGCGTCCTAAAGTCATTCGGATGGGACGGAGGAAACGAATGACTCCCTTGGATGGAATATAAAACCAGCACAATTCATCGATCATTGAAAAGGCGAAATAAAATTGATGGGCTAAAAGAGTGTGTTCTAGGTTTAGATAAGTTTGCAAGCTGCAGCCATTTTCACTTGTTAATCCCGTCGCAATGGCCTATAGAACCAGCGGTATGGTACGTATGTATTGCTAGGTGCCCGACAGGCAGGGGACTTTTTATGATGAACCAACACTCCGAAGCAGGATCCTAGTAGATAGATAAGCCGGGTTTCGTCTAACTACCTAACTAGTAGCTTTGGCCTTTAAGAATATAACACAGCTCTACCACTCGACTTGGCTTCCTTATCTATATGGCCGATTCTGAACCCTCTGCGGTATTAGAAAAGGCCCAATGGTCTTCAACTAGAAGTATTCGATTCGTTAGTCTTGCTACAACACATAGCGTAAGAGCCAGCGGTAGCGGAGTGAGACCCACGAGGCAGTAGGGCCATCCAAACATCACGCAACGGAAAATTCTCCACGCATTGACCTGTGTGTTAGACAAGGGTTGTTGAAGAGAAAGCTCAGGAAGCTGGGGTAATGCCTCCCCTTTAGCGGGCCTCCAAGGGTCTAAATAGTGATCCCTCACCCTTCCGGTATGTCACTGTGCTTTATACACTAGTGTAGTCAAGGACCACGACCTAACCCGAGAAATGAACATCCACACGTATGTTACAAGATACGACATGGGACGCTCGTAACCAAAACCAGCAATATGGCAGTATGTAATCCGTATGTATGGGAATCATTAGCTCGCCTCACCCCCTCAGCACTTGAGCCATACCATAGCGTCGGATTGCTCGATATCATTATACATACCGAGCCGGGCTTCGGAATGCTTGCCGGTAAAGATGTAACCTTAACTAGAGTCGGCTTTCCACGTGAAATGTTGGTGACTGGTAATTCAAATTACTTGTGCCCAACTTGGCAGAAATGTACAACTATAATATTGTGACGATCTCTCTCTTATGTACTAGCTAACTTGTCTATGTAAGTTAGGTTAGGTACTTATGAATGTTTGCTTAAAACCTCTTGTTTACGCTAACTAAGAAATATTATCAGTCTATACTGTATGGAGTCTGTAAACCCGGTAAAAAAGTCCACTTACCGTGATGGGTGACCGGCATGTCAATCCTTCCGGCGTTAGCGTACCCATAATGGAATGACTATGTATTATGCATCTGACGGGAGAACTAAAACACTATAATGGCTTTATTACGACGAAGTTATTTGTCAAAGTAGGCTATTATCTGTACATACTTGTTTGCGTCCAATCTTTTAATATCAGGTTATATACAAATAATTCCAAAAGCGGTTATTATATCATATTATGCGACTTAATCTGTGCATACCTTTAAATATTACGTTGATATCCCAAGCTTGGTTTGGCAAGCTTTAAAGTGTTTGTAGCTTGAGAGCCTTTTTTGTTTTTGTTTTTTTTATTGGGGAGATTAACTTTGATGCAGACTTGTTATTAGAAATACTTGCGTTAAATTGCTACCTTTACATTTCTAAAGAGGTTTACTTAATATAAGTTGTGAAAATTAAACAAGAAGTCTGCTGTTAAAATAAGACCAAGATCTTATAACATTCAGCTGATGGTGGGAGTGGCCGTATCTAAACGATAGTTAGTAGTATAAAAACTGGCATTATTCTAATGGACTATTAAGTTGGGTGACAGGCATGTATAATATGTATGTAAAACCTCGTGGTACGTAATACAGTACAAATATTTACACGTGAGTTAAACATACTGTTTTTCCAATTCGGGAATCAAATTCTTGGGGTTAGCCAATCGGAAAAGAAGCCAGTGTTTTCGGGATTTACATAAGCAAATAAGACGGTACCCAACTTGTTGCCTTATTGAAAACATGTATGCCATATTATCCACCGTATGAAATATCAAGTTGAAGTAATATAATACTCTGGTGATTTGTGCACCTTATTCATCAATTAAGCAACAACTACGTATGAAAAGAATCTAGGCATGAGGAAGCATTGCATAGGAAGACATATATTTGTCCCCTTGCAACATAAAACACAGCTGTGTAAAACATATACATGTTAGTATGGCTATAGAAGTACTATTTATGCTATTTAAGTAGCAACCGCCGTAATGCGGTAAAATCCGTGAATACCTAAAGTGCCTACCCACGATGTTTGGGTCCTCGCTTTTGCCGCCCGTGAAATAGCCTCTGAAGGCGATCGAATCTGAATCCGAATCTGGCGCAAGTGTCGAATAAAACTGCCACTACCAAGAATCCCTGAATGGAGAAGAGTCAACGAACCCCCTTGCCTTATTTCGTATTTACCAGACCTGAAGTCACTCCGAAAAAAAGGAATTAGCAGCATCGCTCACTTGCCATACGCCTAAGTCATGATAGAAACCAGACCCGCTTTTTTCCTCGTTGTCGTAGTTAAAGCGCCGCCGAAACGCGTCGAATTGCAGTGAAAAAAAAGAATATACGCATAATTAAGCCCTGCCCGATGAACGCCGTGTAATGAACTTCGCTTCTGCCTTGTCCTCTATCCGTCGCAATAAAAAAAGGGAACCGCCATGCCTGGGTGGCTTATTATGGACATGGGGAGAAAAGGTGTTGAGAGCCAACCTCTCATTGTGACTTATGTCGATATGACGAAGATGGCTGTAGAGGGTCAACTGCCAACTGAGGAACGACTACAGCGGAAGCTGGTAGCAGGTTATTCCTATAGAAGTGTCTTGTAGCGTGGCTAATGAGTCGAGGCCACTGTATGTTGCTACATGACAGGGCCATCTAGCATAGGCCCTCCCATCTCCATGTTATCCATAGGCACGTCCATACCAGTTCCTCGGGTCTCCATGCTAGACATGCGCGCTTCCACCGCACCCATGCGCGACTCCATAGTTTCGATTCTTTTTTCGATGCCGTCAAGGCGCTGTTCGATGCGATCGAAAGCTTGTGTCATCTCGTGACTCATACGATCCATCTTATTCGTTAGGCTTCGTATGCTCTGGGCGGTCGGCGTGTTCTCCTGGCCTGGATTGCTGCTGTGAACTCGGGGCTCGTGGTTGTGCTGATCGCACTGGACCTGGAAACGCCACTGATTGCCGAGCTGGACCTCGCATACTGCCTTCGCCCTCCAAGGGCAATCAACCTTCCTCGTGCTCGGGTTACGCTTCTTGGCAGTGCTGTTGTACTTGACACCGCCGCGGTCACACACCAAATCATATCGCGTAGGCTTGTGGTCGCGATAGTTGCTGGCCCGAAGCTTAACGATTCCGAAACCCTGGTCCTTAGCCACGCGCTGGATGGAACCGATAAGGTCCTCGAAGCTAGGAAATATGCCTTCGGGGGGCGATCGAAGGGCTCCGGAAGGAGCGGGATCGTTTGTCGGCATATTCACCGGGGTCGCTGGGGTTGTCGTCGGGCCCGGGCGCGGGGTGTTTAAAGCGCTCGAGTTACCGTTAACGACGACGCCCGGGGCGACCGCACGGTGGTGGGGGGGCTGTTGGAACGAAATGTTGGCGGTTGGAGGTGAACAACTAGGGGTTGAAGGTGGAGTATAAAAGAGGGAGGAAATAGTAGAAGAAGGTTTGTGGGTGAGGCTATCTCCAAACTTAAGCTGTGCCTCGGGTTTCTCGGTGGGGTAGGTTGTCGGATACGGCTGCTGGTCACCGTGTGAGTTTGGTGAAGTTGACGCGGAGAATGCTGCGGTAGGACAGTGGGAAGAGTTGAATTGGGGACGAGGATCGGGACGGAAGAAAAGAATTGGTTGGTGGGTGGGGAAAAAGGAAATCGGGCACTTTGCTTACCTGAGCTATGTGAGGCTGCAGAGGTTGCAGAGGCTTGAGAGGAAGAGAGTAGCCACATTTACGCGTCAAGTGGGTACGCGCCTCTTTCTGTGCACGACCCACCTCCAATTGAATTTGGGCAGAGAAGTGGGTTCGGCCTATCTCCGGCTGAGGCTGAGCTTGAGTTTGGGCTTGAGCTTGAGTCGGTACCTGCCACTTGTTTGTCTGTCCCGGAGGCTGGAATTCTAATCCAGGATTAACGACCCCTTGCCGATTATCGCCGTCGCTATCCATCTTTAGGTGTTCCATCGAAACTCGGAACTTCGGTATTATATCTTATTCCTAAATCACTTTATGTTCTGGTCGGCTTATTGTTGTAAGATCAAGAAATCAAGTTGTTGATTTTATGCTTTGGATTTTGGTTAAATAATGGCTACGGTCGGGAGTCAGTTGAAGAAGTCTAGTGTCAGTGGTTTAGGACGGAGTAAGGAAGAAGGAGAAATGCCAGATGAAGAGCAGCTGGCACAAAGTATGAAGCAGCTGAATCTCCTACACATCAAGGTGCGAAAAAAATTTCTAATGTTTGCCCACCTTTTGGACTAGAAATGGTCAATGCTCATACTTTCATATTATCGTATTACTGACACATGGCGGAAAACAGTGCCGGGAGTTGAGAACGACTATTCAACGCATGCTCGAGGCTATTCCGAATAACTCTACTGGTACTGTATTGGTTTCTTTCCTCTTTTCGCACTTAGGCATGCTGACGCGTGATAGCTGAGGAAGTCTATGAGTGTTTCGTCAAGTCAGTCGGCGCCGCGAGTACTCAGATTAAAGACTTTAATACCCTTTACAACAGCGAGGAGAGTAAGAGGGTACTTGACCAAGCTAAGAGGAGTCGCGATGCCAACCCTAAAGGCATCAAACCTTGGCGTGCTAAAGATCACCCCGACTGGTTGGATCTTGCTCAATAGAGCTCTCGCCACTTGATTAATAGAGGTTGACGTTACTGTTATTTTTCTTTTCTATTTTTTATACAAACAAAAGACAGTCGGAATCACCGGGTCAGGCTACGGTATTTTCCAATGTTTCGGTATTAGAACAGCGTTTGGTCAATGGCATAGTGGTGTTACGGTGGGTTCATGCTTACATAGATACCCAATATAATACTATCTAAAAGATATTAATACGAAAGTGGCATTGTGCTTAATATATTATTGTACTATTATTGGTATATATGGCTATCTGAAGGAACTACGTAGGTTAGGTATGACGAGGCCTTACTCTACTACGTTTACTAAACTAGATATTTGGACATGGGGGAGTTGTATATATACAGGTATAGTGCTGATCTACTAACCTCTCTCTCAGGATTAGTTCCCTCCGTATCTTCGTAATATAACTCCTTATTACAGAAGCTGCTAAAAGAGTTGATTTAGGTAATTTCACCTAGGTAATTACATGCTCTAGTGTCACAGTATATATAGGTCACTAGGATGTTAAATGTTATTTGGTGGAGATGTTACTTGAAAGAGCGAAGTATCAGGACATTCGAAATATTATGGCAAAATACAATTGTAAATATGTCTCCTGATTTTAGGAAGACTTTTATCATTTAAAATTACCTATTCAAGCAAAACTTATACTAGAATCTTCGAATGGGTTTGTATCTTGCCATATAAATAAGGCAATACGATACTTATTAACTGCTTCAAGTAACATCTCCACCAAATAACATTTAACATCCTAGTGACCTGTACATGTACTAACAATTATGGTTATCGTCTTGCTTACATAAGATAAGAGAGAAAGCAGATAGTGCACGGACCATAAAAGTCAGGAGTGCTCGATAGGCTGATAAGCTAAGCAGGCTTGCCTGCTGAAGTCGGCTCACCCACCCCTCGACCCCACATGCACCAAAAATTCGTTGTAATTTCCAAAAAACTGTGTGCACCTTTTTTAATTTGTCTTTGCCCCTCCACCTTCAACTTCTTGCCTTCTTCCAGGCATACGCGCGCAACTCCTACTTTGTCGCATTGACACATTGTCAAAAAATATTCCATTCATTAATCCTGCAATCATTTAAAAATTAATAGAGAAAACACCCGACAAAATGTCTCGATTCTTCCGCAGCGGCGACGATAGCTCGTCCGAGAGCAGCTCCGAAGAGGAGGAGCTCTACTCCGAGGAAGAGGAAGAAGAAGCGAAGGAGGAAGAATCTGAAGAGGAGGACGAAGAGGAGGATGAAGATGAAGATGATTCCGAAGAGGAATCTAGCAGCGATGAAGAGGGTGGCAAAAAATCCGGTGCTGCTCGTTTCTTACGTGGTGATGATTCCGAGAGTGAAGAAAGCGACGATGATGCTCCCAAAACTCTCAAGAGCGCAAAAGACAAGCAGTTTGCAGAGCTTGAATCCACAATTGACACCATCGAGAAGCGTCAGAGGATTAGTGATTGGGGTGCCGTATCTGTCGGTAAGCTTAGTTGATTGAAATATCGATCAAGTTCATACTGATTAACGACTTCTATTTAGAATTCGACAAGCTCAACAGACAAGCCGCCAAGATTTCTGAGCGCGGAAGGACACCGAAGCTTTATATAAAGGCCATCGTCGAACTAGAAGATGCGATGAACGAGACAATTTCGAAGCAGAAGGTCACACCCAAGAAGATGAACGCCACGAGCGCTCGTGGTCTCAATGCCGTCAAGCAAAAGATCAAGAAGCTTAAACAAGATTATCAAACCCAGGTCGATGCGTACAGAGAGGATCCCCTTGACTTCCTCGCTTCAGATGAAGAGGAGGAAACACCTGTTCCGAAACCCAAGAAGGCTAAGGCAGACGTATACGCTGACCAAGTCGAAGAAGACCAAGAGGGCTTTGCTACCGTCGGAAAGGGTGGAAAGACGCTCCTGTTCACGCCCGAGAGTATCTTCAAGCACCTACGCGCAATCTTGGAGTCTCGTGGTAAGAAGAATACAGACCGGATCGAGCAGATCAAAATCATGGAGAAGCTTCTCGAAGTTGCCGCTACTCCATACCAGCAAATCAAGGTGCTTTTAACTATTGTTTCCGCGAGGTTCGATCTTGGCTCTGGTGGTACGGCATCCATGCCATTGGAGCACTGGAAATCTGCCGAGAAGGAAATCTCAACCTTGTTCGAAGTGCTTGAGTCAAACCGGGAGTATATTGTGATTGAGAACGCTGAGGAATGGGATGATGACGAGAAGCCACCCACACTACAACCGGGCGAGAAGTATATTAAAATCCCTGGAAGTATTGTGTCGTATGTTGAGCGGCTCGACGATGAGCTCACGCGTTCATTGCAAAATATTGATCCTCACACGTCGGAATATATCGAACGACTAACCGATGAGGGCTCTCTATACAATGTTATTTTCCGCGGTCTTTTGTACTACGAAACCCTCTCTAAGGACACGTCTTTGCAGACGCCACAGGACAGTCTAAACCGCATTGTAATGCGCAGATTGGAGCATGTCTATTTCAAGCCTGCGCAGGTTGTCAAGATCCTCGAAGAAAATGCTTGGAAGCCGGTGCCCGCAGATGTCGAATCTACTATTACCCCTAGAGGAAGCATCTCGGATGCTACTAATCTCCTCAACGTCCTTTGCAATTACTTGTTTGTTAACAGCGAGGGTATCATTCGAGCACGTGCGATGCTGTGCCAGATATACTTCCTCGCCCTACATGACGAGTACTACAAGGCTCGAGACATGATGCTCATGTCCCACTTGCAGGAAACAATTGGCAGTTTCGACGTCCAAACGCAGATACTCTACAACCGAACCCTGGTGCAAGTTGGTCTGTGCGCTTTCCGTAAAGGTCTGGTCTATGAGGCGCAGAACACGTTACAGGAAATCTGCGGTAGCGGCCGACAGAAGGAATTGCTGGCTCAGGGCGTTATGATCCAGCGTTTCGCTCAGGTCTCTCCCGAGCAGGAGAGGCTAGAAAAGCAGAGACAGCTACCCTTCCATATGCACATCAACCTCGAGCTTCTGGAGTGTGTCTACCTAACTTGCAGCATGCTCCTAGAGATTCCGCTCCTCGCTCAAACTGGCTCCTCGCCAGATATTAAGAAGCGAGTTATCAGCAAGACATACCGACGTATGTTAGAGTATCATGAGCGGCAAATCTTCACCGGACCTCCCGAGAACACTCGTGACCACGTCATGCAAGCATCTCGTGCCTTGGCTGCTGGGGAATGGAAGAAGTCGATCAACTTCATCCACAGCATCAAGATATGGGAGTTGATGCCAAACACGGAGGAGATCAAGACCATGCTGTCGAAGCAGATCCAAGAAGAGGGTCTACGAACATATCTCTTCACTTATGCTCCCTACTATGACACTCTTGCCATCTCCACGCTCTCTTCTATGTTCGAGCTCGAGGACCGCAAGGTCTCGGCCATTGTTAGCAAGATGATTAGCCACGAGGAGCTGGCTGCTGCACTCGACCAGGTCACATCAACGGTCATCTTCCGAAAGGGCGTAGAGCTATCTCGCCTTCAGAGTTTAGCGCTCACGCTGTCGGACAAGGCGGCGCAACTCATCGAGACCAACGAGCGCACTCTCGAGCAACGGACACAGGGTACAGCCAACGCCTTCGACAGGAGAGGCGGACAGAACCAGCGAGGTGGCCGGGGTGGGGGGCAACGAGGAGGGCGAGGCGGCCCGAGGACGGGTGGGACTGGTCAAAGACAGGCTGGTGGTACACAGTTTACAGGTGGCGTACTAAGTGGTGCAGTCCGCACTTAGACAGCTGCTCGGGCATGGGATTTGCTTATTTTCCTCTCTTGCGTTTGTATCCACTGCATACGGTAAGGTTTGACATTTAATGATAAAAAAGCCTCGGTATGGGTCTAGTAAAGTCACTGGTGGAGGATCACCTACGATGGTCACGTAGCTATGACTAGAGAATTGACTTTGTTTATTGCAATACGACGTATTTGACGATCGCTTAGCAACTTGGTGCATATAACATTGTGATATCTTCTTGTACACCATACGGTTCTATAGAGTGAATGTCACATGAACGTATGTATTTTATAAATGCATATCGATATCGATAGTAGCAGAGTAGTAGGTATTCCGTAAAGGATTAAGATTAAGGTACTAAAAGGAGCTAGTCGGAGCTAAGCTTAAAATGGAAACATCTCACTTGATTTTGCACCACTAAGCGTCTTACTAAAGACAATTATTTCAGTACGTCTTCTAGCCCTACCAACACTAAGAGAATAGAACCTACTACAGTAGAGAATTTGTTGCTTTCTAATCGCTGACTTATTCGATATGAGACAGCCACTAAGTTACAATGATATCGGCCTATCTACCTATATTAGGTATTTTCCTAGGTATATAAACACCCGTGACGATGTGATTAAGTAACAAAGTAAAATCAAATCGCCTATGACTTTACGACGTATAGTTACAGTTACCTCTTTTGCCAGAGTTTATCTCGTCGGAAATTATCATCAATCTCTAATCGGGATTCGTTCTCGGCCGATCACCCTTCCACGACATAACCTCGTACATCCCATCCATCTCATCGTTGCCAATATGTCGTCTACCGACACGTCTTCGTCGAGTGACCCCCCAGTAGCCTCTAGCAGCAGCTCCAAGGATATAACCACGATCTCGAAAGAAATGCAGGATGAGACAAAGCAGGAAAAGGACGAGAAGAAACTTCCGCCCCTGAAGGGAGCTGAATTCCGTGCCTACAATCGTTTAGCCGAACATATGGATCTATTCCACGCCCATTTCCGTACGGCGTGGAATACGCTATGGGCGGCGGCTTGCGCAGGGAACGGTAGCAAGAACAAATCGTCATCGCGAAGTGGACGGTCTATCATTAGTGACGGATTGGCGTTCGTGGCTCAGCTCGAAGTGCACCACAACATCGAAGAGACATACATATTCCCTATACTAGCTCGGCGGATGCCCGAGTTCCAAAATGACGGGAAGGGTGGTAAGAACGCAGCGGAGTTGTTGCGACAACATCGCGAGATTCACGACGGCATGGAGGGTATGCGCAAGTACCTTAGAAGTTGTCGCGACGGTGAACAGGATCTAGACATGGGAACGTTAAAGGCACAAATGGAGAACTGGGGAACCATACTCTGGACCCATCTCGATCAAGAGGTTGCGACGCTGGGTGCTGAGAATATGAGGAAATATTGGACCGCCGAGGAAATTAGACGGATACCCATGTAGAAAAAGGGCGAATGTCGAATTGAAGTAGAGAGTAAGTTAGGCTGGGCTGGATTAAATATATCTGGACAGTACTGGTAGAGATATATGATACTAAAGTTAGACTGAGAGAAGAAGAAACTATTGCTACAGTCTACAATCTAGATAGCATGCCAATAATCTATTTACCATAGTTCATTTCATCATTTTAGCCTTAATTCTGTCATATATACTAATGTGACTAGGTAACTGGCCATAATGTTGAACTTGGCCCGGTAATAAAATAAATTAGTTCCCTATAGCTCTTCTTTATACGTCGTATTTAATAAGCTTAAGTGAAATTATATAATAATAGGGATGATAATGAAGTAATTCATAAGAATTTCAAAATCTTCAGACTGACGATAAAGGCACCGACTGGGAGAGTATCCGCCCCCGCACCGAATTCTTACTGTGACCTACGTACTGTATCATATCTTAGGAGGTGGAAAGACGAAATCCATTGATAGCCGAAGGTAACGAACTCCAACTTCTTTTAAATCCTTATATGCTACCACCGAGTAAACATATATATTAGTAAACCTCATCCATCATCATGAGACGGTGATATCTTACCATCTCTCCTCGGTTGCTACGATGGAGAAGTCATCATCCTTGGGTAATTTAAATCTAGATTCACAATATAGATCATCATGGCCGAAAGCATTAGTTGCAATTAGCTTAGTCGGGATCGTTGCTTTGTATAATCACCTCCCAAACCTATCGTATGAAGGATTTCGTCAACAGTATTACCAAGGCCTCGTAGGTAGCGCGATACAGCCTTATGCCCTGTCTCCCTACGGTCGGTTTCCGCTCCCCGGCGATCAATTCCACTTCATTCCCTGCACTAATGCGACCTTACTGCCCGCGCTCGATGATTCTAACCCAGTCCGGAGCTGGGCTCATCTTTTCGACCCGAATCCTGAACACTGGAGCTGGGGGGCACCGATAGCAGAGCAGAACGTCCGGGGCAGAGATCCGTATTCCGAACGGGGGATCTATCTTTGTGGTTACCTTGATGTTCCCTTAGATTACACCAACAAGTCTGAATCTCGTATTGTTCGGCTCGCAGTAACCAAATATCAAGTCTCGGGTCTTGCGCGTGTTGATACGGCGCAACCTAGCTCTTCAACCGTGGGAACCAAGAGCGAACGGACCATCATTGTTGATCCTGGAGGTCCGGGCGCGAGCGGCACATCGCTAGTCTGGAGAGCTGCAGAGAATCTCACGAAGCGTTTGAGCGATGGCAAGTTTGACATCTTGGGATGGGATCCGCGAGGTGTCAACGCGTCATTGCCTTCTATAGCATGCTTCCCTTACGACGCCCTTAGGGACCGCTGGTCCATGCTGACGGGACAATACCGCGAGGCGGCCGGATCACCTGAAGTTAAACTTGAACTCGCAGACGCTATGAACAATGCTACATTTTATGCTTGTAAGGAAAAATATGGCGATATTCCCCGGTTTCTTAGCACGGCCTTCGTTGCGCGTGACATGGAAGAAATTCGTAAAGCGCTCGACGAAGACGAAGTAACTGGCTATCTCGTTAGCTATGGCACCAGCATCGGCCAAACATACGCTAATATGTTTCCAAATAGCGTGGGGCGCTTGATTCTAGACGCTCTGGAATATATTCGTGAACATCGTCAACTCGGCGGTTTTGGGTGGGCAGCGCTGGACAATACTACTGATGTCTGGCATGACGGATTTCTAGGCGAGTGTGTCAACGCCGGTCCAAAATACTGTGCCTTGTCACAGCCTAGAAACTCAGAACCCGTATCGCTACAGAACTTAGAGAATCGAATGCAAAGCTTGCTGGTCTCACTTAGCCAGCGACCCATCACGGGGTATCTCCAATCGAGCGGACCTTCTCTCGTTACATACTCAGCTATCGTATCTGCCATATATGGCGCCTTACACAATGCTAACAGTTGGCCTGCCCTGGCCCAGATGTTATACGAACTAGAAGAAGGAAATTCGACACTAGCTACAGCTTTTCTTGAACATTCGGAATGGGAGTATCACCCTTCAATCCCAGGTCCGACCTCCCCTCAACCTCAGTCCCGCGAGCTAGGCCCCTTAGTTATCTGCGCAGATTCATATGATGCTCCCTTGCCGCCAGATGGCCTGCTCTGGTGGCAATCGCTTTGGGCCAACATGACCACCCGGTCTTGGATATCAGGGAACGAGGAGTTCTTTAGCGTTCTCCCCTGCCAACATTTTCGCAGCTACTGGCCTCCGCCCGCTGAACTCTACCGAGGAGACCTAAACCACACGCTCAAGAACCCCTTGCTGCTAATTGCGGAGACACACGACCCGGCGACCCCCTTACGGAACGGAAAAAACCTTTTGAATGAAATGGGCAAGAATGCTAGGTTGATTGTTCATCACGGCTATGGGCATTCTTCTAGGGATAGATCTAGCTGCACTGACTCCATCATACTAGCATTCATCCTCAACGGCACCCTGCCTATAGAGCAAGAAACACCTTGCTACGCAGACGGGAAGCCATATCTTTATAGATTCGATACGACGGAGTTTAACATGGAGAGTGCTGTAGCTCGAGACCCGATTCAGTTATGGCGAGAGCATATCCAAGAGCTGGCATTATGGAACCCAAGGCTGGTTCCTAGAAGATGATGTGATACCTTTTAACACCAAGCATGCCCAAATACCTAGAAAATATCCAACCAGCCTTATTCATGTAGACTCGAGAAACGGAACCCTATCCAGCTAGCTTTATCAATATGCTCTCTATTTTTAACGCAGGTAGCAATATTTAATATATTGTAGTCTAGCCCTCGTATATATATTCCAAATACAGATGTATGGGCGAGGTACATAGGATATAAGGGGTTGCAGTAATAATAATGCATTTTATATTCTATTGATATATTTACATTGGAGTTGGAACAGATTCGTCGTTAAGAGGAGTTTCTTTTCAATGGCCCAGCCATATATAATATTCAACACTTATCATCTCAATTCGTACCATCCTCAATTTTCTCTCGTCTCACTCACCTACATTCCCAGGCATTACAACCTCTTTATCACCACCTAATACATACCGCGCGCTCGCCACCATAAACTCCCTCCAGACCCGAAACTCCCCATCATCCCGCGGCGCATATACCATGACAAACCCCCACGGCATCAAACCAGCAACACCGCTCATACGATGCCGTTCCGACCAACCACGCTCGATAGCGGCCGCAGCATCGACCAGACTCAACACCATATGCGTGCTGCCCTCCGCATGCGGATGCGCAAACTCGCCGTTCAAGTTCTTAATCTCGTCACGCAGCGCTATGCCAGACTGCAACCACACGCTTCTAAACAACGGCCCTTCGAGATTCGACGGCCTAACCCGTATCAGAGACGGATTAGCAGCGGCAAGCGCGTCCAGGAAGGCCTCCTGTCGGCTACGCATCGCGGGCGCGGCTTGCTGCGACGTCTGCCGGTGCGGGCCGACGAACATGGGGACCTCGGGCCGGGCCCCCTTGCGCGACGGTATCGAGCCGGAGAAGAACGAGCGTTGGCTCAGGGGCCCGTATCGTGCGGACCGTGCTAGTTGGGCGTTGTCGTAGGGCGCGGGCACGCGGGTGTCTAGGCGAGCGAAGGAACGGCCGATCGATTGGAATAGGTATCCGAAGATGTTGAGGGGTAGGCCGTTGGGGCCGAGCGCGTACCAGGCGCGGTAGTCGGCTACGATGTGCGAGATGATCGAGATGGTACCGCCGGCGGCTACTGTGGCGGCGATAGCGGTACAGAGGGTTCGATTCTGCTGGAAGAGCTCGACGAACGGTGTTGTTGCCTTGCTGATGTCCATGGTAAATGATGGCTGTGGGTTTAATATGTGTTTGACTAAACTACCTGTATGGAAATAAAATAGATGGGGTGGTGGGCAAACATTTATTCTACTTGCTGAGTGATATTGCACTGTCAGAATGCTTACCCGCCTTAGGCATAAAATTACAAGTATTTATATACCTATTATATATAAGTCCTCATGGGTGTGATTATGTGATAGATGATTCAACGTCAACCAAACCAAGATATAGGTATTACAACGTCCTCAGGACCGTACGACAAGGATCAAACACGGGGTTTAATGCTTATAGGTTCTACTCCGACGTTGTCTCGGCTCGGAGACATCGGAGACGTCGGGTAATATTACTAGTAGTTTCTCGTTTGGACATAATATACTAACTGCATGGCGATGTATTGCTGCAATGTCTAAGGTATTCTCATCGATCCGTGACTAAGCTGTCATTTATAATTCTGACAGGATTTGCCACGTAAGTAATACATAACAGATATCACTTACATGCCTTGTTTAGGAGGACGACTTATGAAATATCTGGCGTGGGTTTATATCATATATTCAATTTCTCTTTTACTCCTGAAATGGTTATCAGTCCAGCCAGTATGGATCCAACCCCTCCAGGAACTCCAAATCAACGTTAACAAAACTCTTCCAGAGGTCGATCTCTCGGTGCCATGGCTTCGTCTGGATCGCAAATACAACTGCCGTGACGTAATTCAGTAGCTCGACCTCGTCAAGACCCATAACGAGGATAGTCTCGCCACGGTGCACGACACGTTCTCCGACCTTGAGTTCCTCTTTTAGAAGCTCGAGGCGTATTTTCAGAGTATTGTACATGCTCCATTCGCTGATTGGCATATCCTTGGGGATGAACTTCCAGATCCAGGACCGTGCTGTGCTGTCGAGAAACGCTGTGGCATGCCTGTTCCAGCCGCCTAACATTGCTGGGTAGAAGTGCGGTGCCGACCAGATGCGAAGGACCGCAAATTTTGACTTGTCGTGCTTAGAGGCAAATGTCCGGGCGAGAGGGAGAAAAACAGGCCACTTATCAGGACTGACGAAGCCCGGAATATTCTGAGGATATTGGACCGTCTTCTGCCGGTCGGTGTAGTCCATGAATAGATCCAGCTTGCCTGGGCGGTGCGGCTCGGAGTTGGCAACGGCAAAGCCGGGAACAACCTGCGAATCGTTTTGTAAATATGCCGGGGCGATGATACCAGCGAGGTATACTGAAAATAAGATCAGCAACAAACTTGTGAGTTAGATGAAAAATGAAAATATGAGACTTACACTTCGCAATGATGGGCCGAATGGCAACGCTCCATTCCATCGGGTATATATCTGCATAGAACTTATCCCTTGTCTTGGCTTCCTCCAGTACACCCTCCCACTCCCTCCAAAACTCTTTTGGCCTATACTTGAAGCTTGTCCTCATGCGACAATCAGGGAGTTTCTTTGCGCGTTCGTCTAACTTAAGAAGGGGGGTATCCTTATATTTTCGACCGTCTTCCGACTCAAAAAAGTTCGTCACAGGTCTACACAGTTCCAAGCTTGGGAAAAACATGGCCATGGAAACGAACGATTTGATAATGTCCTGCGATATGAACGGGTGTGGCCAGCCCGCGTGTGAACCGCGCGTGTAGTCGTTATAATCGGTTCGAAGCCCGAGCCAGTCGAGCATGTCAACTAGAAACCAAACCCAATCTGTCGACTCGCTGGTTTGGTGAGACCCAAGGATACCATTAAGGATCTTGCGGGTTTCGGCATATTTCTCTTGAGCACCTGGTTCCAAGTCTCCATTGTGGAATGCCTCGATAAATGCTGTAAATGGGCTATTAGTAAATATTATTATTATCACCAGATAGCACATTTTACTTACCATCACCACGATCCTTTTCCATGATCATGATTTTGTCAGATTCTTTCAATTTGGATTCTACGCCATAAAGGCTATTAATACCGCCACGAATCACCTCGGAGGACTCGCTCAGAAGCCCGACTCGACGTAGTAGTTTTTTCTTCTCGCCACTAATATGGTTATGATTGATTATTGCGATCGCGTCTTCCCATATCTGTGGTAGGCTCCAGTGATTTACAATTTTCTTCTCGTTATCGTCGTCGCTGTCAGATCCAAGATCTGTACTCCAGTCCTCGTCGTTGTCCGAGTCAGGGAGGTGCGACAGGTCTTTGGCCTGCTTGCTCATCTCTCTGGCTCCCTCGGCCAAGACGTTAATCATCGTAGCTGGCGTCGTCTCCAACCGAGTGATCGAGTTTGTAACTTCCTTGAAAGGAACATTTCGATTAGGCGTGATAAGTTCATCGGAGAAGAGAATCATGTCCTCGGCAGCATCGGATTCATTGTAGAATAGATACGGGGAAGACTCGATATGCACTTCGCCGCTCGTTTCGTGGACCGTTTTATTCACCATGTCGGCTGTGAGAAATGTATTTGATGGATCGTTGACGTAGTCCCACAAGCTTGCGACTTGCTCTCCCGGCTGGATAGAACGAACACGCATCGTCTCTTTATCTCTTGTGAGACCGCGAAGGAATGGCTCTCTGTGCCGATATACATCAGAGGGCTTGGCTACCCTCCATGCTTTTCGGAGTTCCTACACAATATTAGCACTGGGATAGCTTGTACGTATGTGTTTGCCATACCGTAACAAGTACGTTGTAAAGAATGATAGGTTCGTTACAAGGAACAAAGTCCCATAACCAGACTTCATAATAATCTTCAAAGCCCAAACGCCACTTTCTGAGTATGTCCACCATATCAAAGTACTCAGGGCCAACTTCAAGTAGTATCTCCCACTCATTCTTCGAGGCGCGACCAAGTCCTTCCTTACGGCGTAGGGTCCACAGATTCTCCTCTTCAGGGGCAGTAATTATTTTCCCTGTCTTACCATCTCGCACAAGGACGAGCAACTCACAGGAGCGCATCGTACAATATTGGAGAAAACGGCGAGTCACCGAGTCGTTGCGTCTCATATGACCGACAATAATGTTTCTAGCTTCGACAATGTTATGCTGGCGTCGGTGCTGACTCCGAGCACCAATTTGGAAATGCCGGCTATGTTTCCGGGCGTCGAAATCCTTGAAATAGGGGAAGAACCCCTGCTCTACAGTTAGAATATTATCCCCAACGCTTAGTTTAAAAAACATAGACAAAGCAATTGCATGGCCTACATAGCTACCCCCTAGGGTAGCAAGGAAAAATAAAAAGGGAAATAGATGATACTTACAAGTTCGTGTAGCTGTTGCGTTAGCCTATCGCTTCCCCAAGAAACCCAATTCGACGCGGGGAAGTATTGCCAAACGGTAAGGAAGTTGAGCTGCGAGAATTCGTCCCAGTTTCTACAGAGCTGGGCGGCATGCTTTAAATCGCAGTCTTTTGCCATGACGGAGAACTGAAGCCAGCCATTTCGAGACATGGAGTTTTCGCTTGAATAATTCCAGATGCTTTTACCACAGATACGAATTTTCATCTTGCCCTGCTTACGGGATTTCTTGCTAAACTCTTTCCTAAGCTTTGCAAGTTCACCAGAGTTGCCAATGATTTTCTGACGCTGGGCAAGCATGTTAGACAGGAACCATCCACGGCCTTGGAGGTGGCCATATCGATGTTCTTGAAGTATAACGTCTTCGAATGACTCTTCCTCGGGGATGTCCTCGTCGTCATCCTCCACCTCAGGCTCGTCTCCCCTAATAAGATCCGCACAAGCATCTCGAATGTCCTGAAGGCTAGGCTGTTCTACTTTGAGGCAGAGATCCCGGAGGTCAGATTCAGTAATCTCGGGGTCACTAAGAAATGCTTCCACGCTCGAGGACCGCACAGCCGCAGGGAGTAATGAGGCACGCGACAAGAGGAGACGGCAGAATAAGAACAGCTTGATCTCCTTTATATCTCTCATGAGAGAATCAATCTCTTCGTCCGCCAAAGGAGCTGTCTTAAGGTGGGTGCCGTGAGGGGTTTCCAAGGTTCCGACTAAAATCGGACCCTCAATATCGTCGTAGTTCTTTTCTACGCCTTCTTTGAGACGTTTTCTCATTTCGGATTCGGTCTCGATATTGCTCTTGTCCGGCTCTGGGAGCTCCTCTAGCGGCTCCAAATCGTCATCTATCATCTCCATGATTCGGCTTTGGCCTGTCAGACGATTGCGGGATGAAGCGGTACCTCCCTGAGGATTAGTTTTATGTATTATAGGTACAGCCTTTGTAGCTTTAGATTTCGGTTTCTTCTTTGATTTTTTGGGCTGCTTCTCTTCGGATATTGCGGGCTTTTCCATGTTGACGGTAGAATCGGAGGAGTCAGCAGTTTTCTGAGCAGAATTCTCGCTTTCGTCGATATCAGTGAGGACCTCCATCCATAAGAAATGCTTTATAAGGTCAACATATCGACTACGTTCATCATCAACGACATCTTCGATGGGATCCCACATTTCTGCGTCGTCTTCGTTATCAACCGACATAGACATACGCTCTTGGTAGGCCGTTTCGAGATAGGCATCTTGGCGTTGCTTTTCTTCCTTCTTGCGCTGAGCTTGCAAGCGAGTTTGTATCTTCTTCCAGTGACGCTTAAACATGGCTGCCTCGAGCTTGGCTTTCTTCGACTCTTTTTCACGGGTTGCCTCTTCTTCCAGTTGGGCTTTGCGGACCCAGCTATACCATTTTTCTTTCTCGTAAAGAACCTGAGCAGTACGCGTCTCGAGTCTCTCAAGCGCACGCAAGACGATATGACGCCGATTAGAAAGAGTATCGAGATAAGCCTGATGGCCATAGTCCATCTGGAGCGGGTAGAAGTGCTTATGATGAAGCTTCCGCGCGTCAATCACCTTTCCGAGAAGTACATATTCTTGGTAGAGATGAGCATGTATCTCTCGCAAGACAGTCTCATCACTGGCATCTTGAAAGGTCTCGTTGGCCAGTGGAACCTTAGCTGTTTTTAGGTAAAGGGGAGCATTTTCCGACAGAGCATCTAGTCTGGCATTTCGTCGCTTGTAGCCGATATATAGGCCATGACATTGCTTTCCGTGGAACTTACAGAAAAGGTTTTCCCACGTCGTAGCGACAGCATTACATGGCTGGCCATCAGACAAGTTCACTGCCTATTTATGATATCAGCTTTAGAACTAAGGCTGGATAAGTGAAAGTCGGATTTAACTAACTTGGCAGGTTGAATCTTGAGATGTCATTATAAACGGTAAGACAGCTAAGCTAAGTCTAGAAGTATAAGGTACCTAGGTTAGGTAGGTAGCTATAAAGTATAACTAATACTATATAGGTCTATTTTTGCGCATACGCTAGACTTTTATCGACGTGAATGTCGTGGAAGTTGTTCTAGTTTGCTAGTTAGTTAGTTTGAAAAAGTTAGCAGATTAACCTTAGGGTGGGAGAACATCAGGGGTATTGCCCACTAAGCCCACTTATCAAGCCACTTAACCTAAAAGACTCTCTAATGATGCTCGGACCAATGATCGATCTTGGACAAATGAAGGTTTTATGACGAATCGAATTTCTTACAATTAGATACCTGCCTGAACCTAGTAGTATTGGGTGTCAATTACACCCCAATCCTTTTTCGAGAATATGATAGATGGAGGATGAGTGATGCCCAAACTGATGTCTCATGAGCTGCTGCTACCTTGTGGTGTTGAAATAGCTGTGGTGAGTTGAGCGTGGTAGCGACTGATGACGTCGTTATACGCCCAACTTACTTCGCTTCAGTCTCCATGATCCATGGACTTTGATCTCTGGGTCCTTCGTATTTGAGTAATATATCGTCTCCAGGAATAGCTAGAGTAGATTTTGCCGGTCGATCAGACATTCGAGCCTGGTACATGAAAACTTGAGACAGAGCGATCCTATGGCTTAACGAGTGCCCGAGTCGCGGGTTTCTATCCGTCTCGTCGCTAAGACTGCTCGTTGGCTTAGTTATTGATTCGGCTTGAAAGGATATTGGAAGAGACTGATCATGTGATGCTCGCGTTTGTGACGTCTGGAATTCGGATTTGCTTGGCTGGGCATGGATACTATACTCAGATACCATAGAGCTACAACTTGTGCTTGGCGTTATGGACAAGAAGGTATAAGGGAAGTGGTTAGTTGAGTCAGAGCTATTAGGACGGTTCTGTAAGTGGTTCGGATACGATTCTGTATGAGGTCTAAGACGATCGGGCTGCTGAGATAAAGCACTTATACCGATGTCAGATCCTGTTACCAGCGCAGTGTTATTTTGAATCCAGGGAGGTGGTTGCTTGTCTGGAGACGTATGATATCTATCGTAAAAGTCATCTGGAAGCTTTGATAATGCGTTTCCCGAGACCATCGTCTCTGGCAATCCGAAGTCCTGGTAGAGCGATGGAATTGCTATAGGGTTAGACCGCGGCTGAATTATATCACTACAATTACACTCGAGTGAAGGGGTTGATGTTTTCCAACCTATACCATTGTTGATTGGTATCGTAGCTTGACCCAAAGTCGAATTACTAGAATCTGATGGCTGTTCAGACGATGTGGGAAAACGACCTAGGTACCTGGGTTAGCGCTACGAGAGAACTATGGGTGTACCTAATTAAGATACTTAGAATACCTAATGCCCTTTCCCTCCTAATTCCTAGTAAACGTTTAAAGAAACTAACGTTCTTCAACTGCTTTTTAGGTGCTTCCTTCATTGTTACTAAAGACTTATCTGACCGACTCCCTTTGAAGCGTCGGATCCTCTCTAACATCGTCGCACATAAAACTTCACATGTTGCTACCTGTAAAAGTTATAAGAAAACATACTCGTATGTATATCGTAAGCATGGTATATATGTAGAGTCAGATTGACGATAGTATGGCCTATATCTTGGCATGAAGTCTGTCAACACACAGCAAGCCCCTGTTCTAATACCGTGTAAGCGTGGCTAGACTTAATTAGCCAGCCGGACTTACACTCATACCCTCATATGAATCCGTTATGTAATAAAGAATGATTATACCGTCTTCAGACAATATGTAAATTCAGGAGTCTGAGGCGGTCAGCGCTCGACATCCTGATAGCGTCTTAACTAAATTAGAGATTACTGATCTACAACACAGGCCAGCCCGTTACAGAAAGCTGATCCGCTCGGGCAAGAAATATTGGACTTGGGCTGAGCAGATAATATGACACTGAACTAGGATTGCTTATGAATGAACCATTTCTTCCACACGACGGGTAGTCATAGAACCTTCCGGGTGGGGGCCATTTTGTTGTGGCTCTAGCGTGGAAGGGGTTAAACAGCTAAGTGGTGCATTGTTAGAGGAACATATGTATACTTGGGTTTACATATAACTACCTTGCATAATGCTCTCGCTTTAAAAATATATAGTATAGTTCCTAAGTCTGACGTGCACTTCTATTTTATATACACATAGCCGAGACTGCTCTCAAAACACTATATACGACCGGGCAGATAATAACCTAAAGATTGCCCCCTTAATTCATTATTACCTCCTCATCCCCAAATGCATTATATATAGTAACTCTCTATCTAAAAGCTTTCAACAACAGGCGTGACGACTGGTTGAATCATCGAAGGGTATCTATGACCGTCTTCATCACTAATCCTATCTACCCCAGGGAAAACAATTATGTGATTCGCATTCATACCATCTTCGAAGCGGAAACGATACTCCGAGGGCTGAGAGAATAACAAATAGCCAAACGTAGCGCATTCTACGATTACTTCCCGCAAGTGGTTCTCCTGTTCGTATCTGTCATCGCGGTCGCCCGCTACGAAAGGCTCGAGGAAGACATTCAGGGCCTCTGCAAGCCGTTGCGCTTGACGAGTGCTAACATCTTCAGATGGGACCAATGGCGTCCTATCGCTCCTGCTTGGGTGAAGCAAGAAGGCGGATAACTGTCGCCATCGAGTGAATGCGGCATTGACGGCTGTTATAATCACGTATGTATCAGTATTCGCAATGTCATTAACCAGGCTACTCTGCTCACCGTCTGAATTTCCTCTGAAGCTCTCCGTAGCTGGTATCAAGGAGGCGAACGAGGATACCGCCTGTGGAAGTAGAGATAAGGGCGAAATCGCATCAAGGGTGACGCTGGCAAATGTAACGCTGGCAATGATGTGCTGAATAGCACTACATCGACTTCTCGGGTTTAGGGCTAAAGAAGCAAGCGTATCGGCCTTTAAAGTATCGCCCTGGCCTACTCCTAGACGAGCCAGCTCCGCAGACAGGATATCTACATTACGCGAAACCGGCAGGCTATGGTAGTTATTTTCGACATGCTGTTGCAGCAGCTGGCTCAACGAACGAAGCTCCGTGCGTATTTCAGCATCCGGGGTTGGATCTAAGAGAAATTGGTCCAGCTGCAGTCTATCTGTTGATATATGACTCTGCAAAGGCTTCTCCTGGCTATCATATTCTCCTCCGCGCGACCTATCACCCGACCCTTGCCGCCTTCGCTGTCGGAATAAGAAAATACCTAATATAATTCCCATTATTAACCCCGCGACAGCGCACGCGATGGCAATCCCAGCGACGGTTCCACTGGAGAGACCTGAGTTGCCATCTGACTCGGCCGACTGAGTAGCATTTATGAGGGACGGTGATACTCGGCTCGAAGTCGTACTCGAGCTGTCCGTTGTGGATGTAGAAGATGTAGTCGAGGAAGAAGTAGTTGAAGCAGTAGTTGAAGAGGTAGTTGATGCGGTAGTGAAAGTGTTCCAAAATTCCGTCGAAAAGCTAAACACTGTCTGTCCTGGCGCCTTGACCCATACATCGACTGCTTCATAAGAGGTCCCTGTAGTAAATACGGTAGAAACCGTTGTCCGCGATATAGATATCTCTGCCATTATGCTGAGTACCAGAATCTCGAAGGTTTCAAATTTCGCTTAGATTCGTGATTATAGAAATAAGACAGACTCCCTTGTGATATGACAGAGAACACCGTTATTGTACGGTACGTGGATATACTCAAAATAGCACAACAGAGTATCCAGCGGGCCGGGTAACACAGCCCCGATTACTGTAGGGCACGAGTGGGATCTGCGGTACGAGGGCAACATTCAAAGCGCTATTGTTTACTAAGACTTTATCACGATACAAAATGAGAGGATTAAAAGTACACACAGCAACTCGCGATAGCTACTATCTCACACTATTGGCTTCCTTTCTTACGGTAGTTTAAATTAGGTGTATAAACTAAAAACTGTTTCCGGAGACATAGGGTCATGTTCCTTTGGCATTGAATAACGGTGAGACGTGTGCTGAGGAAGACAGGGAGACGGGGAGATAGGGCGAAAATGGAGATGAACAGGGATCAGCCGCAGCCTGCTTTGCTAAATGTATGGCTCTAATGAATTGGGGGCTTAAAGCTATACTCAATTTGACCACTTAAGATGATACACATCGCTACCGGATTTGTTATCTACTCTTGAACAATGCACAACTAAACATCTAGGGGTTGCACTTTGAACGACTCGGAGAAATGTTTGCTTATAACATCGTACCATTCTATCACAACGCCAGCATTCTTTGTTATAGACCACCGGAATCACGAGTTGAATACCTAACAAGAATAGAAGTTTGCCGAGGGGTCTTAGCACAGCCATCCATGAACCAACAAACGATCCTATCTCCACATAACCCAGACCTTAAGATCTATTATTTCGATCCTATGTAAGGACGTAGAGAAAAAATGTGATCCATGCGCAGCGTCTATCGACCCAACCGGAATACACAGCCCTATTATTATTAAGGGATAGGTAGGTACGGATTACACCGTACGGGATTAGATCGAACCCTTGTTCTTTCAACGTGGATCGGTCGTAACGGATATTGCTATAGGGCCTTTGAGGCTCTTAGGTTAGCGTCCATTTATTTGTCAAGCGAATGTTGTAGAGCAATCTTAACAGATACATACCTTGTTGTTGTCGCTAGACTAAAAATCAACACCGCTTACAACTATTACATTACATACCCAGATACCTTGGATTAGGTATGTTTCTAGTTATCCGATAATTCTCAAGAAGTCATGCACGGAAATGCGTGTACTAGCCCAACATGGCAAGCGAACGACCTGATATACTTGTGGCCATTGACTTGGGAACAACTTACACAGGCAAGTGACATCTATTCACCGCTCAATCTTCGTTATAACGTGCTCATTCTGCGTAAAAGGTGTCGCATGGGCGCGGCCGCAGCGGAATCAGACTCTGCAAAGCCCTATTCAGATTATACATAACTGGCCTGGCACCTCGACTAAGAATGAACAGAAAGTTCATACTTGTCTTGTCTATAATGATGACGAGAGCTTGTCGTCATGGGGCTATTTGTGCGAAGATGATGACATGATAGATAAAAAGAGGCGAGAATTCTTCAAGATCTTCCTCGACCAGCGGACGTTGGAGGATGCACACCGCCGAAACGTCGGTCAGGTACCCAAGTCCGTCTGCGATGCACAGAGATTAGTCTCTGACTACCTACGCCAAGTTTACTCTCACGTCAAATCAACTGTGGAGTTACATACTGGCATAGGCCACGTGGGATGGCAGGAATTGGTTGTCGAATTCATCTTCAGTGTCCCGACGACGTGGAGAAGCCAGGAGATAATCAACTCGTTCAAGAAGTGTATCAAAGATGCAGGGTTTGGCATCGAGGGACGGTATCATACAGCCAAAGTCGAGTTGACAGAGTCTGAGGCAGCAGCTGTCGGTACTATCAAGAACTCACCAGTAGTTTTCGAAACAGGCGACATTTTCTTATCTGTCGACGCAGGAGGGGGAACTACGGACCTCGCCCTAATGCAAGTTATCGAAGCGCGTCAGCCGTTTCCGTTACTATCTCAGCTGAATCAAGTAGACGGTATTGGGATTGGCTCGACTTTAATCGACCAGGCTTTCGTAACGATGATAAATAATCGTCTCAGTCGGTTTACTACCTTAGTAGACCAACTCCCTCCCGACTGTGCTGTGAGACTTGTCAAGAGTGAGAGATATCGAACAACAAAGCATAAGTTCGGCGAGCGAGTTTACCAATCAACTTGTTATAAGCTCCCCTTAGACGGTGTTCCTTATAATCTTAACCACAGTGGCGCGCAGATCGAGCTCGGTAAGATAGTAGTCTCATGGTAAATTGATTCTAGACGCCATATTAGACTAGTTTGGATCTAACAAGCCTCAAAATAGGGAAGAGATGCAGTCTCTCTTTGACCCGCACGTCGAAGGTATCATGAAAAAGATATACGAACAGCTAGATTGGATGTTGGCTAATGGTATTAATCGGCCGATAGTAAGTTTACATACACAATAGCTCCACCAAGGAATAAGAGACTGATGCATCGAAACCAACTAGAGCTATATGATTCTATCCGGCGGACTTGGGAGCTCCAAATACGTCCGCGATCGCATTCAACATGAAATGATGACTAGCTTATACCCACACGCCCATCAAGTCAAGGTACTGCAAGCCCCTGATCCGCAACTAGTCGTGGTGAAGGGTTTATTATTAGACAGATTGCAAAATCTAGAGTCCGGACTGGCTCCGGTCCTAGTAAGTAGAGTAGCTCGAGCGAGTTACGGTCTTGTATGCAAGACAAAGTACAATCCAGATATACACATCGATGAGGATATTAAGACGGACTCTTACGACGGAGAGCGATATGCCATGGGCCAGATCGACTGGCTTATTAGAAAAGTATGCACCCTGAACTTCTGTTTCTGTGATAAATACTAAAATACCTACTCACTCACCAAGGGCGACTCTATAAACACGAATATTCCCATCAGTACGACTTACACGAAGAAAGTGGACCCGAAAGATTCGAACCGCAGTTGGGATTCGATTGTCGTGATCTCAGACTTAGATCCATGCCTTTTACCACGCAGCATTAATCAAGGTGAGTCATCCTAGATGTCATAAACCCTCATAAATTGTACATCATACTTATTCCTCGTAGAAGGGTTCAAGCAGCTCTGCATAATAAAAAGCGACATTACGGGGATAAGCCACGGCGACATGGTTATGAGGCGTAAGTCAAGGAGGTTCTTGTTCCATGGCAAGAAGTTCTATCTATGCAGCTATGAGGTCCGGGCTATTGTGGCCCCTGCGGAGCTGAGGTTTGAGTTGTGGTTTGCCGGGCAGAAGTTCTCGGGGAATCATGAGCCCATCAAAATTACATGGGATGCCGAAGGATCTAAAGTCGGCGGATAATAGTTAATCAAAAGTAGGTCTTGGGCTGGGTAGACTGATATAATGTCATGCTCGAAACTAGTATTAAAGTAATATGAAAAACCTTCATCGATATATCAGTTAATATGAGGTATTCCCTTCACTACGTAGGATATATCATTACTGTCATATGTCCTTACGGCACCAAGAATATATCTTACTAGCTACCTCCTAATTTTTAATACTATATATTATCTCAATCGGCCAAAGCAAGAAATCACCTACTAAGCTACCTAGTGAGGGGGCGACAATGTGGCGTAGTGATTGCTACCAGTTAAGGGGGTGGGAGATATGGGTACCTCTTTTACCAATAGTTCATTCCATTTACACAGTTGACGGTAGGTCTTTGATACTCAGGTAGAGTTCTAGGGAAGACTCCGCTACGTTAACGAGACACAAATTATTAAGATATCACGTATTCGGTCCAGTCAGTCATTTTATAATACCCTCGATTGATATTAACTACTCCGCGACTCTAAATACACCTGATTTAATAAGCGGGCCGATTCATCAGATCCCTAATCCTATCCCTCATGCTTGTGCTACTTCGCCGACGCTGCTGAGGATGATTAACCATGTTGATGGCGTGGCAGTCACCGCTAGAGGGGTGCCGAGTGGTACCAATGCGGTTTGTCCGGCCTCACCAGCAGGGTTAGTATATTATATTGTGTAGTTCTGGTATAAAATGTTTAGTGATGCTCACACACGAAGTCACCTCTTCCAGCGTCGTCAATCACTGCCTGGTACTTCTCCTTGGCTGCGAGAAAAGCTTTTGACATGTTGGGCTTACTTTCAAATATCGTTTCAACCCAAGCGGTGGTATGATGCTCAGATAGCTTTGAAGTTATTAAACTTAAAAAAAAGTTGTGTAGGTTGAAGGTTTGAGTTCCCGTTCACCTTACAGACCGATTAGACCTCTACCTATATATACCATATGGCGAAGTGTATCGGCCATGTCAGCTGGGGGTTGACCCCTCACTGTGATATCAGCAGGTTGGAGGTTGAAAGCTTCTATTGGGGCGATCTACATTGTTCGACTTCATCCTAAAAGGCAATTGGTTACTGAGTATGAATGAACAGAGAATGACGGAAGTAGTCCAAAGACTCCAATGTAGCGAAGTCTACCGGTACCTATGCAGGTAAAGAATAGCTAAGGAGAGCGGGGTGAGTAACATCTCAAGATTGATAGGACATCGAACATCAACAGGCAAATAGGTTCGTCTAATAGCAAGTCGAGAAGAGAGAGTAAGGAGCTCAACATAATATTTCATGCAGCAACCCAGCCAAGTTATATTTGTGTCAACTAACCACAGCGTTGATGAAAATAGCTGTGACTTGTCTAAGACCATATAGCTGTAATTGAGGTTAGATTCAAGACAAGACGAAGAAAGGGATATATGAATTATAAATTCCCCAGGTTTCAGACTTTCAAGTATGTAAGGAGGCAAGAATATATCGTAAGTGGAGTACGAGGGGAAGTAGGTACTAGCGCTAAAACGTAGCACTAAAAATGTAGCACTAAGATGGGCTAAACTTTCAATTTAGCTTTTTAACCTGATTGGTAGATCTTACCCAACCCCCCAAACCCCTACTATGGTACCATCCATTAAACACGAGCACGGTCCACCTTTTGTTTCTTTCCAAACTTGTTCTTGCCAAACTTTGGTCTAGTGGAAACTTTCCCAGCCATGCAGCCCATGCAGCCATGTCTCACCCTTTTTTTTCCATGGCAACGAAGCGCTAAAATTCCATTCTTTAGCCAACTTCCAACCACCATCTCTCCCACTTCCAGCCCAGCCCAGACGTTTGGCCGAGCAACGAAGCCAAACGCAAGGACAAATCTGTTCAGCCCTGGCCATGTCATAGTACAATACTGTACTAGTAGGAGAGAGAGACACCTTAATAGTCATTCGTTCCAATTTTACATACTACCGTTAATAATACTAATTATACTGCGCCCCTCTCCTCGCTTTACTTTCGTTTCCTCTTCGAGCCCTCATCGTCTGGGCTCCGTGAGATCATCGGCATAGCGCAATCTCGTCCAATAGTAACGACTACCATACATCTATCTCCATTACATCATTCGTTATCCCCTGCGTTTTCCTCTCACGCGTATATTCGCGCCGAATAGATATTGAGTAAATCGCTCGTCGTCGCCGACAAGATGGGTGGCTTCGGGGACTTCACGGATATATGCCACACGGCACCTTTGCCGTTGTGTCCATCTGTCGGTCCCGTCACTTCCATCTCGAGTGGTGTCGGCGTCGAAACCGATTGTTTCGCGCGAAATATTGAGCTGGCCAATACCATCATTTTCCAGGGCGCATCCAGTTTCATACACATTATCGCTCTGGTCATGACTATAGTGATGATCTTACATATCCGAGGGAAATTCACTGCCGTTGGTAAGTAGTATTCGTATTGAGTACTTTAGAATGATTCATTAAATCCTAATTGACGTTTGTTTGTAGGTCGCAAGGAAATCCTAGCCTTCTTCTACTTTTACATGCTACTATCGTTCATCTCCCTCTGCGTCGACGCCGGTGTTGTTCCTCCAGGCTCCGAACCTTATCCATACTTCGTTGCGATACAATCCGGCCTCACGTCCGCGCTGATCACCTGTCTATTAATCAATGGATTTGTCGGCTTTCAGCTCTACGAAGACGGTACCCCCTTATCCGTATGGATGCTTCGGCTTTCCTCCTTTGCGGCCTTTGTTGTCTCGTTCCTCGTATCGCTAGCTACGTTTAAGTCATGGGCCGGCATGGGGCCGTCGAATACAGTAGGCTTATTCACGGTTCTATATCTCCTGAACGGCGTACAACTTGTCATATATGTGGCTCTGCAGATTTTGCTCGTGGCCCGAACCTTGGAAGACCGCTGGCCGCTGGGAGATATCGCCTTTGGCCTCTTCTTCTTCATTGTGGGACAAGTTATACTATATGCGCTTAGTTCCACGATTTGCCAAGCGACTAGTCATTATGTTGATGGCTTGTTTTTTGCAACCACCTGCAATCTGCTTGCTGTCATGATGGTTTACAAGGTAAGCTCTGCCCATATTAACCTTAGCGCTCAAGTTTTCTAACAGTGAATTTATAGTATTGGGATTCCATCACGAAAGAAGACCTCGAGTTCTCCGTAGGTACACGGATGAATAACTGGGAAGTGAAAGAGCTTCTTCCCGAGGAAGAACGCCGTGCTACTGTCTATATGGATGACTCTTACGGCCACTCTAGCCCTTACGACCATTCCTCGTCTCCTTCAAGAAACCGAATGTCCCGCTATTAGTTGCCCGGCATTACGGAATCTTGGCACGGCGAGAAGGAAGGATCCGAGAAAGGAGATTGCGAGAAAGGAGAGATTATCTGTTTAGAGGTGGTCTGAAACGTCCAGAAGCACGTTGCATTTGCGAGGCGTCTTGGTTTGGCTGGTGAGCTCATATGGGTTCCATTGGAGCAATAGATGAACATATTCATTATCAGGGTATTGGCACTTGCAGCGATTGCTGAATCGGGATTGCGTGCTTAAAATGGACTTGATGTAGAAACAGCGACGACGACGAAAAGTCGACTAATATTTATTATATTGTACATATCGAGTATTTAACCACTACGAATATACGAATCTATCTTGATGGAATTTTAATGAGTAGATGCCCTTGCGGCGTTTGCATGTGTACCTAGGTAGGTATTGATTGTCTACAAGTGATTCGATTTAGGCGTCTAGGCATCAATTTCTGTTGTATTTTATGTAGTAAAGCCTTCGCTCGCAATATCTGACAATGTCTGCTTTGGCCGAAGGGTTGGTATTGAGAGTCTTAACTGGACCTGAAGGATCATAATAGCTTGGAACGCCCTAGCATAATCTTGAGGTGTTCTCGTAAGACTCTAGCTTTGTCTACTGGATCTCGTATCGACCTATCTACCTTCCCCAGAGGATGAAGAATTTGTCATCTCTTCCCTTTGGACCCAACCATCCTCTCAAAGTATATAAGTTAGGTACCTATTGGTTATGAGGCCAGGTTCGTTATAGATCTGGGTTGCTCAGTTGCCTATCGTCAAGAGTGGTGGCTCTAGAACCTAAGAATGAAGCAGGCCATGCTGTATATTAGACACCGGTATATCGTCTCGTCTAATATTGGTAGCATATAATATATGGACCATTTCGTGCTTTCAGAATCATCAGCCTCTCTCTTTCAGTCTCCGTCGTCATTAAAGCTGAGCTTGATCTTCTTGGCCTTCTTCTTGGTCTGCTTTGCTCCCGATTTCGCGTCAGCGGCGGGTTTATTACTGTTCTTTGCCGAAGAGCTGTCTTCCTTCTCTCGACCTTTAGTGTTACTTAATAGCTTTCGCTTCTCGACCTCGACCTCGGCCCCGTCCTCATCAGTGCCGCCAACCACCCGTCCTACCTTGCGTTTTTTGCCTGCCCCAATACTAGCGATTTTCTCTTTCTCCCTCTCTTTCCTACTATCTACGCCGGCACCATTCCTACTATCTGCATCTACGTCGTCATCTGCAGAAACGTCCGCGTCCGCACCGGACGGGAGAGCGACGGTGTTCCCCGCTTCGTCGACAATAAGAGGTGCGTCCTCGGCCTCCTCGCTGGCGGACCGCGGCCGTGCGGCTCGTCGTCGCGCTGCTAGGATAGGGTCCGGAGTGTCGGAGTCGCGCTGTTGTTGGTGCTGGCCGCGGAGCTTGGCTAGGAAGGGAGGTAGATCGCTCGAGTAGGCAAGATTCTTGGAGGTGATTTTTGGCTCGTGTTGTTGGGAGGACATGGTCTGATTCTTGTAAGTTGGGTGGAATATGATCTAATTATTTGGTCGGCAGTAGGTATCCTTTTTTTTAGTATGATATCATATCTTTTAGGTGAGTACTATCTTAGGTGAGTGCTATTTTAGGTGAGTGTTATGTTATCCGTAGGGACCTATCATAGCAGAGTTCGAGTGCACATGTTGCATTGAGGAAAAGCCTTCGATATCTTTGGCTAATAAGATATGTAGGTAGGTAGGTACCTATGTAACCTGCAAGTGCCCGTTCCATAGTGGGGTCGGTTTTTACAGCTGTAATGTATATATACCTAATCATTACCTAATCTACCTAGCGTAAGTACATAAGAGCAAAGTATCTAGAGGTACGTACTCTGTCATAAGTGAGGTAATGCCTTTGGATACCTAGGTACCTATGTATTGGATATTGACATACATACCTCGTACCTCCTAAACTATTGATATATAAACGCCCAAAAGCAACTTGTTTGATCAGGGCTGCGTGTCACGTTAGGCAGAATTAACTGATACTATGACGGCCCTAATGCTACTTAAAGTATGGCCGCCTTGCGGTACTAGATGTATTTTGGGTGTCAAGAAGTAGTAAATATTTGAAGTAGGTATCAGTCTCCTTAGATAGTGAATAGGGTGGAAAATAGTAACATGCTCTCGTATCGGGCTCTACTAAATCAGAAAGATGACCACGATATGATATAAACTTTTGCTTGAAAGTTGCTCTTAAAGCCGTTCCTTTGTTACTCTCGAAACAACAAGTTTATCTAACCAGAACAATATATTACTAGAGCTGGTCTAGTAAAGATACGGTCTAATAAGTGAAAGGAGATCACGTAAACTTGGAGTAAGTGATAACAATATGAACTTTTACTACAAATATACTCCAGGAGCATATTAATTTTTAGCCTGGCTTTAAGCTCCTCTCTAGATTCGAATAACTAGAATACTTTTATTCATGGTGCATTCCCAAGATAAGATTAGACTAGAAACGGCCAGAACGAAGAAAATGTTTTGTTCATTTCAACTTAGCATGGGCTGGTTAGTAGTTTAATGAAATATGATTTCTTGTATCCAAGAATTTACTATAATTTCACCTTTCTCTTAAAACCCTCAAGTCATTTGAATTTATCTACCTAGGTGCTACATGGAAATTATAAATATACTTAAGTAGGTACTTGAATTTAAAACCCCATTAACTACCACATCCATAAATTTCAATTCTTCCATTAGATATCCCAATTACACAACAATAAGTTGGGCAGACTTAATTGTATCTTGGGTACAGAAAGAATAACCACGTGTGCCAATATTTGCGCCAAAGCTTAACTGAACATCCTATCATTTCGAACACCCCAACCTTGGCTTTAGGGTGTTGTTGCCAATACTATCGTAACTATTCTCTGGTTAGTGGGGTACTATATTTTCAGTAACATAAGTGGACGCCATGATCGTACAACTCACAACGCTTCCTTTTCATGTCCTATTATCGTAATTGTGAACAGATCCCGTTTTAGCTGATATCTATTGTTATTACTTCCTCCACGTGGTAGACCAAAATCCGGTGTCAAGGTGTTTGTTAACATACCTGTACAGAATATTGACCAGGAAATTTATGATCGAGATATTGTTTCAATTGATTCGAAGTTATTTTTGATGCTGATATAGATAAGATATGTGGGCCATGCCACTTCTCTGACCACTTCTCTGAGGGCGGTTCCGACGATGTTCGTAATCCGACAGTCATTGTTGTAATATCTAGTGTTTCAAGATATATCCTTGATAGTAGACAATCGATGAACTTTGACTGTTTTTAGTGAAGAGGAATAACGAGGATAAATTCGGGGCTTATATATATCTCTCTCTCTTAGAAGAGGTCAGCAGGGAGGCAATAAATTGTAAAAAATTTGCTTGTTTCCGTTTTCCGGTGGCACATCAAAGCCACAATAGAATTGTTTCCTTGTGGCAAAAGCAAATTTAAATTTAAAGAGATGAGCTGAAAGTTGATTCCGGCGGACATCTGTCCACTATTTATAAAAAAATCAAAAGCTGCACTGCTCCAGTCGGCGTTTAAAGTAGGACCCATCCGAAACATACATAAATACCTAAAATACATAACTATCTGTAATACAAATCGTTAGGCATATATACCAACAAGTGGATAAAGGTCATGGATAGTCTGCCTTATTACCTATTACGCCTCACTATCGCATTCCTTGAAAGGCATTAAAGGCAAATAGGTACTGCGCGGGCAATATTGCCTTACGTACCTACCTAAGGTACCTACCTAACCTAACCTTAATAATCTACTTAATAAATATTTTCGCTTTGCTGCTTGCTTATAATTAAGTTACAGTTATGATAAGTTAAAAGTCTAAATATATAGGTAAGTACCTATTTACGTCGATACTTGATAATTTTAAAATATGTTACCCTATCATTTTATAAATAACTAATGCACATTATACCTACCTTTTATGTTTCTCCAATGTATGTATGTACATATATATACTGCGGCGTAAGTACAGGTACGTAAGGTGTCTAGGAGAGCCTCATGTCTCCAAATTGTGCTCATTGTACGTCTGCATCTACCCTACTTGGTTTATATTATACTACCGCATCTAGATCCCGCTTAGTGCTTGCATTATCTTATACAATATAGAAGCCTCAGCCATGCATTGCACTTTATTAGGAAGTCCTTACCCGATTGGTTCTGTGGCAAGGCGAGAGAATCAACCACCTCTTCACCAATGTCAAGAGGTAATTGTCAGCCTGCATTGGCCTAGCCGGATGTGATATTATGAGGCTACGATGCTCGGCGATCTGATACGGATGGCCGATTTTCACCGGCGGCGGTGCAGGTGAGATTCACACCGGTGCTACCTTGTGGCTTCAGAGCCTGCTGCTCGGAGCGTTCGCGCGCCGTCTGTCTCAGCCTATATGCCTAATAGTAGGCAACTTATAGTGATAAGAACAAGACGGTATCTATTGAGGCAGCCGGTGACTCCGAAATGCAGTCTGCGGGTGAGAATAGCAGTTAATAGCGCAGCATTTCAAGCCAAACCCCAGCTCCTAGCCCGAATACCTATTTAACTATAACCCCCCTCTCGTCTCCTTCTGTTTCTAATCTATATTATTATCTTCTCATCTAAGGAAATATTAGAATATCAGTGTGTTCCTTTTAGACACGGTAATTCTCTTAGGTTCTATTAACCACAATTCGAAAGTGTATTGTTCAGCCATTCTCCTACTTCTAGTCATATTGGCTACAACCTACACACCAACCACTGCCACTATATACATTCCATTTATTCGGTATTATTATGGCTAATCGAAAGAGCGTGTTGGACGATGTGATTAGGGTTCATCATATCATCAACCGGGGCGAAACATTTTTCAAACCTCGTGATATTCCCCATCAGCATATCCAACCCCAGATATGCCAGCCAAATACCGACGACATTACCAAAATTTACCGATCAATTCAGGAAGAACTTGACCACTCTCAAGTCCCTAGTGTTATGGGTCAAGATAAAAGATATATTCCGAGGGACAGGCTTCAAAACATTCTCACTGTTGAGAGAGTTCGATCTCTTGTTACCCTACCTTGCTTCGCTAACTTCCCACGCAAGGATGAGTTGACCACGTCCATCTACTATGGGTCGAGTAATTCAAACCCTTGTCTAAAGTTATTGGCTGTGCTCATCGGAATCGAGAAACTAGAAGAGTTCCCGAAATGTATATCAGAGGGAATGGATGACGGTTGCCTTCCAATGACAATAGAAAATCCTGATGATCGTAAAACGTCTCTCTACTGCGAACACCACAAGACGCACCATGCAACTATCGATGATTTTCGTCGAAGTTACGACAGGATACAATTTATGCAGTGGTCATACAGCGTAATCGCACCGTGTATCACTTCTACGAAACAGAAACATTCTCATTACCATCTACACGCCAGTGATATTTTCCCCATGCCCTTCGGGAAAAAACTACAGAAGCAAGAGACGATGAAGCAAGAAATGACAAAGAAAGAGATTATAAAGCAAGAAGTTACGAAGAAAGGGATGACGAAGCAAGAAGTGATCATACAAGACAGCAAACCACAAATAATGGAGGTGGCATTTGCATATGGTGGGTTCAGCGAAGTGTATCAAGTCAAGATTGATAAGAGTCATCAACGTTTTGAAGATATCGGGGTAAGTTCTAGAGATCTCTTGACGATATTATGGATGATAATCCTAATTTCTTACTAGATACGCCATCCCGAGGGAGTGTTCGCTTTGAAGAAGCTCATTTCTCATGATCGGAACAACTTCAATATGGAGCTCTCATCCTTGTTATTCTGTATGGACAAATCCATTAAAAAGAATGCCGATAAGCACATAATCCAACCTCTCGCAACCTTTGAAGTCGACGAGCCCGCAATTAGTGGATCGACTTACTATATTCTCTTTGATTGGGCTGAGGGGAATCTAAATGATTTCTGGAAGAAGAATGATCATCTCGTCGGGGCCAGGGGCCACTGTAGATGGATGGCTTATGAATTCCATTCACTCTGCTTGGCGCTAGAATGTGTTCATAATGAGCGAAAAGAGACGTTGAAGTTTATCGATAAAAATACGCTTGAAATGAACTTATCAGGGAGACCTCACGATACCAACAGCTTATATGGACGTCATGGGGATATCAAGCCAGATAACTTTCTTTGGTTTATCCCCCCTAAATCAAAACCGTCTCAACAAAAGCATTCATCATCGAAACAAGAACCCCCATCTTTAGGAAAGCTGGGTCGACTGGCTCTGTCTGATTTTGGGCTTGGAAGATTACATACTCAAGTCTCTCGATCAAATCAAGATCCAAAGAACATCGCTAGGACAGAGACATATAGAGCGCCCGAGTTTGACCTAACCAATGGTAGTATCTCTCGTGCATCCGATATCTTTAGTCTTGGGTGCGTATTTCTCGAATACGTTACCTGGTTTTTATTAGGAAGCCAAAGCGTCATAGAAGAATTCCCTACCCATAGACTTGAGTCAGATATCTACACATTCAAGTCAGATACTTTCTTCAGCATTCGCACGGACGAAAGCGGCAATCAGCAACCTGTTATGAAAGAAAGTGTGAGAGACTGGATCACAAAGCTCCAAGAGAACGAGGGATGCAGCTGGTACTTACACCAGCTCCTTGATATCATAAGGGATAAGATGCTCGTTGCGGACCGCAAGAACCGGGTTCGTATTGTGGACCTTATTAGGGAAATGGATAAACTTCATCGAACATGCGAGAGGAATGACAGCTTCTATTTGAAGACGAAAGGTGAATCCTAATTTAATCGATACTAGGCGAGGTGATATTCGGCATCAAATATCACTATCCCTAAACAGTTTCAAGAGACATACAGTGTTGGTTAAGTATGGTACGGATTAGCGTTAGGGGTTTGATACCAGTTTCTTCATATTCCACAACCATATATAGTAAGCTTCATATTCCTGAACATTGATAGCCGAGCTAACCTTCATAGCATTCCAAATTATTCAATTGACGCTATAGCGTCCTCAGAGCTCTTTAACCATCCCCTATACTTTATAATGGAAGCGGATTGTCTTTTCTATCTCAGCTATCTGGCCCTTATGAATCGGAGGATTTCAGTATTGATCATAGAATGGTTACGGGTTATATTACCTCGTGCGGTCGTTCTGGTAATTGAAGGATGTATCTACAGGCTTTTATCTATATTATAGAAGAATTAGTCCGTCGTCCGTTAATATCTATGCCTAGAGACGTTACCTTCACTTTATATCTGCCCTGGCCGTACATACTATCGAGGGAGCTCTTGAGTTTCAAGGGGTCGTTATATTTCTGCTTTAATACAACTTCGTGCCATGTCGCGGGTTTTGGTGGTGGCTGCGGTTCAGGCATTCTTGATTTGTTCCGGCACTCCCAACCCTGTAAGAAACCGACGAAAGCTTTTCATTCAAGGTTAACAGGCGAGCTGATTGGAAGGGGGGGAATAAAAAGGAACGACTCGGGAAGTATATCCGACGTGGATGGAGAGAAAGAAGGTCAATCTGGTGAGGGGCTGTGGGTTGGAAAAAAGCAAAAGCAATTCAACGGCAGCTCCCGGATGACCAACTGCAGGGAAAGTATGATATGTCAGGCTTATCTGCATCACGATAATATAAGTAACGTTGAGAACCAATCAGATATGATATGCAGTGCAGCGTGGAGCAATATATGCAGCAAGCCTAGGCGTGGCAACCTACATAGTAAGACGGCAACCACCAAGGCTTTCTAGAAAGCCCTCATTTCCCCCGAAATACTCTTAGCAGACCCTTTTTAGTGAGCCTCCAGCTAAGTTAACCTTCAGAGCCATCCACTATTAATAGACATTCGATTTCTAGCCCTTACCCACACGCACCCTGGGTATTGATAGACAGAATGGATTGGCCTATGGAAGACTCGGCTTGGTCTAATATTGATTTGGAGACATTCGGGTTTGAATCACGCCCTACCGTAGTCCTCCGGAATTCGGAATCACACACAGCAAGTGCAATACCATACATCTTATATCGTAGATATTGCTAATAGAATCAATACCAGACGTTAACACGGGATCTACTTCAGAATAAGAACGATTGGGAGATTTGGTTCGATGATGTACGGAAAGCAATGCGAAGATCACTGCAAGAAGTTGATACCAGAGGCTAATGGCTATGGGTGTAGGCTCTAAACCCTACTCCTGGACCGAATGAGTTTCATGCCGTGTAAGAGAAATCTTTATGACTTTTTAGAGATTATGCTGACTGGGAATTCAACTAGACTTTGTAGTAGGGCTTCGCCTATTTTTGAGGGGGAAGATGCTCCAGTTTCGTACGTCTCAGTCTCAAGGGACACGTGGGAGAGGCTTACAAGATTCTTCCATATCCACCGGGGTATCACGCGGTCGATAGCTAGACAGGTCGCTTGTATTTCGTCGTTCTACGAGGAGAGAAAAGGGGCAAGTACGAAGATATGTAAGTACCTACCTACTTATATAGTGTATCATCATTCTAAAGTATAGCGAGTTACTTTCTAATGTGGCATAGGCTTTACTGCACGAATGTCGAAGTATCTCCCTGGAGACTTGGCCTTGTCTGTCACTTATATCCCGAGCACCGAATCCATATATGCTGTTATGTATGGTTGCAATAAAGATCAGATGCAAGAAATCGAAAAGCGCATCCAATCAGCTGGTGACAGAACTAAATATCCGTTACTAATGATCGGGGTCTTCGTCGAACTAGAGAGAGAAAGACTAGTATCTATAGCCGACCAACTTCTGGATGGGTTTACCTTGCGATCGGAGAATCTAGAGAATGGACCCTGGGACCCGTCTATAGATATGAGTAAGGAGAAAACACAAGAATACCTGGCGCTTTGTATTCAAAGCCGAAACCTTATAGACCATATGAATGCCGTAAAACGACAAGTGGTAAAACTTCTGGCCGAGATAGAAGAGTTCGAAGGCTATTTTTCCTCTCATAAGCACGGGGAGCGTTCTCATGATGGTAAGAGAGCAGCACATCGGTTCAAGAAAATCGGAGCTCAGATGAAGAAGAGACTGCAGGATACCATCAATGAGTATGATGGTAAAATAGACGAATGTAATATGATTGTAGGAAATATTACTCTGGCCATGCAGACGGTATGTCACGCTCAACCATTCCTAAGAGATCCAGAATGCTTAAACTCAGCACCTAGGTTTGGAATCAAATTGCGATGCACGATTCGGACCTCAATACTCGCATTGCTCACGTAAACACAGGGGTCGCCCTCGAAACAAAACGGGAAGGCATCCAAATGAGGTCGATCGCTATATTATCGATGATTTACTTGCCCTTTTCCAGCGTTGCGGTTAGTAACACGAAAAATAACTTCAGAAACTTCGCTAAGATGTATCAACTAGACTATATTCTCGATGGATATGTTCGACTGGAATGCCCAAGATGGGGGCTCTGTTGTGTCCAAGTACATCTGGCTGTTCGCCACACTTGCAATCGGACTCACTGCGATTACAGTCTACGCCTGGTATCACATTACTATCCGGCGCGAGAGAAAAGCGGACGAAGAAGCTTCGGAAATTCAAGTAAAAATGGAAAAGATGGTTTAAGATAACTTTATTCTGTATTAATGAAGTAGGATGTACATCTCAATAATACTCAATTACATGCTAATATCTGACAAAAGGTTCCTATTCCAAAGCATCATACCAACAACCTAACTCGGGCATTTCAATCGCAATAAATATGCCTTTTAACGACAAGAAAGATAGAAATAACGCAACCCATGTTCCCAGATGCCTCTTAACATTATTATCAATTCGACAGCACCATATCAACTCTTTCTAGTTTTCTTTTTCCTAGAAAGACATCTTTCGCCTATTCATCATATGAAACTTCCTCATTAAACGTCATGATATTCGTACCGTGTTGTTTTCGGATATTCTTAAGTGTCCCTGGAGAAAAAATGGCATGGTTAGATAACACTCACATAAGAAATAATATGGAATGGGGAGATCACGTACAGCAATGCCAAGGTCAGATCACCGTGGATGCGGGCCTTGAGCGTTACCTCTACCTCAAGGTTAAGGTCGAGACGGAGCTTGAGGGTGTCCGACTTGCTATCGCCGCCACCTTGCGGCTGCTGCATCATCTGCTGTTGTTGTTGCTGTTGCTGCATCATCTGTTGCTGCTGCCTCTGTTGAAGCATCTGCTGATCATCTTGCTGTTGGAGAGGTTGCACCGACCCGGGGCGACGTCGGTTGCGGCGACGAGTGCGAGGTGGTCGCGATGTTTCAGATACTTGGTCTGAAATGTCCGAGTGGTCCGTCTCCTGAGTTGCCGTCTGCCGCCTCTGAGGCTGCTGTTGCTGCTCATCACCGCTGAAAGACATTGTATCTTATGTAATATTGTAATAATAAGATGAATGAAGTTGTTTTTTTCTAATATAGCGAATATAGTTATTAGACTATTAAAGCTTTCAACAGGTGAATAATGTAATAGTATCCGAAAAAATTAAATTAAATTAAAAGGATAACTTTATCGACCAGTCTGTTGGAGCACATCTAGGTACTTATTTGTAGGCAAAAGCTCACGTCGGAAAACTTGCAAAATAGCAGGATTTCTAAATCGACGATAGGGGCTGAAATTCAACGTCACCGTTTCATGCACCTCCTACCTATAAGGTGGCTTATTTAGAAGGGTATAAGCCAGCCATATACTTAAAAGCTCGTACTAAAATCCTGATTTCGAATCTCTTACATCATGAGGCAATACGGGGTTTAAGGTATTCCCTGACTTATAATTGTTGCCCGTCGAATCAGAAGCCGTACCGCAAGCCTTATGCGGTAATTTGACGTCGAAGTCCCCACTTTTCGTACTCCGTACTAAACCTTATAACCCCACCATCTTTTCATAAGGACCGGGGGTCAAACGAAAAGGAGGGTCATTACATACATAACGGTGCTTGTCATTGGTGTATTCCTGTTCGATCTCTACGATCTCTATGTACTAAAACTTGATGGTTTCTTCTTTCTCTGTACGTAATCAATATGGAGATTCGTAGGCTTTTTTATTTCGTTAATTTCTGTCGTTAATATACAGATTCGGTAGTCCGAGGTAACAAGCCACAATGCTTACTTCGTAACTTGTCGGCAACAAGTTCATTAGAGAGCGTACTTTGCATATGATCTCTCACTATCATCTAGAACATTAATAGATAATATATGCTATATGGGATCAAACTAGGCGTGTTAAAGAATTTGTGAGGGTTTTATAGTCACTTATTCACACGGAGACGCGCACATAATAGAGAAATTCTTCGTTATTGTGTGACTTTAGTAGTTGGCTTGATATGTGTCAGACATAAATGTCTGTCCGACATATAAAATGCAATAGAATAAAATCTATTACCAAATAGCCTTTTAGTGGTGTAGCGGTTTATACGACAATACGCAACTCCTTAGTACCTAAGATTTACCTTATACCTCAGGATACTGTGTTAAATGCAAGTAAAAAGTTACTATTTGGAATATATGCCTCGTTACTCTGTCCTACTTTATTGCGTGGTGTATAACTATTAGGTATTTAACGTCGTGATTAACCCCCTTATTTTATACATTTAACATTAAAAGATGTATATAACGGGCATCCAACCTTTCTAGCCTTAATTACCATATAGGGATATTTTAGGTCTCATTAATATTATAGTTTCTTGATAACTCAAACGGCTTCTTTATACATAGATTGTGTATAGTGCGGTGTGATATTTAGGCTTTTGTGTTGCCAGAGGGTTGACCTCTAGTTTACGTGCTGGTTGTTACTTACTACCTGATGTAGAAAGCGACATGATACATGATGTGTGATCCCGCAAAGAGATATATATATACCTAATATAGCTACTCAAGCCACCATATACCGCAACTGATTCTATGAAAATCCGGGCATAAGCTTAAATTAATTCTGATACTTTATCTATAGCCACTTAAACGATTTGAAACTATATCCTATTCCGTTGAACTCCGAATATAGACCTAGAATAACTCCGCTGCTTTGTTTGAAAAGGGATATATCTCCTTCTTTTCTGTCTGTGACAAATTTCTCTTACTTAGAGTCTTCATCAGGTTGATTCCTCTGTTTATATTATGGCTACCGTGGGAAACCCAGATGTATTGGCTCACGATAACACCAGAATACAGTTATTGCAACGTCTTAGGGGATCCAGCGTTCATATTCCGGATCTGTCTCATTCGATAAGCCACTGGCCCCAAATGGTCCATGAAGAAATCGAACGGCTAGATGCAGATGTACAAAGGTTACTTGCAGGGTATGATGCCTAAGTACTATCAACTTACGACTTCTAATACGCCACAGCTTATTCCCTTCCCCGAGTGATCAAGGGCGGCTTCGAAAGATGCAAGCTTCCAATTTTGCGCTTTTTGGAGTTTTGTGGTGGCCATTTGCGTCGTATGAGGCTTTGAAAATCGTTACATATCTATGTGTCTGGGTAAGACCTATAATGACACTGTGCATATATCTGGACTACTAACAGGTATATTTTGGGAGTTGTTTGCCTGGGATGACGGTATAGTATCATTATATGTCTAAGTAAAGGACATTAGGCTAATATTCTGCTTGACTTAGAAACTGATTCGCTTGAATTCTCTGGTATCTCGAATGATGATAATGCTGCCGCAAAATTTCGATATGAGACTGCTACCTATATTCAAGAAAGTCTGTCTGGAAAACCAGAGATTGACCTAATTCACATATCCACCAATCCGATCATCACCAGCTTTAGGCCTGTAGGTGAGGCGATATCAAAATCTTGTAACACGCGTAAGTTCATATTATCCTCTTATCCACAATTTATTTAGCTAATATTCTAAAGGCCAAATCAATACCTTGCTTCACGAATTATTGCTCTACGTGAAAATGTGTGGAGAGGAGCAACGATACCAAACAACCCCATATCTACCAACCATTGAAGAATATAATCGAATACGAGCGGGTTCGAGCGCCACGAGAGTCTGCTTAGCTGCCATAGAGTAGGGACTCTAATTGTCAAAATTTTACTTCCATATTTCCTCTCCGAGTCTCTCACATATGTCTAGGAGTAATATACTAAAAGTCATTAGATATGCTCATGGAATCAACCTGCCCGAAGAAATAATGAATAGTCAGAAGATGGAACAAATCTGGCACGAAGTAACTGTTATTATCTCGACGTGAGCATATACCTTGAATGATCTTATTGGCCAGGCTAAAATTTGTTCTTACAGTACAAATGACATGCTGTCTATCAAGAAAGAAGTGGTAAGTTGGCAGAATATATATTGTCTCTATCTATATCACCGTTAATGATATATAGGCGCAATCACAACTTGATACACTTATCCCTCTCCTCATGCTTGAATCTCGGTCCGTCCAAGACGCAATTGACCACGCTGCCAATATTGTAAGCGCCTCGATCAAGAGATTTGAGTCTGCAGAGGAAGAAATTTTAGCAGAGTATTCCTCCATGCCCAACGCCCATGAGGACTTGCGTAAGTTTCTTGAAGGATGCAAATGTGCCTGTACAGGAAACTTGAAATGGAGGTAAGTGCTTTATGACATTATCTTAGCTCTCGGATCAACTGGGTTAGAACTAAATAATGCTGAAATATCAACGACATATAGCATCACCTCTGAGAGATATCAGATTGGTTGTCAATCCATGCAAGGCGGTATCAACGTTACCCTTTAACGGTCTCGACAAAAGTAGATCTCAGAAGGAAGAGTTAGGATTGGTCAGGCAACGAGGATGGCGCGTTAGGCGAAATATTACTACCAGTGAGTTTGTGGATAGGTACCTACCTAATATATGGCACCATAGTTTTGGATAGGGATAGGCGTCAATGAATCTCTTGTTAGGGATAGATGTAGGGCTATCAACTAGCCACACAGGGATAGTTATGCTACCTTATTTATAAGATAGCTAGCTGGAACTTACTCTCCTAGTCATACAATATACTATGACCATACTTATACTACACCCCCACTCTCCAGTGACACATGATACGGCGCGTTGCACCGTTGCCCTGGGGTTTTATAGAAGCTCATCAACCCCGTACGAACCGTGACAGGATGGCCACCTGCCACTCTATGAGTGATGTATCATACCAAGGGTAGCCTAAAGCCTAAAAAAGTTCAGTATTCTATCTATACTTCCTATAAGTACTAAATCAAGATATCCATTCTCTAAGGTCTATTAGCAAGCGTCGACGTGCGGTCACTCATCCTAATTTCTAACCCGTTATCTAACCATTTCCCAAACTCCGCTATCCGAAGCAATTCTAAAATAGAAACCTTACTATAGTACAGTATCTCGCTAAACTATATCATAAAATATACGTTAGAAAGTTAGGTCTTCCCATTGCCTACAATTTCAATATCATCGTCCGATGACCCTGCAGACAGCTCTCTCTCAACCCACGCCGAGATATTTGAAGCAGCCTCCATAGGGTTGTCTAAGTGTAGTTGGAAAAAGCCTTGTAGTTGAGAAGGGGTAAATGCGTCTTCTGGGATATGCGTCGCGAATTCCGAAGCGAGCCTCCGTAATAGTCCATGGTCTACTTGAGGAATGTGATCATCCACCAATTTATCGTTATCTTTTTGTGAGAGCAATGGCGGTAACTTATCAACGTCTGACATGAACATGCGGAGAAACATTTGCTCAGCTGAACCTTTACTGATGTTACCAAGCATGACTTTCATATCGACACGACCAGGCCGCACCAGAGCGCTGTCTAACCGATTCGGCTTGTTTGTCGTCATGATTACGATACGCCCTTCTGGGGACCCGACACCATCTAAAACATTGAGCAAACCGGAAAGAGTACAGTTTGATACAGCCTCGTTATGCGGCTCGCGATTGGCCAACTCGCGCTTCACCCAGATGGCGTCAACATCCTCTAGGAGTACAATACACTGCGGTGGAACCTCGTTGAACATTTGCTCAAGATCTTGGTCAGTCGCTACGCTTGGAATCTTAACTTCGTATAAGTCGAGGCCAAATTCACCTGCCAGAGCAGTCGACAGTGATGACTTTCCCGTACCTGGTGGTCCATAGAACAAATAACCTCTACGATAAGGCATGCTACGACTCTGGTACAATTTCTTGGTGTTGGGATCGAGGTATTTTCTGATATCTGTAAGGAGTTCCTGTTTCAAGGCATCGTCAAAATGAACTGTCTCAAGACGACGGATAGGCTTGCGAGACTTTGGTTGCCAGGACATGCCGTAACGATCTCGTGCATAGATAATGACATAGTATTGAGCCTGTCTATCTGCATATTCCTGGCAATTCTGAATGAGCTTCTTGATAGGCTCGGTTGACCATCCAAGACAGCCTATGGTCAGCTCTTCTCCTCCGATGCCATCGTAAGTAGAGTCGACCATAGATGCGTTGAAGCTATCGAGCGATCGCCTAACCACAAACAGATTACTCTCATACCAGAACCACACTGTCTCAAAGTGAGGTAGATACTGTATATCACGACGAGTCTTCTTTAGCAAGGCGGCTCGGTCCGCGATAGCACCGGGTTGAATTTGAGTGCGGGCCGTAAAAGACCGTATGGTTCGAAATTGTACGATATTGGTTAAGACCCAATTCGTCACATGCCTATTCAGCGGGTCCCGTCCAGGTATTATCACGTAGGAAATGAAGAAGTGACTGACCCAGCCATACACTTCGCGCCAAGCTGTCTTTAAAAGTCGCCACGCTGCGGGGGCAGCGCCGACGCACGCGGCGAGGGATCCTAAGCGTGTGATGTCTAGCCCGGTTATCCAGTGACCAATGATCTCCTTAAGAGAGTTGAGGCCATGCATTGATGGGTCAAGGAAGCTATGGCTCATTGTAACCCCAAGGTGAAAAGGCCGCATGATAGTGGCGCCGCTACCGTGGAATTGACACCAAAGCGGTTGGTTGGTTGGTTTAGTTTCCCATAACTTAACAATCGCACCGGGAGTTGAAGAAGGAGAATGATGATAATATTATAAAGAATACATGGAAGAATGATTTAAAAATAGATGACGGTCAAAGTAAAACCAACATGATATTTTCTTGAAATATATTACATAGAAATAGTCTTAATGCTATTGAAGCTGTTTATATTTTATCTGTCAAGGTGAGTTCGGTGAGATGAAATTGAAAAAAGAAAAAGAAAACCTGGAAGAAGAATTGATTTGCGCCACAAACACCGCCACTCTCTTACATTCCATTCTCTTAGACAGGTACCTAAAGGTTCCATTTACTTTTTAGATTTTATCGCATTTTACCCCTGAATATTGAATGAGAACAAACGCAACAAACCCACACTATTTCTAGTCTCTTATACGAAAAACCAACATAACAGACTTCATATAGTTATAGGTATTTTACATGGGTAACCGACATATGCATGCTACCTGTATGTATGGACCCCTAAAAGAAATCCTCCTCGAATTCTCACTAATGTAACATTTAGAGAATTATTCCTAATGACCCGATGCTCGCCTCATTCACCTATCTTTTTTTTTTTTCCCACTTTCGCCCATTTTCTTCAACAGACAATGGTCAATGGGTTGAACGATGAGCTGGCAGCTAGGCCCATGCTACTTACTCCTGCATGTAGTTATATTCCTCCAATCTGATTGAGGGGCACGAAAGCCTGCATCATCGCCAATTCTAATCCAATCCCCTTTCGACATGCAACGAATCACCGCAGGGGGGCACGGAGCACAGAATTTACGGTCTTACTCTACTCCCCATTCCTGGGTCCGGCAACCCTCGTCGACCAACCTGGTGATCTAAACTGTAAGCACCTATCCGGCGCCGGTTTTACATATGCACGAGAGGCTGTACTATGGTATCCCATCGCATTATTATCTTATCCATCTCCCCAATTTTTTCTTCTTCTCTGTTTGGACATGCGCTTAAACGCCTTCCCATCGTAGAATACGTACCGTCAAACCGTACTCACGGCTCCACGGCAGCCACTGAGCATCAACTATTTTATCCGGGTAGTGCTTGTCCAACCACTACATATAGAATCCGCCCTCCGGCACTCGGCCATCTTCGCTCAAGCCAGCCTAACGATTCTTCCGCGTACCAGGGTATGACTGACTTCCCGCTGAGATCTACCTACCTAGGTAGCTTCGGGGTCTGCATATCGTCATGTCCTACCTCTGTGGTGATCCCTGTAGGCGCCGAAGCAGCTCCTACGGACGGGAACCTACGACGTGCCAACTCAAGAAGACGCTATAGACGAATTATATCGTCTTACTACTTTTGAGTCTGCACACATTGATCCTATCACAAATTCCCCGTCTACGCCGTAGGTCCTCCGTGTACTACGTCCCCAAGTCGATCGTCGTTGGTCGTTGTCGAACAGTGAGACGAATAAGATTCTCTCCAGCCTTCATCAACGACCCCGCCATCGTCGTCAGTTATTCGGCTGTACACCTAATGTAGGCGTCTAGAGTGAGTGGCCGTCGGCCCACGCGAGACAGTGATCGCTAGTTACACACTGCGACCTTAGAGAGTTGGTTGGAGTAGGCTGCAGATAATAAAATCGCTCCCTTCGCCCCAACCTTCTCTTATCCAGCCGGTTTCTCTTCGTTGCCGGCCCTTTTACTTCGTTTCTCGACGTTCACTGCGCCTATGGCGCGCCATGCTTCGAAATTGTCATTCTTAATCTTCCACTCCGTCGGTGCGTAGATTGCCTGAAATGTATATACCCCAGACGAACCCTCTCAATCCCGACTCCTCTCTGGCTCCGGCCATAAGACTCGGACTGGGCCTTACATCCGCACACGAACTTGCCATACATGATAATCTCCCCCTTCTCAAGTCGGTCTCATCCCAGGCGCGCCGGCTCCTTGCCTATGGCCTTGGCATATTCCCGACTGCCCATGATCATGCATTGAACCTACAAAAGCGATCAGGGGCAAGCGTAAATACCACCATCGGAGTGGTAGTTGGTATTCTCCTGGCGGTATTCTTGGTCGGCTTTTTCGCCTTCCTATACTTTTACGGGAGGTCAATTCGCTTTACCCGCAAGAGGCGTCATCGTCGCAAATCTTCCGGTTCAAAAGGCAACTCGGAAGGCGGCACCGGCGGTGGTGCCGGCGATCCTCCAGCACCTGCATAGCAAATTTCATCTATTCCGATTTTGAATCATCTTTACGAAGTTATGCGCTTGGAAAAAGTTACGACTGCGAGCGGCAGCGCCCTGCGAAGATAGTAGAGGCAACGCGATGAGCATACGGCTCTAGTTACAGGAATTTTATCGGATAGTTACAGAACGGCGTACACGGCGGCCAACAACAGAATGAACGGGGCTCTTGTTATGAATCACGAGTTAACGGTTATTTAAATCTGGTTTATCATGTGTGTATGATACGAGAACAAGATTTTGTACGGAGCATAGGAGTTTTGGGCTGAATTGGCATATAGCGAGCTATGGTCGCCTACGATTATTGTTTTGATGAATTTCTTACCTATTCCTATATTTCCATTCTCGCCATCGTGTTTTGCCGTATTAAGGAACCCGCCCCGAATGCTGAAGGTCCTAGGTGAGTTTAACCCCTTGGATCAAGGGACCTAGGTCGCCTCATTGCCCCCACGCTCGTTGATCGTCAATCTAGCGTTGATGCCCAACGAAACGCTTTCCTTGTGCACCCACCATCAATTATATCAGGCTCTCGGCCACATTCCATTCTATGCCAACTCAACCCCCTTGTCGCGCAAGATCGCTGCGTTGAACCAATCATATTAATTCTTAGCCAACCACCAAAGCTCTTCTTCAACTTCAATACCTCTCTGCCACGACTCGTTCTGTCGTACAACAGATGTTCACCTTCTATGCATAAGGTACAGGTGGACCCCTGACACGATTCCACGGCCAAGTTGCCAACTCTTTCTTATCTCATAAGTCAGCTTCAAATAAGCGACACGTCCGTAACGTACCTATGGTGTCTCGCCCTATAACGTCTCTTTCCTTGTGCTACTACTTAGCATCTAAATACTTAAGATATTATTCCGCCGGCTGCAATTCGCTCACTCCAATGGCTCCCACGCCGCCGAGTAGCTGTGAACAAACCGGCCAGCATCCAGCTTGTGGTGCTTGGGCATTAGGGCCTTTGCTAGCTGGCAGGTAGGAGGACACTTGTCTTGCGAGGCAATGCCCGTTGTAACCGAGGCTTGTTGGTGATATTGGAATATACTAAGATCGTTAAGGAGAATATCCTATCCGGAGTAGAAGAGTATCCTTCTGATATCCCTCGCCTTAAGTTAGGTATGTCTGATTACTATTATTGTTATAAGAACCGGGAGATCAAGCGAGGGCGAAATGAGCAAGAGTAGTTCTTGGAGATGGAAAGAAGCCCGGTATTAGAAGTGCGTTATTCCCCTCACTATCATTCTTCCTTAATGTGTTGATAGTAGCAACATATTAAGCTTCATTGCAACTTTTATGACCAAGATCTTGAAATTATCTAAGAAACATTTATAGTCCTTCAGCTATTTTAACAGCAATGCCGTCACTAAGCAACCCAGAGGAAGACTAAAGGCCAATTAACAGTCTTCCCATAGCCCTTTACTTAAAGATACATTAGCTAAAAAGACCATGGTCTAGTGATCTGAAGATATGACAGAGTAGATAAACTCCCCTCGCAGAGGTTTTCGAAACTTTTCTCAGATTCGAGCTAGTGGTAGGGCGACAATAGTAGTCTGGTTTCCTCAGGTCGAATTTACGCAGTTTGAACTTAGTTCTACCTTTTCCTTTTCTCCTTTTAAGCGACCTTTAAGTCCCGTTTTACGATTCAAATTTTATTCTTTTAGTCGTTTTTCTAATTCTTCAATAAAACTTATCGGCAATGAAGGGGAATTCTCAATGCTTATATCGTTTTCAATTTTAATAAGAGTTATAAAGCTAAAATTTGGAATTAGAATTATAAATACGTCGAGCGAGGGAGACTTGTCGTCTTGCAGATGATGTCTGGAGGCATTACTGCTCGACGGGCCCTTGTTACTAAGATATGGATAGTATATCTACCTGATATATTTACACTAAGCATATATCTATAATACGTTCTAGTAATATAGTAGTCCCCCTATTATATCCTACCAGGTTAAGTTTCTCCTAAGTATCAAAGAGCTCCAGCGTAGGCACACCTATAAAAACCAACTTAGTATTGAACTGAGAAGGTTATAGGAAATAATAAAATTCAATTGACAGTCTTTTGATAAGTTATGAAAATGAATAACTCTCGGTATGGTAGTTAGATGGGGATGACACTCGAATTCAGCCTTCTTAGAATGCCATCACGTATACGAAAATTATACGAATTTTAAGGGATAACTAACCTGAGTCATGGGTTCGGTTTTCGATCAGAAAATCAATCACGAGCCATGTAAAAACACGAGAGGGTATTTGGGTCATAGCTAAAGAACAAGTGCAATTATGTATAATTCCTTTCTTTTCGCCTACTCTCGTATTAACTACAATTGAAAATACTAGCTAAGGTAGTTGGACAAAGAGCAAGAGTTACCCTAAGGAGGCTAATTTTTACTCGACTTATTTTCAATGTAACAGTTCACGAAGACATACTAAATTTGAAAGCTCTTTCTAAGCTAGGCAAGTTTACCCAATACTTTGATATGAAGCAATTTCGCCTTTCCATGTCAAGCTTCCCCAGTAGATCGTATCTCCATATATTCGCCCCTATCCTCTCCAATGACGCACAGCTAGGAATAACCGTCTAATCCTATAATATAACATATGATTCCATCCTTCAATTAGGTAATTAATGTTATAATATTACTTACTATAGGCTATGTCATGCTACTCAATTCGCTTACATATTACCCGTTGCCAAGGTGATAAAACAGTCGTTGGTAGTATAACCAGTCCTGTGCCGCAATTCAAGCCCCAGCTTTACCAACAACCCATCAATAACGTCAGGGGATTTATTTGTTAGCAAAAGAGCTAGTATAAAATGGGTACGATCTACAACTACAGCTTATAATCTGATCCGAATTTGTATTATAGTCCGGTTTACTTGCGGCTATACCAAGCCGCCAAGAAATTCAACAAAGACATAGACGAAGATCCCCTGGCTATGTTTTTCTATTTTTACATAATAATTGCCTTGATTGATGGTCAGCACCGTTATGGCTCCACTACCGATCGTCACCAAGGCGCAAGGCGGTCTCGATAGCTGCGAGTATTTATACTTCAGCTTCGATTTCGATGTGGCCTCTCGCTGGCTATAAAGTATTCGGGAAACTCAAACTGGCGAAGCTCTTATCTATTTTATCTCGTTATATCCACCAGATACCAGAAAATGAAGACCTGGACACCAACTCTTTCTATTGCGGCGCTTCTGCTGCCCCTTGTGGCGGCCGATTGTGAGAAGTTCGAATTCAGGGGTCAATTCGGTGGCGATGGCTTTACCACGACACATAACCAAAGCATGCCAGTCTCTTCATGGACGAACTGTACAGCGGAGCTTGCCAGTCGAAATGGGAACAGTAACGGAGGCAGGAATGGCACCTGCGAGTTCCACCGCTATAACAGTACGTCTAATCCACTTGCCAGCTTCACTTAGATGGGCTACCTATGCAGCCCCAAGGATCAAACCACAAACGTGGGTATATTTCTAACACCATACTCCAGTGGGCTTAGTAGTCCATCCCGAAATCCGCTTCATCAACTTCGACTCGGAGACGTCAGAGCACATATTCGAACTCGTGAGAGAAAACGCAAACCCAACCGCGTCCAGCCTCACAGACTTCAACGCCACAATAGTCATGAACTACACAGCAGTCCACACTGACATAGCCCTCGGCGACGCTGGGTACTATGCCTTCACGCCTAACATACGCTGTTTTGACGGCGTGCTCTCCGACTGTGACGACGACGATGACGATCCCGAGGATATCAATGTGGGTAAACTAATCCGTGCCTGCGGTCTATCATGGATCAACGAAGACCAGTCCCGATTAAGCACTGGCCACCAACTGTACTCTGGCGACGAGGGCTTCGTTCAGACAAGTAGCCCTGCCGAGATCAGAGAGGAGCCGCAGCCTAGTTATGATAGCGTTGCTAACCAGGCCACTGTTAGCGAAGACAACAGTTCAGCCAGGAGTAGGGCTAGCAGTGCAACTCTACTTATTGCGCTAATAGGCTGCGCATATAATTTCATATAAGAACTGAATTCTATACATATTGGCCCTAATATATATAGCCTTGATGAAGAGTAGCAAAGCGTATATAAGTTGCTCTTTAAGTCTATTGAATCTTACGAGAAGATGAGCTAGGGACTACGAGCATGCAGGAGCCTGTAGTCAGTTATACCCACCCTATATATATTAATATATGGCTAGAAAAATGGTATAAAATAATTTGACTTAGCATTGATTGCTTTACTTAGATGCAGGTACCTACAAATATAGCCGTGGCCCATAGAAATCTCCGATTACAGGGGAATAGTTTAGACGGTGTAGTATATACGATATAGAAGACTGTCTAGTCGTCTCTTGGGCCATCCATACTTCCTAATTCTGCCGCTACTGAGTGTTGTGGGACTATAAATAAGATGTACACCGGATATAATAGCGTGCAAGTATCGAGGTGAGTCCCTACGACACTGAGCCACTCATAGCTCCGCCCCTAACTCGCGAAGAAAATAGACTTGTCCATTTGCAATGCAGGCTTACATTAAGGCTCTATCACGAACCCATTTAAAGGAACGACTTTAAGCTAGTAATCGCCTTCAGTGCCTCCTCCCTCACCTCTTTCGTGATCTCCGCAGCCGGCTGCTCTTTCTTAATCAAACCGACTCCCGTTCCGCTACCAGAGGTCAGCTAGAGCTATATATAACATGAGCAAAAAGGGCCAAAACTACTTACGACCAAGTGACCAGCCTAGACACGTCACCGCTGTCTTTTGCAGCGTTGAGCCGCTTCGCGTTCTCGTCTAGAGGTACCCCGGCGACGTGGTCGTGATACGTTGGGGTAACGATGGCGCGGCCGTCATAGATCTCGGGCCAGTTTATCTCGCCTGTGATGTGGTCGTGGACTTGCGACCTTGACGGCGCGGAGAAGCGCAATATGTTAGCATACTTGATTCTGGCGAGTAGTACGTAGATAAAGGAGAAGTAGTAGTAAATAAAACTCACTTCACCGTATTGGAGCCTCCATCTGACGTGGCTATGATCGCCTTTCTCTTATAGTCTTGCGCATCAGACTCAGGTGCTACCATGTACTGTATAAGCATTCGATGTCAGCAACTCAACTGTCGCCCATATGACTTCTCATCAGTTGGATGAGCCGGTATCGAGGAACTCACCCTTGTACCAAGTACAGCTCCCTCCGCACCTAATGCCAATGCTGCCGCAACCCCTCTACCATCGGCGATACCACCGGCAGCCCAAACCGGGATCTCCTTGTCGGGAAACTCGTCGCGCAACACATCTATGACTTCAGGAACTATGCTCACGATACCAGCACCGCTCGCCCACTGGTGACCGCCGGCGTCGACGCCCTGCGCGACGATTATGTCAGCTCCGTAAGCGACCGCCTCTCGAGCAGCCGCCACAGTCCCGACCTGGACCACAATCTTAGGGTTCCATGGACTTCCTCGAGACCTTAGTTCCTTTACGATAGTCGAGTGAGTCCCCGGTGCTTCAGGCGAGGGCGCAAATAGCCATATCGCAGCTGGTCTGTGCCGCTTCAAGATTGGCACAACTGTCTCACCAAAATATCGTGCGGATGGCATGAATGTGAGAACCCCCACGCCGATAGGTAGGTGGCTATTATCATTCTTAGATGCCTCAAGGTCGAGGAGTTGCCACGCTTGGGTGAGTTGGTCGTCGAGTTTCTTTAGCGCGGGGGAGTCCGGGTTGAAGTCCCGACCAGCTTGGATGAAACCTGGGGAATTAGTATATTAGTAAACTACCTAAGAGAAGAATGATAAAATAAACTGACCTAAACCTCCAGCTTTTGTCACCTCAGCTGCTAGCTTTATATTGGTAACTCCGCCCATTGGAGCGCTAATTATCAAAGGTGACGCGGTGGTCGGGAACCACGACTTCATACGTAAGGCTGCCATGGTCGCTAGTCTTTTGTAAGCTGTGCTCATTTGAGATTTTAGAACTAAATGTTATAATCTTAAGAGAGAGCTAGTTGGATTTATGATTTATTTCGATGATGATTTGTCTTAGTAGTGTTTGTGATATATCTTAAAAGTTATCATCTCCGCGGAAATGCCGAGGCTAGAAATAAAACCCGAATCTTTCCTTTTCACCATTAACTTATTTCCAAATTTCAGTTGCTCCTCAGGTCCGAAATTTCTTACGATGGGATCTACTTTAACTCGAAAGTCCCTGAATCATGAGTAAGGGATGACTCCTAAAGAAAACAAACATGATACGCTGTATATCGACAGGATTCACTTACCTATTTCTGACAAGACTACTGGTTGACCCCACACTAAGATCAAATTGTTACTTAATATATGAATATCTCCTCGGAATACTCTTTATTAACCAAGGTTAAAGATTATGAGCTAAGATCATCAAAGCACGAAATACGTATATATAAATAGGTTGTGAGCTGTTACTAAGATATGTACCTAACCTAAGATTGATTACCTAACCTCGTCGTTATATAAGTTCCCGAGGTGGGCCTCCCTGCTCAAGCCGTAAAATTAGTTTATCCGATATTTCAAAAGACGGGCTGCATCTCGGAACCAATTGGAAGAGACGCACGACATCTAAATTTTCCCCAATGAGGGGAAACCCCCACTTCAATTCCCCGCATCAAGTTGATGTACCTATTTGGAGATTTCTAGTTGACATGACATCATAGCGCCCTTGTCAGAAAGACGATATTACTTTCATTAGTACAGCCAAACTTTGCTTCAAGATACAAATTTCTGTCCAAAGAATTCTTCTGTACTTCATTTCTGGCTTATTACCATTGCTGGTAATCATCCATCTATCATCTATCTGGATGAATGCAACCTACTAAAAACCGATTGCTTAAAATGGTGCCCAGTCTAAAGACTATATCACCCTTGGTTCTCCTTGGTCGTCCTTCACCAACTACCTTGGTTGGTTTGCCCTAAACTCAGCCTGGATACATGCTGGCCTCGCAAAATATGCCACGCCTATCATCCTCTAATTCGTGCTCGAATGCCATGAAGATTTCTTCACCTTAAATTACCGAACGCCTGCAGTGCGATACCAACTGTACCGCAAAAACAAACCCTAAAAGACATGCCCTTATCCGTGAGGTGTCGAGTTCATATCGACTGTATACCGCCGGCCAACGCCAATGCCAATGCCAATGCAGGTGGTGTAATGATGAAGCTGAAAATAAAATAAAAATACATTTGTCGAAATGCTGCCTATTGTTAAAATATCGAAACAGGGATGCAGTTGCTTATTAGTGAGAATGACTCGAAGGCCGTTGGTTGGCATATGCAGGGAGAAACTCAGGAACGATACCAGAGCGCAAGTCATATCGTCGACCTAGCGGCTGGTAATGCATCTGGTTCGAGCCCAGGTGATACTGGGAGAGCGGAATAGATGGAGGGGGGTTGAGAAGCGTATTGACGCGACGAACAGGTTTATAGGGACTCGCTCGCTGCTGTAGGTATACCAGTGGCGAATTTGAGATTGGAGTATGGGTTCCATACGATTCGGTTAACGGAGAAGAACCAAACTGAGTTAAACCCGTTGGGCTCTGTCGCTTTGTCGGAGTGCCATAGTTCGACGGAATCGCATAAGATGGCGTCTGTGGTCCGCAAGTGGTAAGCACTGATCCCTGAGGCGCCCAGCCAGTTGTTGTGGGATATACCGTCGACATAGCCTTCATCCCAGCCCCCAGAGGTGGCAACGATACACTCGGTTGGGAATAGGTGGGCTGGGGTTGGTATACGGGCGGGATGATTGCCTGGCTTGTATCAAGTGTAAGGTGTGGCACAGGTAGTCGAAGCGGTCCAGCGCTCCCATGAACTTGCTGATTCGGCGGCATCGTTGTAGCAAGCGGTTGTCGAGTGATTCGCTTCGGAGCGGGCTCGACTATGTCTCCTCCCTCTAATCCTCTCTTTCGCGCCATTGGGTGACCTAGACTGGGCTTGGCTGCAAGCGGGGAAACCGTTGGGGTAGGATGGTAAGAATTCCAACTTTGAGCATGAACTACATTAGGAGAATATGCTGCCGCAAGAGCTAATGGTGCACCCTGTCCGGTTGACGGTAGGATGCCAGTCGGTGAAGGTTGCGGAGAGACGAATCTAGCGTGAGTCGGCGAGGGTATATTCATCGACATAGGAGGCGGGGCTTTTCGACGCTTCTCTTCCATAACCGCTCTCTCGTAATATTCATGGAAACAGGCCAGTTTCTTCAGCCATTCCTCCCACTCCTCCTTAGATGTCAATAAGCCATATCGCATGTTGCTCAAAAATTCCACCTCCATGACGTGAATTTCTTTTACCGAAATAGACGAAACTTCTGCCCACGTATGGTTCGTATAGGTATTATCATCCAAAACTATAACATTTGTTAGGAAATTCATGATGCAAAGCTACTGAAAAAAATACTTACATTTGTTACCTAACATTAGGGCTACCGTTAAGAGTCGATATTCGCTACCCGGACTACCATTCACTTTCGGGTTCGCCTTCTTCAGCCGATATACAAATAATAACGCCAATAGGATCACGTTCTGCGTTACTTGGGTCGTGGAAAGGGTTTTGTTTACCCACTGCTTATACGCGGGGCAAGGCTCGGTATATGCGGATAATGGGGGGATCGGCTCGGAGAGTGGACGTTCCTTGATATGCTCCGCAGAGGTTATCGTGTCCATGGTTTCGAACCAAAAGAAGCAAGTCATCTAAGAATATGTCAGCTAATATAAAATTGAAAAGAATAAATCGGTACCTACTAGAGCGGCAAAATCATCCAGATTGCCTCCGTTTGGACTGATACAAGTAGGGAGTTGCAGACTGTGGGTTACCATAGTCGAGTCCTTCTTGGAGACTGTGCCTTCCGAGTGTGCGCTGAGATTGCCAATAGAGGCGGGGGTGGTTGATCTGGTCGATGGTCTCGAAGACGGGTGCGATTGTTGGGATATAATTGTTTGAGAGGGATAAGGCTGCTGATATTGCGATTGGTGAGGCGGATGAGCTGCGGAAAATCCATTTACGACATCACAGAATACTCCTCCTGTTCGATCTGCCTGCACTAAACCGGCCGGCTGTCTTGCTAGAGCTACATGACTGTTGTACGTGTTCGATAACACGGGGTTGTGGTATGTGGCGCTCATGTTATTTTCGGTGGGGGGCGTTCGAAGACCACCCTTGAAGAGTGCAGTTCCGCGAAGCTGCAGATGATCTCGTAGCTTTTCGCTATTGTTGCTGTTATAGTCTTGGGTATGGCGCAATGGATAAGCCGTATTATGTGTTGGAGATGGGAGGTATGGGCGGAAGCTCGAGGGCACGACGACTGAAGACATGTGGGATCTAGTTGGTTTGGCGTTTTGAGTAAAGGGCAGAGAAAATCGAAGAGACAAAGAAATGAATTAAATGGAGTCCCTAGTCATGAAGAGTTTGGTTTGGTTAGGGTTGCGGGCGAGGTATGGAGCCGTATCCGGGGAGGGGTGACGTTGGTGAAGTAACAAGTAAGTTCCTGACTGTTGTGTTCCATTCACTTTGATGCTGAGTTGCTCCCACGACGGTCTGAGCTGTGAAGTCCTACAACAAGACTTTGGTACAGACGATTATGTATTTTTATTAGTGACTGGTCATCTCTGATGAGCCATGCCGAACAAAAAGGTAAGTTCTGGGAAGGAAGGAGGCAAACGTTCGGAGAGTTTGATCGTTCCTGATTCCAGAATATCCAGCTGGTAGGTTGCTGTTGAGACGATGTGGATAAGGAAATAGACTCGATATAATTCAGTAGCAGACAGGACAAGGTGCTGCGGTGCTGCAGTGCTGCGGTTGCACAGGGAAACGGGCAACTTATTAGGTTACCAAACTGAGTCCCTTCTATACCTCCTTTCCCGGCTTTGTCTCGTGTCGACTGCTTTTTTTACTTCTTTTTCTATATTCACATTCGGCAGGGTTGTCCTAGCAGATAACTGGGGTCCACGAACAACAGGATTCATCAATTGAAACTTGGGGTATTATGAAAGTAATAAATAATATACAGACAAATGGTAATGTCACGAATGTTCCAAGGGAAGACAGGGTACGGAATTAGATATTATGAATGAATGAATGAATGACTGTTCTGAATGAACGAAGGGCTTGTTTGTATGTACAATGGACTTACACGACAATACTGGAGTATGCAGTGATTACTTTAGGTACTGTAGCAGTAGTAGCAGTAGTAGCAGGTAGCCGGATTGAGACTGGGCCGGATTGGCTGGATTGTGTGGTTGCTCATCGATCGTTGATTGGCGCGTTCCATTGGATCAAGCACTAAAAGTTCTTTTTTTTTTTTTTTTTTTTTCTTCTAGGTTGCCCTTCCCCTTCCTTCAGGTACCTTGACCTGCTTGACACCCTGTGAGCATGGAAGCGTGAAGCGTGGAGCGTGTGAGTGGCCAAGCTGACCGCGGATAATGGATTGGCTGGACCGTGGACCGCAGACCATTGGACCGTGGGGCCGTGGATACGGTTCGGAGGCGTCCAAGGACCAAGGACTTACGAGGTGGTAGTCTACCTAGGTAGTTTAGATAGTGTGAGAGGGAAGAGGCGTGGATGCGTACGCATTGTATTATTGTTCAAAGGTGTAAATGTGGGCCATGGGTTTAAGCGGGCTGGCAGGTTAAAAGTTTTGGAAGTTGGAACAAGGCTTTGAACCTGACTGAGAAGAAAGTGACGATTAGGGAGTGGCGTTAAACGCGCAACTGGCATTATTTTAGCACTAGTTATTCTAGTAGTCACGACTAGGTTTGTCAAGGTTTGCCAGGGAGTGTTTTGAAAGAGTAATTTACTCCCAGGAGCTAGGAAGGTACATCTGATCTGGCTGGCTTTACCATACGATGTAAATGTATTAAACCACTCTAGGAAGGCTAGGGTGATATAGTGGAGACAGAAGCGAGGTGTGTATTTAAAAGCCGAATGGCATACCTATTACTAGGTACATTTAGCAGATTAGGTTAAGTACCTGTTTTAGGCACAAAATAATTGGTCAGGCAGGGGCAAAGGGAAGAAGAAGAAAAAATTGGTCAGCAAGCCCCCCCTTACCGCAGGGCTTTTTAGTTGCGCAGTTGCTCTCGGACAGCATATATAGTCCGTTTGTATTGTACTGTCCATTTTCCGGTGGGTGGTTAGTGGTTGGCGCATCGCATCATCCTTTACATACAACAAAGTACATTTAATACAACAGTAAATGTAGATATGTCCATGTGTGTGCACTGTAAGCTTTGAAGTGTGTCATAGGATAAATATTTTTGAAAATGCAACGCTGAAAGTGGGTTCTTTTCATTGAAATGTTTGGGATGGACTCATACGCACATATCCAAAGGTTGTTCCAAATGTTGTTAAAGTCACTTATTATTACTACTGTAGGTTAGGTATCAGTATCTGATGGTGGGTAACTTTCATATATGTACATATATAATAATATTTGATTACTGAAGCTAGCATTAATATGATTGCTTTATCCGCCAATAGCAGCAAGCTAGGGTCCATGTCCGTACAATTGAAGCACGACCATGTATCCATGTATTTGTACCTTACATACCTAAGGTACATATGTACATATGCCTAAGACACTTAAACATAATAAAATGGACACGGTAGAACTCGGTCATGTTTATGGCTCGTGGACGATCTAAGCTCATTTCTAGCTCATTTCGCTACTTAGCTTCCTTCTTAATTTCTTAATTACTCGATATGCTTAGGTTGGAAACAAAGCGGAAGACGGAAGACGGAAGACAAAAAGTAGAAGGATGACCGAGACGGAGCTTGAATTTACTAAAAAATCCAAGAAGCAGAAAAGAAATACACCCCCTCATCAAGGATGAATTCGGAAAACGTAATAAAGGGGGCTTAGGACAGACAATTGGAGACCGGGGTGTGGATAAAAAAAAAGATGAAAAGATGAAGATGGACACGAGCAACAAAAGCGCAAAATGGCACATGGGGGGAAACAAAATGGACTAAAAGTGGCTCTTTGCTTGCGACATCCTTCTCACCCTCTTTTTGCTCTCTTACGCTTCTCGTATCCAATCAATTTCTCGCTTAAACCTATTCAGGATCTTGGTATGATGATGATACATCATACCTTTCGTTGAGACGTCGGCGGAATCGTTAAACACATTACTACAACTAATCCAATATCCCATCCCCATGTCTTTTACCTGCCATTTACAAGGGATATATGTTACTCGTTCATATAGTACTCATTTCATACCGTAGCATTTATACGATGTGGTTGGAGAGTTTACCTATCTGAGCATGGAGCATGTGCATGAGAAACTGACTTCATTACAGCTAAACTAAAAACTAATTGTTCCGAATCATTCCTACGTCCGAATGTCTAGCTCATGTTACAGGAGCTACATGGTAGGCACGTAACACGTAGTAGATGCGGTTACAAGTGCCGCTTTGTCCGTTACCCAAGTACTATATAAGTGATGTAAGTGTCGTATACGTACCATGTAAGTCGGAGTAAAATATGAGTGTTATCGCGTATTATCGCGTGTTATATACGGTACGGATCATCTCTTTTTACAAAGCACTAGACTATTCGAGATCGATCATCAATCAAGATTCAAAAGTCGTCGAGCACGGGTCGTAGAAGAGTCAGTTCTCTGAGTTGAGTTGCTAACTTATTAAATCGCACTAGTTAGTGCAAGTACAGCGGCAACGATAGTTACGGATTTTGATATTAATTACAATTACAGCCTTGTTACAACGCCCAGTAATACCTTGTCCACCTAATACATATATAAAATTCAAAATGTCTTTTAAAACCGGTATCTACCTAGCAACTAGCTATTAAATGCCTTTGATAATTACCTAGGAATGTTCATAAACATTACTTCTTATGATTTGACAGTAATAAGACTAAAATTATCTAACAGATCTACGTTCAAGATAACCGTATATGAGTTTACGTGAATTGTACATTACAGGTTACGGCCAATTATTTTCAAATCAAAGCCTAGCGTTCCTAAAGAGGAGGGGGGGAATGATAATGACAATCTATCTCCCTGAGAGGAAGCATACTAGAATGAAACAAATCTATATTATCACAATCATCAATGCACTTAAAACAAGCGTCTTGAACTCGTTTCTTTGTGTACCGTATATGTGCATCATGACCCGATACATGGGGATCCATAGATGGCACGGTGGACCAGCTTGCAAACAAGTTCGTAGCAGTTTTCTATGTATGTATCTATATTTTATCTACCAACAACAGAGGGCTCCCGTTTCCAAAGTTGACGCCTGGAGCTAAAGCAGCGCTCCAGATGTAACTCGGGTTTAAGTGTAATATGCAACTTTCTTCAAACAGATCTTGTTGGGCTGGAAACGGACATCTTTTAATGCGTCCGGGGTAGGAGAATGGGAAAGAGAGGCATTTTGCGTGGTACCGGCATCTTGGGAATGCCAAGTAAAAGGAAGTCTGATGGAAGCACACATAACGAAAAACGTCTACTAGGTAATTTAACAGGTAGTTAGACAATCTTTGTTTCGCTAAGGACACACCCACGGACGCAAGCCTGCATCTTACCTCAATCCCTTTCAAACCCTTGAGCGCTCTAATGTTTTGTTAGTATCCCGCATTTTTGGAAATGAGCGCATCCGATACTGTGGATGCCGCATCGTCCTAGCACCATGCAGAATTCCAGTGGAATCTAAAGCATCAACTTACATAGCGTCGGCACGGCTATGTAATAAAGGAATAGCTTTTTACAAGGTAATGAAAACTGGATAACTAACTGCGCCTAGCCGCACGGAGTCACCAAGTCAGCTTCAGCTAATGATTTTGGAACGGAAACGGCGATAGCGAATGAGAAGAAGGGCACCGCGTAGGAATAATGATGGGGTACCACGTAATGCTTACGGGCCTCCTTTAGCGTTGTTAGGCTTTAAGACCCGGACCGCCCTGGCGCGATGGATCGTCTACTATGTAAGTATGTATGTAGGTATGTAAGGTGGTATGTAGTGTAGGTAGTATGTGTAGTATGTGTAGTATGTAGCCCCTCATAACCGTGCCTGAAATGGCGGTCCTTCGTGACTGATCTAGTGGTGGCATAGACGAGGCGGAGGGCGAAGGGCGGAGGTTGGTACATAATAGTTTAGCACTTGGATTGACCGGACTGACTGGACTGACTGGACTAGTTCAACCCACGTGAAGAAGTACGAAGTTGCATGCCCAGCGTTAATAGATATAGCAATGCCACCATTAGAAACACCGGAATGATGGATTCGAAATTTGATCGCCATCGTATCGGACAGATTAATAGAAACTTGTTCCAGCATCTGACTAGATGTACTA